ATTCCCCAGCAGCATTTCTTCCAACACACACACACACACACACACACACACACACACACACACACACACACACACATCTTTGAGAAAAAGGTGTTTACATCGCCACAAACCAAACTAGTGTGTGTTTTTTCTGGGTGGGTGCACGTGCATGCATACAGAGCCGGGTGGACACAGCAGCCTCTATGTTCTCTGCAGCAGTAAACTGTTGGCTGTTAATGCAGACCAGGATCCCAGGCTGAAAGGCAGTACTCCCTTTGCTCAGGTCTGTGCTTGTTCGTTTTGCTCCACAAAGTCATAGAGCGCAGGATATGGAAAACAACACAGCGCTCGCACAAAACTGAGGTTAAGGGGGGGTGTATTAACCTTATTTGACCAGCACTGAGTTACCTGAGAGGAAGAGGGGGCGCTCAGAGGCAGCAGGTATACCCCTCATTTCCTGAAAGCAGGGTTTTGTGTTTTGGGAAGTCAAAACACCAGACCCCCACCACGCACAAACACACACTCGCACCTTTGGCCTCTACAGTGACCGCCTCAGCCACCTCTTTCCTCTCCTGGAAGGTGCAAATGTTCCTCATCACTTCACACAAACTAGCCGGTGCATGCTTTTGTGCCGGACTCCACTTTTTACAGACACATCCAGTCGTGTCCTCTGCCCCGCAACCCCGCTGTGGTGCCAAACATCTGCTGGTTTCATGGTAAAATGTTTCCCACTGGAGCGTGGTGCTAGTATGAGATTACATAGCTGCTGTCAGAAAAGAAAGAGCTGAGGATAGGGGCAGTTTAACAGCTGGTTTTGGCCTATCGCACCCTGAGAATAGAGGCATTCCTTTGTTTGAAGGTATTTGGATGTGATACCCCCTCGAACCACCCACAGAGGTGATGTAATCAGTAAGAGGTGTGAAGAAAAACAAGCCAAGCAAGTAACTGTTTGTTGGTTTCTTGAGAAAAAAGGAATGGTGAACCGGTTTTTTGTTTCACAAACTTTTGATTGAGCTTGGCTTTGCTAGCTTGGGTTTCATTGTTGTTGTTGTTGTAATATTTCTTTTATCAATTAGTGATTGCTTTCATCTTAAATGAGTGTCCAAATATAAGTTTAAGTGTTACTCAAACAAAGGCTTCAGGATTTTGGCCCCTAAACCAAAAGACAAAGGGCCCCTAACAATGCAATCTATCTCGCCTAGTGAAAAAACATTATTGTGTACCCAGATGCAGAAATACGTGTTGTCCCACCCTGATACATCACCAATGTTAATAAATAATAATACATTTTATTTGAAGCGCCTTTCACGTCACTCAAGTACACTTTATAGAACATAAAAAACAATAATAAAACACTATTAACAATTAAAGTCATCAATCATCAAAACAGTTAAAATCAACAAAGCAACATTAAAACATTCAACAGCAAAGGAATAAATAAAGAAATAAATAATACCAATTAAAATTAAATTAAAAAAGTGAGTTGGAGGGGTGGGATGGATAGGCCAGTTTAAACAGGTGTGTCTTACACAACACTGCCAAAATGCTAAAATGATTTGCATGTTTTTCTGCGTTTTGAAATGCAGACAAAAAATGTTCTGATCCATTTTGTTACAGAAATCCCTGTTATATTTTTAAATGCATAAAGCCAAGTCAGAAATATGAGTCCCTCTCAGCTCTGGCAGATTTTGGCTGAAGTTTGCAAGCACTGCATCAGTTTCACACAACAACTTTTTAACTCCTACCATAAAAGCAGATACACAAAATCAATGCAAACCAAAAGCTCTACACAGGAGCTTTAACTGGAAGTAGGATTAAACTAATTCATTTGTCTTCCTACTAAAAAAACCTGCCTATTATAAGTCTTTACACATTGAAATTTATCATTTGATGTTTCTCTTACTATATCCACATCCAAGAGGACAAGAAGTGGAATGTGAAGTATGTGTTTACACGTTCAAAGACCATAAACAAAGACACAAAGAGACCCTTTAATTGAAGTGAGGTGGAAAACAACCATCATGTTAACTGTAATTAGATCCCACCTGTCTCCATGAGCGTACCAGGATGACTGTACACTCACGGATTAAGACCATGTGCGGTGCAGAAACACAGCCCCACAATTCCCACAGCGGGCGCATACAGTATCTGTGACCACTCAACTGATTACAGGCAAGATGGCACTGTAAATGTTACCAGGTGACACAATAACAAATCCCCACATTGCAAGAGCCGCAGTGAAAACACCAGCGGCCCGTTTTCAAGTTCTACTAAAGTCTTTATCGCAGAATCATAAAACAGCTTTGATTTCTTTACTGCAGATGTAATTAAAAAATGCCGCACCCGCAGTGACAGGTTCTAACTGCTGGTATTGTTCATTTTAATCTTAATGTACAAATCCTTGGGAAGGATGCAAGCAGGATTGCAATAAGCATGTGCATACATATGCCTATTTCCTATGTGTTACTAGCAAGAAAAATCAGTAATTTTACAAGCTCTTTTGCACCAGTTTGGCTGCAAAAGTTCAGCATTTCCTTTGGTTTCCATTTGATCCAATAGACACACAATCATGTAGATGATTATTTATTTAGTTTTATTCTTCCTAACAGCAGTAATCAAAGTCCTCTTCAGCTAAACACAATAGCCTCTATTAAGATTACTTTCATCACTTTGTTATCACATTCAATGATCTTAAAACTTGCTGAAAGTGACAAACTTTGATAAGATATCGTCTCTATCAGTATAACTGGTTGCTGAATGACTCCTTACAAAGCTGTGATCATCCTTGGCTGTAATGCAGATTGTTTGATTTTACAGATTTAACCTTTAATCAATCGAATATTAAATATTCAAAGTATTTATTGGCTTTTACCTTAACTCAGTTTATTTGCCATACAACCCCTGAAGCCCTGGTACAGCAAACATTGTCAGAACCCCTAACAGCACAGGCTCAATATAATCCCTCTGATCCACTCTGTAATCAGTGGCACAACCCTGTGGGATAAGAAATAAACAAAAGAAATCTGTCAAACATTACTTATATGCTCTGAATTTGTGTTTCCTGTGTCTGCGGTTAATTTTCTAGGGAATGTGAGGAGCAGCTGTCACTTTATCACATGAATGGAGCCAGTTTAGTGGCCCAGAGGCATCAGAGTGGATCAACGGGCAGAGGAGGGACAGCTGGGCCCGCGGGGACAATAGCACTCTCAGTTAATCATTAATACTCTTAATGAACAGCAGCCAGGCACCAGAGGTTCACTCACCAGCCTCTCTCCAGAATATTCCGCCTTAGACAGGAGGAGGCAGGCAGCTGACCCCAAACTGACACTTGTTGATTGGGGCCTTTAAAAGAGGGCTGTCGGAGCTTTAAACTAATTGCCTGTTTGGTAAAGATTCACCCGTCAGTGTTGAGAGAATTGAAAAATAAATGAGAAACATGGAAAGAAGAGGTGTGGATCTTACTGTTTTCTTATCAAACCACTTTGTGGTTGTTGGAAATTCTTCTGTTTGGAACCATGTTAAAATTAGTGTAAAATTAGAGCCAAAGTAGATATGACATTAGGGAAAATATAGTCTTTACCTAATGTAAGCTAACAACATCAGGAGGGATGACAACCATCTGCCACAATAGGAATGGCTCTACAGTAGGGTGACCATATTCTGAGTCCCCGAAAAGAGGACACTACAATATGGTGCAGTCACAGAGTCGCGCATTGTAAAATTTGAGATGTTTTCAGGTCAGGTCGAGTGTTTTTTACGTGCTATTAACTCAGTAAATCCATGCGACACAAACTCAAAACTTTTATACAAAACCCCAGACATTTGAAGGATTTTATAAACTCCCCCCAGACAAGGCCGAGCAGCCCCCCAAAAGGAGGATATGTCCAGGTAAAAGAGGACGTATGTTCACCCTACTCTACTGTAGTCATAGTCCAGAAACTTTTTCTATTTTAAAGAACAGATGGCAGACGGTATTTTAAAGCATGGCAGGATTTGAACACAGAAGAAAATGGATGTATATTCAGTGAAACATGCTTGTATTCACTTAACTGGCGCAGTAGATAACCAGCACAAGCATGTGGATGCTAATATGCAGGGAAGGTTGGAGGCTGGTGATGCTGTTGGTTAGTTAACTGGTTAATTAGGTAGCTAGTTAGTAAGTTAATTAGCTAGCTAGTTAGTAAGTTAGTTAGGTAGCTAGCTAGCTAGCTACGTAGTTGGAATTAAATTTACTGTTTGGCTGCTAGTCGACTCACCTGCTAAAGGTGGCAAGAGCTAAAAGCCAATTACAGAACGATTACAGAGAAATGTAATGCTTTAAATATTAATGAAGTACTTTGCTCCTCTCCTAATTTATCTCTTGTGAATTCATCTGCATAGAAGGCTGACTGTAAACCATCTTGTTCAGAGGTTAGCTTAGTTTCCCAACATCAAATAAAAGTTTCTGGCTAATTTTTTGCTGAAAAAAAAAAGAGTATCATAGGTTACATAAACCAGCATCCAACAAAAAGGGCTCTCAGGTACAGTGGCTGCTGAATAGAGGAGCTGATGACTCAGCAGCTGACCATGTGTCTGGTGGTCCTCTTAGATTACTTATCAGAGGAGTCACTGGTGTGAAGAAACCAAAGAGAGATGTTAAAATAAGAAAACTATGTGTTTGAGCCTGAAACCATAAACCTCATTGACAATAAAATCTTTGTTTCTGGAAAACCTTTTCTGAGAACATGAGTTTAGAGAGCCTCCAAACAACCTGAGATGTTATTGGAAGATAAATGAGCCTCCGAAGAGGAGCAGATGTTAGCTAGAGGTCTCATTTGAATGTTACACTGATCCTCTGTTTTTGTGGATGTGTGTGTGTGTGTGTGTTTGTGACCACATGAATTTGGAAGTCAGTGTGTGTCTGCACGTGGCCCGGCATCCAGCCCTGGCCCTCCCCATCGGGCGGAGGCGGCAGGTGTTCCTGTGTCCCCCTAAAAGAGCAGGTTTTTATGTCGCCTCCTCGAGTTAGTGGCTTGGTTGCCATGGCGATGCCCCAACAGAAAGAGGCTTGTGTCTGGGGGGCCGGTGCCGGGAGGGAGAAGAGGAGGACAAGGGAGACAGAGAGCGAGGAGAGAAGGGGCTTTACTTGCACACCATGCACACACTATGGACTTGACAAGAAAGAAGAAGAAGAGAGGAAATCAAGTCAGGGGATCGAAGAAAAAACAGACTCAGACTGTCAACTGTCTTCACACCCAAAATATGGTAAGATTATGAAGTGAGTCACACCTGTGGACTAAACGATGCTTGTAATCTTGACAATGGAGAAGACTCCAGTATCACCAACTATATCAGGTTCCTGCCCAGGTGTGACATCTGCTGATGAACCTCAGACACACCCTCAATCAATCTCTCCTCTTTCTGGGAGTGTGTGTGTTAAAGTGTGGGTGGATGGGTGTAAGGAGATCTGGAGAGAGTGGGAGTCACCTGTCCCTCGTTGGCCTCTCTAGTCCCCCTCAGGAGGGCCTTAATTCTCTTGGCTGGTCTGATCAGCAGCTGCCACGCGCACACAAACACATACACACACACACATAAAAACAAAGGCAAACACATTCAGACAGAAACATGACACATTTTAATTTCATATAGAGTCAGAATGAAATATGTCTGCTGAAAAAAAACAGTCCCTGTATATGTCTGGCTTCGGCTCATGATTTGACTTTTACGAAACGAAATTGAAAATCATTAAAACCTCATAGTGGTCAAGGTGAGAAAGTGGGGGACTGTGATTAAAGCTGCACTAGTAATATTACGATATAGTTGCAATGACTAAGCGTAACAAACAAAGTGCTGGTCCTAGTGATGAACCCACAAATGATGCGGTAGTTTCTCTCAGCTTTCTTCTTCCCGCATTGTGCATGTTCATAATACATAACTTCACTACACCGCACGGAGTGAAAGTCACCCCCTAGAAATTTCAGTTATAGAATGAGGCGCACTATTCAAAAAAAGAAAAAAAAAGGCACAAACTCGAAGCACCAACGCCTCTGTGTCTGATCGGCAACTTTTTGCAAATACATGAGAAAGTCTTGCTTGTGTTTACAGCTTCTTTGGCTGCTTCTAAATGGGTATACAAACGAATTTTAGATTGGAAGAGATACATTTATTCAGCTGTAATCGACACAAATCCAAGTCTACAGGTACTAAGTTTGGTTTCTTTTGTGCTTTATTTGACTCCTTAACTTGTTTTGTTTCAACATGAATGGCTAGCAGCTCCATCTCAAACACCAGGAACCGTTTTGGATGTCCAGACCTGTGGAAACGTCTATATTACCTGTTGATTTCCCTTTATTCTGTCTTCCGACAGCAAAAATATGAGGTTTTCTCTCGGTGTTAGATAAAGCTAAGGAAACCTGAATATTGTGGAGGTATTCTGTTAGTAGCTGTGCATGTTTACAACAGTTTCAGTGTGATATAGAAGATGAAGTGCCAGGTGTCAGCGCCCAAGTTGGATGCTGGTGTAAATTTGCTGTTGTTCTGTCCCATTAAGTTTTCTTTCTGTTTTATAAGAAAAAGAAGATGCTCAACAAACGAGGATATCTATTTCCGAGCAGCTCACCACCATATTTTCCTAAAATAACATCTGAGGAAATCAGGACTTTTGTGGGACCTTGGGCCATGTTATGGATACAAGAGTGCACACCAGCCACATGATTTCCTTCAGATAAAAAGACAGTGATAGAGATTAAAAGTTTTAGAGTATTATAAGATTAAGAAAAAGTAACAGAATAAAGGGATAATACAAAATAAAGGCACATAAATTGTGAGATTGATTATTTATTTTATCACTTATCTTCCTAAGTCTGCCTTTGTCAAATGAAACATTAAGTTATATCAATTTTTACCCTGAATTTTTATAACCTGCTCAACTTTCTTTTTGTAAATTTGGTAAGAATAAAATTTGGGGAACACATTCACAGCTTTTCTTTGCCTATGACTGCTTCACTTTAAGTTTTCTTCGCAACAAATTGACTTTTTTTTTGGGACAGTGGGAGAAGCAAAGCCAGGACTGGTCCCTAAAATTTGATCTGCAATCCCAGCAGTCACCAACAAATCTTAAACTGTGATTGGTTATTTGTCTTGTCAAATCAACTATTTGGGTTGTGTTCATAGACTGTAGTGGCATCTTTGCATTTTTATGTGAAATATGTTTTTTAGTTGGTTCCTAAAATAAGAATTTTGGTTGAACTTTTTCTTTTAAAGTCTTGAAAAAACTAAATCCAGCAGATTTAAATGTTGATACGTTTGTACCAAAGTTTAAATGACAGACATGAGCATACCAACGTTTAGATTCTTTTATATCAAAATTACAAATGACATTACTAGAGATAACCCTCCTCAGTTTGGGGTAAACTCATGGTCTACAGGTCTGGCCACCCCTGCAAGAGTCTGACTAAGAGTTTGGCCTCCCCAGTCTAAAAGATCTGATTCCACCAATGTGTCAAAGGAAGATCAACCGCTTCATAAAATGTTCCTTTTCTGATTAAAATATTTAAGAATAATTATATAGTTTGTATATAATATAATAAAAAAATTTCTTGTATTTATAGAAAAAAAAGTTTTACACATGGACACTTTTCCTCCTTGTGTTAAAGTTTGCAGATGATGTTGTGGTCTCTTTTAACTTTAATGTATTTAAAATACAGAACTTTTTGTTGGAGTTGTGAAGAATCAGAATCATAAACTTGTTTTTAGAATAGTATTAACATTAGAAATTCAAAATCATCAGCACATCTTAGACGTCGGTGCCTGGAAACCAAAATTTACTGGTTGCTTTGATAAGAGGGTGTCGAGTTACAGTAACATAATTACTTGTCATTTTAAGAAATGAGTCAGCGTTATCTTAAATGACAGAGGATTATTTGGTTGGTAAATAAGGTGGATTCATAGAATCACTTCAGATGAATAAGTTTGTTCAATCTTTTTTTTCTTAGCTTAATAAAAAAGCAGAAGATTAAATATAAAATAATTTGGTGACTGTGTTGTTTCCAGAACAGGATGTTCCCTATCTGATCATTCTGTTCTTGCATCTTTTCTGAAATAAGTCTCCAGAGTTGCCTCACAGAGATAAACACATGACACATGACACACACACACACCCAGATTAGTAGAAACTAAAAAACAAACCTTTGTGTATCAGAAATTGAGTAATCAATGTCTTCTGCAGACTGGGTCTCTAAGTGACTGTGCGGCGCCTATATTTCTATGCTGCTCTTAACAGATCATAGCTTGTTCTCCAAACAAACAAAAATACATTTAAATGAGCAATCTGTGGAAGCTTCAAAAGCTGATGTCACTTGATGGTGAAAAATGTAAATTACATTTAGAGTAATTGCTGGAGGGGTTACTGTCTGCATTGTTTTGTTTTGTGATGCAAATATTTCAGATGAGGGGTTGCCTATTAAATTGGGCAGGGGGCACTAGCATGCATTCTTCCATGTCATTATGTCCCCTAAATTAACCTTTTCAGTGTTAATCAGAGGCTTCAACAAGCAGCATGCAGGAGAGGTTTGCATGTAAATCTCACCACCGGAGGAATGTCCTTCCTCTGATCCTCTGTGCCTCTCTAAAATACGCCTTCAATGAAGTTATGATAATGGAGCTGGGTTACACGCCTGTAATTGGCTATTCATTGGGATAATCTGGCATCAAGTCTTGTCATGTCTAAACCGTGTCCAGCATGAAAGAGATGAAAAAAGTGAAATACAAACTTTATTCAAGCAGTTTAAGAATTGTTGTTTCAATGTCCAGACCTGATTCTGTTTTCAATAGACTAAAATGTTTTGGGCCTGTTGAAAGAAATAAAAGAACAAAGGGTATGCTACATGTAGGTAAACAAAAAAGAATAAAAACCAAAGAAAAAAAGAAGGTTTGTATATATTTTTATAAATGCAAAAAAGACAAAACCATTTGCAGTTTGAGGTTTAAAAACTATCAAACATTACAATTGCTTAAAATAGATTTTAACACACTTTTAAATGTGGGTCTATCCAAGCCAATTTTAGTTTTTTAAATTTAAGTTTATTTTTTAATAATTGAAGCTCAAATTTCAAAATAAGTTTACTGAGTGTAGCTGATCTAACGAGTTAAAGTTTAACGTTAAAAAGCATGCTATCACTCATTTATGTTAGTAGGCTAAATGTTATTTTTGTAATTTATCTGACATTAGAGTTTCAGAATTTACGATTTTAATTTGAAATCAATCCAAGGTGAAGGGTTCAGAGTTGATAATCTTCAGTTATTTTATCCAAATTCTTTGCCATGTAGAAACACGTGGTCCCCACTCCTGAAGCATGGATCCGAGATACAAGCGACCACCCGAGCAGAGGACTCCCCCCTGCCACGGATCGAGCCTCCGGGCCTTGAACCTGACCCCTCAGGTCCATCTAGGGCGAGCTTGTCACATCGCATCCCCGCTGGCGCATTGTTTCCTGCAGGAGCTCCTCAATGCTTTGAGAGCGATAGATAGTGTGGCCGTCTATCCAACACACCTCCTCTCTCCCCTCTCCGATCCCCGCGGTGCTCCTGGGTTTGACACGGGAGACAAAACCCGCGGAGAGGACTATGAATGGTAAAGCACCGAGGAGGCCGAGGGAGAGCAAAAAGGAGGCGGTGAGCCTTTGTAGTCGGGGAGGAATGCGGAAATGTCCCCGCTCCGTGTCAAACCTCTCTGAAGGGGGTCAGGCCACATTCAGCCGGCGTGGGAAAGCCAGGCAGAGACGGAGCTCACACAGGCGAGCGGGGCTGCAGTGGCATGGGCCTATCCGGGGATATATGGAAGAAAAAAAAGGAGAAGAAAGAGAGGAGAAAATCCAAAGAAGAGCGTGGTTTTGGAGGGCTGTATCACGCGTTTGCCTTTGTCCTATGACCCCCCCACATGCTACACCCCCTTCCCCTCCGCACCCCCCACCCACAAAGTTGCAGTGAGAGTGTGTGTGTGAGTTTTCGTAGGCTACTGCCCCCCTCCACCTCCACCTCCTCCTCCCCTCCTCCTCCTCCTCCCTTGTTTGAGTGTCTCTCTGCCTGGGTTGGTGTAGTCTGAGGGATGGGGGGTTAGAGGCTGCACCGTCCAACTACCTGTGTGGCCCCCGCATGGAGGACAGTGGACAGTGATGCGTTTGGTGCAGGACATTTTATCCGAGACGCCAATGTCTCCTCAGCGTTTTATCGGACATGCCAACGTTACGACATTTTGACAACATAAACCAAGGTAATTTTTCAAAGTGTGGATATTTATGCAGAATATTGTACAAAAAAAAGGTGCGTTTTATGAAAAGAAATGTGACTTTGCAATACATTCACATCATGAAACCCGAAAATTGCGTTTCCCGACTTTCCAGGACTCACTTTTAATTAGTTTATTTGAGCCCACGCGCAATTAAGTTAGAAAAAAATAAAGGAAAATAAACGCGTTAATGCAAACGGCTTTAAAACTCTACTCGCATACTGTTTTACACAATTATATCGGTTTCGTGCCTGAAAGTTGACTTTTACGATGTTTTAAATGGACTGTTGCTGTAGGAAGTCCAGACAATGCAATCAGACAGCCACGTGCTCTCAAAGTTTGTGTCGCCTCATGCACGCACACTGATAAAACAGGACGGCACAGAGTTAGACTCGTACATTGTTAGTTTTAAACAGCTTGTTGTAATACCTTTGTGCTCATTTTGTGCGTGTTCTCTTTAAATGTTCTTGTTTTATTTACATTATGACAGAAAGACAAACCCTCACGAGCTTAACACCTCGCATATTGGGTATTATTTTTTGAATGCGCGAGTCAGTTTGTTTTACGCAAATGCAGCTTGAAAATCGGCTAATTTTTAAATATTTTTTGGATTATTTTTACTTTTTTGTTAGTGGTAGGAGGACATGATATGCGTAATAGGAGGAGGAGTGGAAGTTGGGACGCAACGGGGCTCTTGTGTTGTTTGTCGGAATAAAACATGATGACAGTCCTGTTCTTGCTTACCTGGAGCACAATTTGAGCAGATTTGACAAAGATGGTGTCTTCCTCCATCTGTGTCTCCTTGTCATCTAGGCATTGCATGTGCCAACTTTTTTCTGTGAATATGCCTTTGTGAGAAACTCTCTGGCTCGTCACCCTCGCCGGGATTCCCCGCAATATTTTCAACAAGAGACGAGGAACAAGAAAGATCAGCCAAAAATGGACAGAGAAGGTGCTGGGCTTCAGTACGAGCCTGTGGCCGAGATTGGGGAAGGCGCTTATGGGAAAGTGTACAAGGCGAGAGATTTGAAGAACGGGGGACGCTTTGTAGCCCTAAAACGAGTTCGAGTCCAGACGGAGGAAGAGGGGATGCCTCTCTCAACCATCCGGGAGGTGGCGGTACTGAGGCAGCTTGAGGCCTTCGAGCACCCCAATGTTGTCAGGTAAGTGAGGGGGAGAGGTGGACAAACCTGTGTTTGTGTGTGTGAGTGTTTGTTTTCCTTTTTGTGTATGTTTAAGAGGGAGGAAGAGGGGGCAGATTGGCAGTACCTTTTGTACAAGACAAAGACATGCAACTTCCCTTTTGATGTTCTGTGGTGGCAACCTAGCTGCCTTATTTGACCTTTAGTTTGAGGCTTCACTCATACTTGTCCATTTCATGTTGCAGAAACCTTGACTTGTTTTCTGTAGGTTGCATAAGTAAGCCAGCTGCTCCAGCTGTTGAGAGCTGCACACCTGTCAAATCATAACTGCATGCATTATCAGTGCTCTCCTGTCATTGGTCCACTCTGATCACACTCATCCCACCATTCACTTCTCTTTAAGAACTATATCTCCACCCACTCCTCCTCTGCAGAACAGGAAGCGGTGTTTATATATATATTTTCTATTTCAAATGCTTGCTTGGCACATGCGCATGCTGGTAAAAAAAAAACAGAGCTCTGAATTTGATCAGCTCGGCGCTAAAGTTTGATTTGACTGCAAGCATTTGGACAGGTGAATCATTACCTGTAACATTTACATTGAAATGATAACGCCATTATCATCTCACATACACTGATCTATTAAGATAAAATGATTATATATCTGATAACATAGCCAAAATGTCTGCAAGTACACTTTCTAAAGCCCAGGATGTTTTCTTTATGGGGCTGCGAATAAGAAGTTTCACTAATCTGCAAATTATTAACATGCGTAAGTCACTATTTTCTGCCACAAACAGTAAAGAAACAGGAATAATAGAATTTCTTTATATAAAAGATGAAAAACACAAAACTTTTTGGTCAATAATCATCCAATAAAAAGTTCCTGCATGTCCATTGACCAAAAAATTTGGTGCTCATTTAATGACATGGTTTTTGAGAAGTGTGCGTAACACAACAACCAAATAAGTTGCTGTATATATTATGATTTTTCAACCATATTATTCATTATTTGAATAACTGATCACATAAAAAAAAACTACTTAAACTTTAAATGATGCATCTGTTTCCTAAGACATGTTCAGAATAGTGGAATGAATCAGTTAAAATTGCGAGCTTACTCTTTCACCATTTTAATTGCTCAAATACTGGGGCAGTGTTTTGTCACCCAGCTTTAAAATTCTGATATTGTTAAATAAGTTCAAATCATCTTTTCCCCAAATAAATTACTAACTACTGTATAAAATGGGACACAAATGAAAACTCAAAGAACCAACACGGCAGCTGATTTGAAAATTTTGTCTTTGAGAAACCAGAATAGTTTAATGGATTTGTTCTTTTCCCACATATAACACCGTAAAAGTCTTTTTTTTTTTTCACTTATTTCATATATTGAAAGGATCATAAATAATATCAAATCTTAACTTTTTCTCTTCTATTTTACCCACTGACATCCCATCCACTGCTTTTAAGTGACCTTCAAATCAAGAAATTGATCCATAATGCTCTTCAGAGGGCGGTAGTTATGAATTTTTATATTCAAATTAGTTTTGCTGCAAAATAACCAATGTAGTTTAAATTCCATGATGGCAATTTTTAAATCCTGGGAAACACTCCCAGCTAAAAAGAGTAGCAGTTTGGACACATTTGATGCATAGTAAATCATTGTTGGTCCGTTATGGCTGCATTTGTACAATACTTCCCATGAATACTCAGTTGTACTGTTGAGGTGCCCTTGAGCAAAAACACAGTCACTTTCCCAGCTTGGGTACTGTAAGTCAAACTGGATTTACAGAAAGTCCTCGAGTCAGAATCAAACCCGTTTTGAAGCATTTGTCCTCTCTGTTGTGCATGTGGAGGCCATTTTCTTTCACTTCTGTAATGAATTGTTCCCTCAGAGGTCAGCAGTCAGAATCTACGTCAAGTGTTGGCACAAGCCGAGGTCTGACCTTGGTGCCGGTTTTATTATGGAATATTTAGAGCTTTGGGATTGGAGAGGAAGCTCTAAATGGACGTTTCAGAGGCAAAGCTAGAGCCCATGTGCCTCTGACAATAAATCCCCAGCGAATGAAGGAATAATGTAGGATAATGGTTTTCTCTGAATGGAGTCACAATGAGGTTTGTTCTCACTGAAAGAAAGAAATGTGTCAGCTGGTACAAAAAGTACCTAAAGCCATTTTTATGTCTTTATTTTAGCAGAGGAACTACTCTCTTGTAGTTCAGCTAAGCACTAGCTATAGCCTAGCCACTCAACCCACCACCAGGAAGGGTGCATTGTGGGCCTTCTGTGTGACTCCAGGCAAACCCTGGATGTTTGTAATGAGGCCCATTATTCATTCCATATGTTCAGTGTCTGCTGAGAGCCCCCATTGTAGCCCGACAATCGAGCTGTGAGGGGCGTTTAACCCTAGCTCTTGGAGAGGAGGGCGCCGTCTATGCTGTGACATCATGAACAGTACTAATACCGTGAATGAATTGCGGCTCACACACCGCACTAACTCCAGGGTTTCCAAGTCCAGCGATTAGAGGGGTGCTGGCACAGACATACTACGCCTTAGCTGGATTTAAATGAAAGTGTTTCTGGTCAGTCATTTCTTACCCTGTGTGCGTTTTGATTCTCTTATGGAGATAAGCGAGCCTTAGGATAGATGCATATGTGTTAGCAGCAGCATGACACATGTGCTTTAAAATTTTAATCAAGGAAAATTTGAAGCAATAATCATTGAAGCTCCTCTTTTGGATGTCAAAACTTGTTGTAAATCCATGAGCCAAGTTAGGTTACAGCTGATGCAAAGCAGACCATCATGAACTTGCCATGACATGAATTGAAAGATTATCCATATTGGTTTTATGGCCTATAAGCTCCAGGTAGAGTTCATATTTATCGGTAGGTCATAAATGCAACATAAACGTAGGAATGTTTTAGTTATGGGATGCAGAATCTTCCTTTGTACGCTCACTCAAGGGGTTATGTTTACCACTTTACTGATGATGATGATGATAATGGATGAATACTAAATAGTTATCTTTTACCTTTACACATATTTATCTGGTGGAGATCCTTAATGGCTGCATTGTCTCCTGTGATGGTAAAGATGCTGCCTCCGCCTCTGCAGCAGCTATGTGCAGGGTCCACTTGACTTCCCAGAGAGCATCAGGAGTTGTCATAGTGCTGCTGGAGGAATGCTGCTTGTGGTCCCCAGCTCTTTGAAGAGGACATTCTGGAAAGCTTTTTTCAGCTTTTCACCAAAGCCAGCTTTGGCAGGTCTGCTGACATAATCTGGATTCTTGGCCTTAGTTTGTTGCCTAGTGAAACACAGCCATAAGCGCCTGTTTTTTTTGTGAGGGTTGATAGTCCAGAATCCTCAGAAGCTTTTAATTAAAGTAGTGTATCTATAGGGATATAATTTCATTACATTATTGTTCTCAACTTTAACAATGTTCATTATTGTCATGAGTGTATGTGAATATACATATTTGGGAGTCTTGGTGCAAGTTTTAAAGCATGAGATGTATGATTGAGAGTGTTGATGTTCATGCTGACCAATCACAAACTAGATGGGGCAGGACTTGTCACCAAGGTAACCAGTTGATAGTCAGAGGACAGAGACAGAGATGCTCAATTTTGGGCCAGTTTTTGTGCATTAAAGTTGAAATATCGGGATCACTAAAGCATTATTCATTATCATATTATTCATCATCCTAGTTTGAAGTTAGTCAGTTTTAGAATAAAACCTACTCATCAGTTATTTACATTAGGTCAGTGTCACCAGATGCTCCAAATAGTCTTGGTGTTGTTTGAAATTAAAATGGTTCATGTCCAATAAAAAATAAGTGTTCTTGGAGTCCCAGACATGTCTAAATAACTCTTTTTTGAGCTGTGATTGCAGTACTTTATTACCAGGAAACTGTAATGCTTTTGCCGCTTACAGATATCAAACCTGCAGAATCTCATACCGACCCATGCAAAGTCAGTTTTCATATCCCATTGTCAACTACACAGGTGTACCTACAAGACCTATTACAAGTGCTTATGTACAATCACATAATCCTTTAACTTGAAATGTCTTTGACTTACAGAGTGAAATTACCCATGTGTAAAACACAAGTAGTGAATTGATTTTCAAAGTTTTTGTGAATGCAGTCAAAACTGTTATTAACTCTGAAAAGAGAGAATGGTTTAGGACACAGGTACTTTTTCCACCGCCAAGACTATGACTGTGCTTATGAGATAATGCAACTGCATTAGTTCTGTACTCGGTCTTGGCTGTCACGGGCAGATTCTTTGTTGTAGCTGGCTCAGCACAGTGAACCAACATGAAATCAATGATATTGATCTCCTCCCCCTGTTTCTCTGGTTTTAGGTTGTTTGATGTGTGCACAGTGTCTCGGACTGACCGAGAAACCAAACTCACTCTGGTCTTCGAGCACGTGGACCAGGACCTGACTACCTACCTGGAGAAGGCCCCTGATCCCGGTGTACCACCTGAGACCATCAAGGTAACCACTGATAGTTTTGTAGAATTAAAGTGCAGGACAAATGCTGTTTGATGCACACTGACACACTGTGAAATCTGGTAAGAATACTTTTCATAGGGGCGTCAGTTTGGCCTGGTGGTCAGGTCATTTTACAACCCCAGGCAGCAGTCCCTGGTTGGACAGCCCAAACTGCAGCCCCTTTCCCACATGTGACTCCCCACTCTCTCTCCATTTTCTTGCTCCATCTGCTATCCTATCATCTCCAGATAAAGACACAAAGCATGAAAATAAACTTTAGAGGATGCTTTAATTACAAAAGTTTTCCAAAACAAAAGAAAAAAAGGACCAGAAGTTGCTGCTCTGTTGCTTGCAGTTTCTATTCCAAATTTAAAGGAAGCTATTTGCTAATCCTCCGTGGTTGAACATCGCATGACCACAGCTGTGTCTGTGCGATTCCTAAGTGAGTTTTCTTGGCCCGAGACTCAGGACAGAGTAAAGATCCCTCAAACATCAGAGGTATCAGAGCTCTCTGGAGGGCAGCACATGTGGCAGATGGGCTCTAAATTAGAGGCTTCCCGCCTTCTCTATTTTCACTCTGCGCTTTTCTCTCCAAGTCCACTCTGTATTAACAGATGGAGACAAGAAAGAAGTGTCTCTGCATGAAAAACAAGTCTAAAGAATCTACTTAAAGACACTCATAATACCAATTTATCCAATCCATGAAATAAACTTGAGTGTTCATTTCCACTTTGCCAAAAGGTCGGAAATGGATGTGTCACCAGTCCTTTCCTTTTTTTTATTGAAATCTTTCCCACACTCAATGCTTTTCAAAATCTCTCTATCGAGTTTCACCCCAAGGTCTGTGAATGTATTGTAGACAGTATTGGAAAGGGAAATCTCTATTTTTGGACCGAGGGGCCTCACAGTTTAGAGTGTCATATTTGAAACAGAGAAGTTTTGGAAGCTACAGTAACGGCTGCTTTTCAACCCCAGGGCTGGGTTTATGTGTGAAAGATTTGTGTGGAGCTGTAAAGTTGGAGGGATGCTGTGCAAGCGTAGACGAGTCAGGTAGATCGCACCTGAGGCTTTCCCAGGGTTTTCACTGAAGCTGATACAGTGTGTGGGACAGTAGTTTCTGTGGGTGTCTTACCTGCTGGATGATTATGGTCATCATGTGTGCAGGCTCCATGCATTTTACAACCAATGTTAACACAGGATTTGAACAATTACACATAATTTCAAAGACATGATGTAATTGTTTTAGGGCTGTAATCAAATTGTTGGTCGACTAAAACCCTGAAATTTTGGAGTGAAAATCAACTAAAGGGTGGAGTGAAAACAAACTGATATCAGTGCAAGAAGGCAATTAAACACAAAAGGCTAAAATATAAATATTCAGCAAACCACTGGACATTGATTAACGTGGACGCTCTTCAATCTTCCTGTCTCAAACCGGTCTTAATTGGGTTGGGGGAATCCTGAATCGTAAAAACAAGGGGGGTGTTCTGAGACAGGCTGTTACCTGTGAGACAGGCGCGCTTTGAAATCACCCCCATTGGCACTTGGAACGTTCCTCCTGATAAAATTAACCATAGACTGTAAATTGACACGGAAAAAAATGAAGTCAACAAATCAGAATTTTGGCTTACTCAGCACGTATTGACCAATAAGTCGACCAGTAGAGTAGGATTTTACAGCCCTAAATTGTTGAGATAGTAATAATCGTTTAATTGTCCGAGCTCATACTCTAAAATTAAAAGATGAAGTCGTTAAAAGATAATTAACAGTCAAATTAATGTCTTTCTTCATTTGCACAAGAAGCCCAATATTTCACACTATGCAACTTATTCATGAAATAACTAACCGCTGTTGTTTTGCTCGACATGCCAGTGTTCACATGCATTCCCAACTCCTGCCACTGCATCATTTTACAGTGTTATGATCAGTTACACAAAAAAGTAAAAATGTCAGCCCAACAAAACTTAAAGTGAAAACAACTTCTGCTGTATGTCAAAGCAGACAAAAGAGGATATAGATAACTTGAACTGAAACCACAATAATATTCCCATAAAACCAAGTGCCTTTTGACCCAATGACTAATTTTTTAATAACACAAGTCTGCGTTATGATCCAACTGAGTGCAGCTCTCTCTTTACTATTGCCTACTGTTTTTGCTCATGGAGCATGGAGGTGTGTCCTCTGCTGCCTCGCAGGTGAGCCTGCAGGTTCGTAGTTATTGGTGAGTGAAATAGCAGCTTTGTACAAAATTGACATACAGCCCATCTTTGTCACAAACTTGCCATCTGTAGTGAAGAAACAAAATTCTTCCACGAGATGTTTTTTTTTTTTTTTTTAGTCTATTACTGTTCACAAGGGACGGCTTTGATTGCATCATACATCCTTCATTTCTGCAGAAAATATTATTGCGTTAGACTGAGGTTAAGAGTGCCCTGCAATAGTCAGGTGACAGTGAGAAAGCCCTCTGCTGGATCAAACAGGAAGCCACTTGGGACTGAATTCAAACTTTTTTCCCTCAAGTTTGAAGAAATGCTAAGAGCACATTCACACCTGGTGTGTTTGGTCCCCTTACTCCTTTGGTCTGGGTTGTATGAACATGTAAGCGAACCATTGTCTGTGTCAAACAAACGGACTATGGTCCTCTTGAAAATGCCAAACTCTGTCCCCTTCCAAACGAGCCATGGTCCGGTCCGCGGCGGGTGTGAATGCAGCCCTGCACTGTGATAAAGTTAGGAAATTATGCCCGGCCAGAGGCTGCAGCAGACAGAGAACAGATGGACAAAACACTGAACTGTCCATAAAACAGGATAAATGGCAGAGGGTTTGTGTTCTAATATAATAGTCCGGGGATAAATATTAAATACCTGGGTGTTCTTCTGTTCAACAAACACTCTGATAATGTGTTAAAGGCATTCCTCTGCATTAATTGCCGGCGTCTCCTCGCATAACATCTCGGCCACCTCTGGTGAATCGTGTGAGGAGAAGACGCCTGTTTTTCTCTCTGGTCGGCTACTTTCTGTACGTTGTGGGACAATGAAGATTGTGCCCCAAATGAGCAGGTGACAGGCAGTGATTTTCCCTTGTAATTTTCCCTTTTTTTTAACCATTTGGTTCGCTTAGCAAAAGTCCCCTGTGAACGCTTACCAGACCAAATGCAAAATGCAACAATGTAAACATTTTTTCCCTGATCCTGACTTTCAAAGCAGACTTTGGGTGAGAAAGGCCTCTTAAATTATGAATAAAAAGCGATATCCATATTGGAGGCTATCCCTGCACATCTAACATCAAGTTTTCAACCTTTTTTTGCAGAAGGTTTTGCAGTCATTCAAACTTAGCTGCTTGGTCCCTCAGACACGGCTACACTGATGTAGAATAGCTTCCATGTGTCTTGATTAGCACGACACGCTGAGCTGGTGCACGTCAAGTGTCACTTAGGCTGATGCAACCTAGACACGGCTCAAACTAATATTCTTAACCTAGCTTGATTTTTGAGCACAATTAATAGTAAAATGCATCATCGCAATCATTCAACATAGTTGCCCCCGAGGTTATATTTACAGTTTAAACACCCATCTTGTAAAATCAAATATAGTCAGTCATTCGATTTTACTTTTAAACCGCTGAATTAAAAATCATCTGGTTTGGATCATGTTCAAGACGAAGAAAGCAATTTCAAGACCTCACCTCAAGCTTTAGGAATCTTACTTTTCCCTCCCTGTCCCACATTTCATGGTCTCTTTTTTGGAGGTGTTCATGGTGCGGTGCTTGGTTATGCACACAAAAAGAGATAATTTGTTTGTTAAACTTCTAAACTGAGATTTTTATGCTGAAAGGCTGATCCAGGAGAGTAATCCAGATTTTGTTTACTAGCTTCTTTTGTGTGTGTTTTCTTTAGCACACAAAGAAACATGCCTTTGGCTTGTTGGTCTGGTTGTATGTTTGAGAAAATTGTTGGTTGCCCTCTTGAATCGTGATGTTGGAGCAGCTTAAGGGGGAAAATGTAAAGGAAGTTGTTCCAACAATTACAAACAAGTACTTTGTTAAGAAGCGTACCGACCCCTATAGACCCCCTCCTCCTTCAGCTTTCTCCTAACATCCATATGTCTCCAGTCTTTGGATGAAACAAAAGGACAAAGATGGACAGGATGACACAGGCACCGTCTCCTGTTATTTCTAGGACAGTGGACACTGCACAGTAACCCCCACGCACCCCCCTGCCCAACAGCTTGATCTGCCCTCAGTCTCCCCCCTGTGAATCTACATGGTGGATCCCGGTCCAGCTGTCAAACTGAAGCATACCTGTGTCCACCAGATTAAATGCTCACCTATTCAACAGCGTGAACTTTGAATACCAAGAGAAAAAAGCGAGTCATTCTCTCTGCCAAAGACCCTGGACTTAAGACGACAGGCATACTTTTCCTCAAAACCAGACTCTCCTCACCCTCCCTCCACCACCCACTCCGCCGTACTCGGACTCAAGACCCACCACATGGTCATTGATGAAAGAGGTCCTCCTCCAGGAATCAAATGAGCTGGAAGGACATCAAGCGGCTGGCCTGCCGGGCCTCAGCGCTCCGCCGCCGCCGAGGCCAGCGCTTGGGTCTCACCCACCCTCCTCCGCCACCACCGTCCAAGCTTCCACAGCTCTATTCTCTGGGCCCATAAAGGGGGAGGTTAATGAAGCATGGGGAGGGAATTACACTAACGCTAACCGGCAGATGTCCCATATTGTGCCTGGCTACAATAAACAATATGGCTGCCTCTGGTGCATTTGCATTAGAAAAGGAGACTCACTCAGAAAGCCATGTTTTGACTGCATCTCGCAGAGGGCTGACTACTTTTTTCTTGGTCCTTTCGGCTTTTTTAAGGTCATATCTGTTGCCCTGTTCTGTGATTTTGTGTCTGCATGGCCAACTTTTAGGTGGAGATTAAATGTTAAAGCTTTGGCTGCTAAAAAGTTCTGTGTTGGGGGGAACTATTGCGAGGTTTCTTGCAGCAAGAATGAACTTTTTGAGGCTGAGAAGTGGCTGAAAAAGATTCAGAGGAGCTGCGTGAGCTTTGTCAGGGTATTGGTTTGGCCTCCTATCTTCACTCTGGATTTCTCCCCCTAAAGCTGGTGATAGCTGATAATTAGTCATTTATTTAATTTAAAATCATAAATATTACTCTGTTGTGACAGTAATTGATACAGCAGAGGAGATGACACCCAGGCCAAAGGGGGCCAAGATTGTTTGTGTGTTTGTCCAGGAGTCACACTTCTGAGATAATTGGTGTTTACTAGGAAATGCTGCTGAAAGGAAGCATGGTGAAATGGCTATTTAAAGCAGAGAGGAACTGGTGGTGGTGGGGGCTGCTATTGTGTCAGCCCCCAACCCCATTAGAACACACACATACACACATGTGTGCACAAACACACACACACACACACACAAAATAACCAACCGCCTGCCTCTGTCCTATGGCCCTGTCTGTCTGCTGCCCTCCTCGCTGGGTCATGGCTGGATGGAGATGTAAAAAGGAAGGTCTGTTTATGCATCCTGCCGCCCTTGGTCAAAGGGCACACACACACACACACACACACACACACACACACACACACACACACACTGATGCACCCATACACAATCTGAGGTGCACAAATAGAAGTGTAAACACACACATCTTGCATTAACATCTACCCAGGGGGACAACAAGTGTATACAAACACACAGACAGCACACACACACACACACACACACACACATCACACCCCATTTCAACAGCGTTGTGAGTGTGCATGTGCATGTGCGTGTGTGTGGCGCCCGGTCCCTTCTTCTATGGCCAGCACAGCAGCCAGCCCTGCGCCGTTTGCTAATGTTTTCTGCTTGAGTGTGCAGACCCCTTTGACTCACTCACCAGCTGGTCAGCCAGTGAATAGCGCTGCGGGCTCAGGTCCATGTCACTTGTGAGGTCTTGGCGGAGGGAGTGTGTGTGTGTTTTGGAGGGGGCTGTACTGCGCAGACTGCTACAAACCACCACCAGCATTGCTTTAAACTTTTCACAAATATCTGTTTTTCTCACCACCATGATGGTTTTTAACTTTCTAACAAATTAAATGACTGGAGCGAGTTACATTTCTACCTCAGCAGTTGATACAGTTTTATCTGCGATTGAGCCTTGACCTGAAATACCTCTCCCAGACATGATTTGAACCCAACAATCCCAGCCCAAGCCCTGCCAAAACCACCTGGCCTCAGTCCCTTGTTAATGACTTATGTTTGTTTACAGGTGCAGGACCTGTTTGAGAGTATTTCAGTTTGAAAAGAACAAGTCTAAGCTGGTTTCTGCATAGTTCAGTACTGTTCACGCCGGTATAGACGCTTCAACTCGTGTGACAGGAAGGCAGTCAGTGTTTTTGGCCGTTTCTGGGGTCAGATTTGAGGAATAAAAAAACACTGAAGCAGGACAGCTGCTGAGAAACAGAGGGCCATGCTTATACAGAGCAGGGCCTCTCTGCTCCTATCTGTGTGTGTGTGTGTGTGTGTGTGTGTGTGTGTGTGTGTGTGTGTGTGTGTGTGTGTGTGTGTGTGTGTGTGTGTGTGTGTGTGTGTGTGTGTGTGTCAGTTATCAAACATCTGCTACAGTCGACAAGAAAAGTCACGGGCCTCCTCTATTTAACTCCCCTCATGCCACAGTGCCTCCTCTTGTCATTCAGGCCTTTTGTTGCAGGAAGAATTAATTCAGCTCTTGACACAGAGATGTGGAGTCGTGAAGCCATCTGTCGTCAAAGTTTCTCCAACATCATTTTGTGATGTTGTTTTTGGTTTAAGAAACCATATTCTGCTCTGTTTGCTCACTCTGACTGCCACAAGAATCACTGTTTCATGACACCAATATCCCAAAACTCAGATTCCTCCTTTTCTATTTTATTGCTGTCTGTCTCTTGCTAAAAATAAGTCCCTCTGTCTCTCTTTTTCCCCATTTTGTCATCCCACAGGATATGATGTACCAGCTGCTCCAGGGGCTAGACTTCCTGCACTCGCACCGCGTGGTTCACCGTGACCTAAAGCCCCAGAACATCCTGGTGACCAGCGCAGGACAGATCAAACTGGCGGACTTCGGTCTGGCTCGAATCTACAGCTTCCAGATGGCGCTCACCTCTGTGGTGAGTTACAAAGTTTGTCCCTCTGAACTCAGTTTGTCTCATCCTGAAGTTTCTTAAAGCAGAGTGACTCAAAACAAACAGAGGGAGGCCAGCTGATGAGGAGGGAGCGAAAAAAGTGGGTCGCAGGATGTTAAAAGTGGGTCACAGACAGAAATAGACCTGGATAGAGGGATGTGACCTTAAGTTTAAGTTTGTGATGTCATGTAGAGCTCAGGCAGTGATGTAAGAAGAGACCAACCCTTTTCAACCTGTAGTTTCAGGTAAACTTGATGCCAAACTGAGAGGCGTCTTACAAACTAGAACTTTATTATCTTGCTCTCCGATGTGAAAGCCAAAGCGTCAACATAATACTTATATATTCTTTTATCGAGAGAAATTTGAAGTGCAACTCTCTTTTATGTGAAGTGGTCTACCTCCAAGACGATGACACACACAAGTATACACATCAACACACGGCCTTGAACTACCTTCCCATCTCCAGAGACTTAGATGAATAGCGGCTGAAGTGATGCAGCGGGCACTTAACAGGGCATCAGCGAGCCGCTCCGCAGCGCCGGGGCCAAATGATAGAGTTTCTCTGTGTAAAGTGAGAGCCGAGGGCCCCCGCGGTCTGTCTCAGGAATCCCTCCGTGGCCGCTGCAGACAGGGATGGGACAGATGAGTAGAGACGGACACCCCTCCCTTCCCACTGTCGGGACTTTGATGTCCAACTGTTGAGCTGTGGGCTCTGATGACCAGATAAAATAGAAAGAGAGACTGAAAGGAGTCTGTGGAGGACTTTGAAATAGGGAGAGATGAGACTTTTGAGATTAAGGAAGCAGACAACAGTAGCTCGGTACCTTGTTACAAGCTTTAATTACCAAATTCCTGATACTTCACATTCACTCAGACGTCTGCATCAGCATCGCTGCTCATAAATCTGCGGAGGCCGCATCAGGCTGGTGTTTGGACTTGGTTTTGCACAGTTCGTTTGGCTTATCCCAACAGGCTTAGTTCATTTTTCCTCAAAGTGTTAAGTCAAAAAAGTGGAGACATAACCGAGCTAAGAATACTGAAATAAAACATGACTCACCAAATGTGCTGATGAAGCATCAGAAAAATTGAAAGCAGCAGAAGTCAGAGGAGCCGTGAAACTTTTGTGATGTTAAGTTGACATGGGAATTTAAGGCAGACTCGTGCAGCATGTCCTCCTCTAAACATAAACATCCTCCAGGAAAGAATGCAAACCTTTATTCTGAGCTCTGAGAAGAAGAGACCGGCACACGCTTCTGTGGCTTCATCACTGCACAGTAAGAAATGAAAAGCCAGACCAGTGGACACGTGCAGGTGCTCCTCCCCTCATACAAACTAGAGCTGACTTCTCATCTGTATGTCATGCTAAAGGGACGTGTGCTGCAGTATTTTATTCAAGCCATTGAATCTAGTTTTATGTTCATTTAGTCAATTCTTCTGTCATAGCAAGAGCTTAAAGCTCCTGGGGGAAGTTTGAAATTGGCTAAAATTTAAATTGATGTCAAAAGAAAATAAAACCATCAGCGATGAGACTGATGATTTCTATATTCAAGTTTTAAACTCTTTAAAATAGCGTGAGGGGGTAGGTGTCAGCCAAGCAGCCTAGGAAACGAAATGTTATGAATATAACTTCTGTTCCCTGAAGGAGAGGAACGAGGTACAACACATATAGTATGGGACATCACGCCCCTGCGTGACCTGACTGAAGACACCTTTATTCACGCCTTTAAGGCAGATGATCTGTGGTGACGTCTGGGAGGCTCCGCCTGCACATATATACGTGTAACACCACAGTCATCCTTCAGTTCGATAGCCGCTCTTCACCGAGCTCTGCCGCGCAGCGGGGCAACCCAGTGTTGTACCTCGTTCCTCTCCTTCAGGGAACAGAAGTTATATTCATAACATTTCGTTCCCTTTCAGTCGATTCACTCGGTACAACACATATAGTATGGGACATATATACACGCCCCGCAGAGCAGCCACCGAACCGAAGTCAAAACCTCCAAAACTTTTAGTGCATTGTAGACCCAGCAGAAAGGACAGCGTGAGCCACCGAAGGTGCTGTCACATCCAAACGGTAAAACCGAACAAAAGTGTGCGGTGATGACCAACTGGCTGCAGTGCAGATATCACTCACAGAAACCCCTTTAAACAAGGCCCAAGAGGCCGCCATTCCCCTGGTTGAATGTGCCCTCACACCTTGGGGCAACGGGAGACCCCTGCTGCCGTATGCTAAGGAGATAGCCTCCACAATCCAGTGGGAAAGCCGCTGCTTAGACAGCGCCTTGCCCTTGGCTGGATTAGCAAAACAGACAAACAACTGGTCACATAAACGCACACTCTGAGTGCGGTCTATGTAAGTGCGTAGTGCACGCACAGGGCACAAGGAATGCAACCTCCTCTGCTCCTCAGATGCAAATGGAGGGGGGCAGAAGCTCAGCAGTTCAAAACTCATAGAGCTATAGGCTGTGGGGATAATCTTAGGTAAATACGCCGCGTTTGGACGCAATGTAGCCTTAGATCCATCCGGAGTGAACTGGGTACAAGAGGGATGCACAGACAAAGCATGAAGGTCGCCCACTCGCTTTGCAGACGTCAAAGCAAATAGCAGTGCAGTCTTGTATGAAAGAAATTTCATGTCTGCTGACTCAATAGGCTCAAATGGGGGTCCACCAAGAGCCTCAAGCACCAACCCTAAATCCCATGAGGGAACACTGGGTTTAAGAACAGGTCTTAGCCTGCGGACTCCCTTTAGGAAGCGCATAGCAAGAGGGTGAGCGCCTGGCGTCACACCATCAAAGCCAACATGGCATGCAGATATAGCCGCCAAATAGACCTTAATTGTTGAGAAAGAGAGACCCTTATCCAGCAGGTCCTGAAGGAATGTTAAAACATCCACAATAGAACTCTGAAATGGGAGTACATTTCGGTCCTGACACCACTGCTCAAACGCCCGCCATTTATAGGCATATAGGCCCCTAGTAGATGATGCCCTTGCACTCTGGATTGTTGCCACCACATTTGGGGGCAGACCCTGAGCCATTAAGTTGGACCTTTCAACAGGTAAGCATGTAGTTTCCACAGTTCTGGGCGCGGGTGAATCACCTCTCCTCCCGCCTGGGAGAGGAGGTCCCTGCAAAAAGGGAGCTGCCAGGGCCTCGCTACCAGCAGACTGATTATCTCTGCGTACCACGACTTCGCCGGCCAGCGAGGAGCCACCAGGATCAGGGAGAGCCCCTGCTGGCGCACCCTCTCCAGAATGGGCAGAATCATTTCCACTGGGGGAAAAGCATATAGCAGCGTGTTGGGCCATGGGTGAGCTAGCGCATCCATCCCCAGGGGAGCATTGCAGTCTGTTATGGAAAAGAACAGGGGGCAATGAGTATTTGCTCTGGAGGCAAAAAGATCTACTTCTGCCTTGCCGAAGCGGTCCCATATCTGAGCCACCACTAGTGGGTGCAATCTCCACTCTCTCACAAGAGGACCCCCCTGGAGAGAAGGTCTGGTCCAAGGTTTAAGTGACCCGGAATATGTGTGGCTCTGAGGGACAGAAAATGAACACTGCACCATAGCAACAGATAGTGAGACAGTTTTAACAGGGGAAGAGAGCGTGTCCCTCCCTGCTTGTTTACGTAAGAAACCACGGTTGTGTTGTCCGTCCTGATCAGAACATGATGGCCTGTCAGAACGGGACGAAAGTGCTTCAGAGCTAAAAGGGTAGCTAGTAGCTCCAGGTAATTGATGTGGAGTTTGCATTGTGCTGGCGTCCACACACCTCTCACTGCTGCGCCCTCGCACAGAGCCCCCCAACCCCTCAGGGATGCGTCTGTGGACACCACCTTGCGAAAAGACACCCTCCCTATCGGAGATCCCTGTTGTAGAAAACCGGGTTCTCTCCACGGGAGAAGAGCCGACATGCAAGACTGAGTTATCGTCAGCCTCCTCTGGAGGTGACGCTGCGCGCACAGCCGGTGAGACTGAGTCCAGCGTTGAAACGCTCTCATTTTTAACAGTCCGAGCGGCACTACAGCGATCATAGATGCCATCATGCCTGTCAGCTGTAAAATCGTCCGGAAACACAGTTTGCGTCCCAACTGAAATTGTGCAAGGCAGCGGTGAAACGCAGCCACCCTGCGTTCTGACAGACGTGCTCGGCTTGAAACGGAGCATATTTCCAGCCCGAGAAATGATACCTGTTGACTCGGAGTCAGTGAACTTTTCTGTAAATTTACTGAAAAGCCCAGTGTTTGGATGTGCGATAGGGTCAATGACAGCTGAGCCGCTGCTCGCTCTCTGGAGCTCGCGATTAGCACCCAATCGTCCAGATAGGCTAAGATGCGAACACCTTTCTCCCGTAGCGGAGCTAATGCCGCCTCGACACATTTGGTGAATGTTCGGGGGCGAGTGATAAGCCGAACGGCAGCACCAGGTATTCGTAGGCTATGCCCTCGAATGCAAACCTTAGAAACTGCCTGTGGTCCGGATGAATTGCTACGTGAAAGTAAGCATCTGTCAGATCGATAGTTGTAAACCAATCTCCCGGTCTGATCGCGCCCAGTAGCTGTCTGAGTGTTAGCATCTTGAACCTGTAGGTTCGTAGGTATTTGTTTAACACTCGCAAGTCTAGGATAGGACGGAGCCCTCCTCCTTTTTTCGGAACAACGAAATAGCGGCTGTACCAACCTTTGTTCGTTTCCGAAGCGGGAACAACTCGTATCGCTCTCTTGTTCAACAAGTTGTTTATTTCTTCCCTCAGCACTGCTGCTGCTTCCTCTGCTACAACTGTGTGTATTACAGAGTGAAAGCGAGGCGGCCGGACCCTGAACTGTAAGCGGTAGCCGATGGCAACAGTTCTCTCTACCCACGGTGAGACTGCGCATGCGCGCCACCGAGAGAGACGAACAGTCAGTCGACTGACCTCCAGTACTGTGGGGGAGGGGTTGTCGCCCCCTAGCGTGCCGGCTGGGAACGGCAACACTTTCTCGCCCAGACTTGATTGATTCATGATGTTTTGAGAACAAAACGAAACCTTTATTTGATTCAAAGAACGTACATTTGTGGCATTCACACAGTGAACAACAGGCGCCATTATTGGGGCATGTGTATGTGAGGGGGGGTTGTGCTTGGGAGACTGTGTTAAGGGAGTGCAGCGCCTCTCGGGACCGGACCCCTGAACGAACTTTAAACGCGGCCTCTTTGGCGGCAGAAAATGAAGGGCGGCAGTGTCTCCGTGCTGCTGGCCCTCTCGAGTCGATCCCGAAGCTAGGATGACTGCTGCTTCTTCTTCCTGGGCGCCGAGTCCCTCCGGAAGCTCGGTGGCGGACCCTTGTTCCAAGCCGAAGGGCGTGGGTTCTGACCGGGTACATGTCGCTTCACCGGCTGGGGCCCCAAGCTGGCGGGCGCTGCAGTCCTCTTAGGGGGAGGCGCTGGTGCCGGTTTGTGCGGATAACCCTGTTGTTTGGGCCTCGCATCACGCCTGGGGATGATGCTTCTCAAAGCTTCGGTTTGTTTTTTCCTCAGCTCAAACTTAGCTTGAATGTCGTCGAGGGACTGCCCAAACAAACCGCTGGCCGACACAGGCTCGTCCAGATAAACCGCTCTGTCCCTCTCCGGAACGTCGGAGAGAGTCAGCCACAGGTGCCTCTGCGCCACCACCGTGGAAGCCATGCCTCTACCGAGAGACAGCGCTGCACAGCGGGACACACGGAGGATGTAATCTGTGGCGACTCTAGCTTCATTGAGGAGAGGAGTAAGCGGACTGTCAGGAGGCATACGCGAGCCGAGTTCTGCCAGACACATAGCTTGATATGTCTGAAGCATAGTGACGGAGCTCAGTGCACGAGCCGTATTTGCCTGTGTCCTGTAAATTTTATCCAGCTGTGACGCTGAAAATCTACAGTGCTTGGATGGGAGCGTGATGGGGCCACCGACACCGTGATTCTGGGCCGGGGCCAGATAAGCTGCCAGGGACGCCTCCATAGGCGGAGGGTTCACCAATCCAGCTTTTTCAGCTCCATCTAGATCGAGAAACTGTCCACAACCGGGCACTGTGGCGCGGGTGGACAGCGGCTTGTTCCATGTCGAGGTTAGTTCCGCGACAAAATCCGGGAACATAGGCAAACTGTTCTTAACAGTCGTCGGTTCGGGTGGGAGAAAAAACCCTGTGAACCGCGACGGTTTTTGAGCTGGTGGAGGAGAGGGCCATTCTACCTCCAGTTTCTCAGCTGCACGGCGGTACAGTGAGAGGAAGGATGTGTCGTCCAGATCAACCGGCGCAGCAGCGGCGGCATACTGACCTGAAGACAACGGCTCCAGCTCATCTTCCGAAAAACCCTGCACGTCCAGGCCGATGTCCAGCACGTCATCGTCCTCCTGGTAACAAGCTAGCCCGGATAGCGGCTGGCCAGCGCCCTCGGAGGGGCCCGGCTCAAACCCAGCTGACCCGTCAGCACACTCCACATGGTCTGCCCAGCTTCCAACTGAGCCTTCGACCAGAAAGTCCTCACCACCGGACTCGGACGAAGCCGGGTCTCTGGACTCGGAAAGGAGGGGGTCGTGCAGCGCAACAGCGGTTTTTCCAAGAATTTTCTCCACAAACTTGACCCGCCTTCCCAGGGTTGAGCTCCGAAGCCGGTGACAGGACTCACACGACTCGGGCTCAGTCAACGCCCTCCTGGCGTGGACAATCCCCAGGCAAACGGGACAAGCCTCGTGAAGATCCTTCTCGTGAAGGGAGAAGCCGCACCCCTGAGGACAGGGGCGAACAGAAGACTTCGCCTTCACCTTCATGGGCTTAGAGCTCATAACGAGACTCAAAAGCTGAACGAAATTAGCGCTCCGCGGGTAGCCGTAGGCTAACACCAACAGGGGCAGTTGAGCTAAAGTCGATCAAGCAGTAGCCAGAGACAAGACCAGGCTAATTTAGCAGCAGCTAGTTAGCCCGACTCGGTGTAGGTGTTCTCAGCGAGGTGAAGAGCGTAAGAACTGAAGGATGACTGTGGTGTTACACGTATATATGTGCAGGCGGAGCCTCCCAGACGTCACCACAGATCATCTGCCTTAAAGGCGTGAATAAAGGTGTCTTCAGTCAGGTCACGCAGGGGCGTGATGTCCCATACTATATGTGTTGTACCGAGTGAATCGACTGAAAGGGAACAGCGCTATTTTCTTAAAGGGTGAATTTGACGACCAAAGATCAGCAGAATGAGATTTTTGATCAAAATCATTACTCCAAGATAAGCAACAACTGCTTTGTCACAAGAAGTCCAGGAGTGATGGAAATATTCACAGTCCAGCAAGCCCACCCAAGTCATTTCCCTTTTACTTTATTGCACCATACAAAACCAGATGATCTCAACCATCTTCTACAGAGGCTGTCACTGACAATTCAGACTAAAAATTGAGTTTCAAAGTCTGTTGCATATCTCAGTATTTCACTTAGGTAATCAGCAGAAGCATCGACTTATTTGTTAGTTAAGGTTTGCAAAAATGCATTTATTATAGACTAATATAAAGTCTTTTATCATTACAGGCTGAAGAATAAATCATTTGCATATTGCAGTTGGTATATGAGCATGTCCTCCTGAATTTATCTATTATTAGTTTTTGATTATTGGAAATTTTGGTTTTTGTCAGTTTTAGCACCCCAATCTTTGTCGTCTTATCCTTCACATGCTTGAGTAGAAATTGTTAACTAAAAGATTTAATCCTGCTGACTTTTGACAGAAAAATATGTTTATTTATTGTGAACAGTTTCGCAAAAATCAGTCTCTTTCACTTTTGGATGATATGAAAAAAAATATCAATATGAATTTTATTCTCATCTTTAAATTTATCCGGTAAAAATTCCCTTATTTTTATCTTGCAAATATATCACAGAGAAGAAAAATATGACTGATTTTTTATTTTTTATTTTTTGTGCTGTCATTCTAATAATCAAACCTCTGTTATGTCTGGTATTGAACACTCTTCATACAAACAGTATATCACGCTTGTAGATCCCTCAACAAAACAGCACATTCAAAAGAAAGGTCAAGTTATTTTAAAAAAGCATGTTGACTTGAAGCTATTTGATCACCAGTGAATGAAATTAAATGATAAAATTATTATATCACGATCTCCCTGTTAAGGCAGCCTTTTGAGGAAACACTGATGAATGTCTGATGGAGATGTCAGGAGACAGAAGCGCTCTCTGTTTGACTTGTAGGGGATGTTGTGTCAGACCATCTTCTGAACACTGTCTGTACTTTTTGGGGGATTTTTCTCTGGATTAGATCAAACGTGTTGTTTTTCCCCATTTTCTGTGCTGTGTCATTTTGAATGTTAATAACATTCAGCTCACTCTTAAGGGGAAGAGGTAATTCGCACCAAAATGTTGAGATATTACACAATATTGAGAGTGTGGTTTTACTGTAGGTTTTTGTCTTTTTTTTGTGTTGATGCTGCTCTTCAGTATGACTCAACTAAGATACTTTTTTGTTTGTCGGAGGAAGAATTATTATCGGGGAAATCACCTGTAAATACAAGTGGTAGAAAACCAAGTGCCTGAAACTACTCATGCATACACACTCACATACTCATTTCCTTCCTGGGTTATACATATCAGGGTACAAAAATGAGAAGGAGAGTGCGCGTGCATGAGCTGAAGTAATAGATGTGAACACTTCTAGATTCATACCCCTCTGTCTGGAATCCCCCCTTTTAGCACACACACACACACACACACACACATACACACACACACACACACCATGTCCATTCATCCAGTCAGCTCTTCCTCTTGCTAATAAAAGCAGATAATCTAAACTGAACGCTGCGCACATGCTCACAAACACACAGTTTAAGAGGATCTTCCCCTTTGCTCAACAGACCTGCCACAGATAAGCAGTTGCTTCTTTAGTCACTTAATGCCACTGTTACTGGCAGACAGATGGGCTTTAGAGAACTGCTGTTGCTTAAGAGAACAGGACACTCCTCTCTCACTTTCAAAGTGATTCATTTAGCACTTCTAGTATGACAAGATTGCAGTGACTACCATTTGCATAAAGTCGTCAAAAAGAGCCCCTATAGCTCCTCTCTTCCCTCCCAGTGTCACTTACTGAAAGTCGCACTCTTGTACTTTCTGCTGATGATTTACCAGCACTGCTCAAACTTCTCTTTTTGCTGTGAGTTTGCTTTCTCACCTAGCAACATGCAGGGCTGTTAATATGTCATTGACAAAAAATGTGCTCAATGTGTGTTTAAAGAAAGAAAAACTATGATGGAGTCTGGCTGCATTTGCACATGCATGGCTGCATGTGACTGATGGCCCCGCCGGCATCACCCACCTACCATGTGGCAAATATTTCACCCTCAAAGAGAGAGACAGAGGGAGAGAGAGAGACTTAGAGAGAGAGGGAGAGACTTGGAGAGAGAAAAGGAGGGAGACCACCCATTGGGTCGGTACTGGGGTCCAGATTAGGCTGCCCCTGGCAGTCCCTGGAGATCTGTTGCTTTGTTGATGGTTTTTTAATGACCCCGTTCAGGCTGAGGGCTCATTGTACTGGCTTGAGTGACAGGCAGATGGGAAAAGCTGATGGGTTAATCTGACAAACCAGAAAGGAGTGGAGAGGGGGCTTTTTTTTCCTGTCCACCTCATTCAGATCCTGTTTCTGCCAAAGCGCTTCAGGGGCAACAGTTTCTACTGAGGCTGTTTGAATATGGAAGAAATGCTGCAGCGCAATAAAACCCAAGAGTCTGCAGCGACACTAAAACTGCTTTGTGTAAAGAAAAAATAATAATGACTCAGTGAAATGTAAATTGTGAATTGCGTTGAGTTAAATTGAATTGCATTTTCTCTTTCAAACAAGCTGAAAAAGAAACAAAGCCACAGACAAACAGACGAATATAAATTCTGTCATATCTGAAAAAGGATATATCCAGACCGTTTATGTTAACGAGACAATTTTCCGATCATAATGGTATTCATCTCTTTCTAAAGATTGTCAATCCATCCATCCATTCATTTGCTTCTGCTTATCCGGGGTCGAGTCAGAGGGCAGCGGTGTCAAGCCTGTCAGCCAAAATCTCCCTCTCCCCAGCAACTCTTTCCTCTCCAGTGGGCTGTGGGTCTACCACAGGGTCTTCTCCCAGTTGGAGATGCCCAGAACACATCTAGAGGGAGGCATCCTTGTTGAATGCCCCCCTAAAAACCCCCTAAACTGACTCATTTCAGTGTGAAGGAGCAGCTTCTCTACTCTGAGCGTCTCCTGTTTGCCCGAGCTCCTAACACCAGCCGATCCACCCTTTGGAGGACACTCATTTCAGCCACTTGTACCTGCGATCTCATTCTTTTCGTCTCAACCCTCATGACAGATGGACCGTAGATAAACTTTTTTTTCGTCAACGCCGACATTTTCCTCAGTATACATCCGTAACAGTGATACCTTCTTCTCATAGTGATAATGTTCCTTAAAGTCCCACTCTGATTGTTTTTCTTTTTTTACAACTTAAAGTGTTCTCAGTGGTCTTTAAATTGTGATTATGAAGTTTTTAGCCAAAATCTGAGTCGTGGGCAGAGACAGCGCTGCTCTGCACACTCCTCTTGACGCTAGCTTGCAGCCTAACATCGTGGGTGCAGCAGAAGTGGCACGTAACATAGAAGCTATTCACCCCCTGGACACTAATGTCTTTGGGGACACAATGAAAGTTTGTATCATAATTAGCTTTCTTACAAGCATTGCATTTGCTAGCGAAAACACGCTTGTTCCGCGATTGTCCTGCTTTTCCGAGTCTGGTCTGTATCGTGGAGCTCCAGGGGCGGAGCTTGCAATTGTGACGTAAGAAATCCCACTGTGTCTGAACCTGCCGTTTGGGTCTGCCAGAGATTCACAGCACTTTGAATGCAGAAATACCCAGAAATGCAATATCGCACTTACTTTCCTCATGATATGTCCTGTAGCATTAGAAAAATGCCACATGAACATGTAGACAACAATAAAAACATGATTTTCATCGAAGTGGGTCTTAAAAAGAATATGTTAGCATCCCTGAAGGTAACAGAAAACAGAGTAATAGGTAAGGTGCAGTAACCTTCAGTGACCTTACCATGGTGGTTTTTCCAGCCACACATTGGCAGCCATTGTTGTTGGAGGTTAGCAGGATTGTCCCATGAAGCCCATTAGCTTCCGCTCTCATGGATGTCATGCGCATGTTGTTGCTTGTCCAATTGGATTTGGAAAACTGAAGGGGAATGCCACCAGACTTTTCAGTTATCTCTTGTTGTTGAACTCTTGTTTTTCTAGTTCAAAAGCAAAATAAACGGAGGGGGTGCCATGATTTACAGAAGATGACAAGATAAGCTTATGACTGGGGAAAATGTTTTTGCGTCCTTCCTCTGAGCTTATTATAAGACAGGCTGTTATTGAGTTACACAGCAGCCAAAGGGAGTTTTATGAGCCTTTAAGCTGGCTCCTTTCAAGTCTCTCCCAGCTGATAAATACTCTCTGGATCTCTTTTTAAATGATAAAATTAACCAATTATCATTACACGAGCTGTCGCTGGCTTACGTAAGCATCTCCCAACAGTCTATGACATGCAAATGAGGGAAACTTTCACCTGATCAGAAGTTTTCCTCTAATTCTCCCCCTCCTGCATAAAGTCCTCCCACTAAAATGACACCAGTCAGACGCACATATCTCGAATGACATCAAACAAATTGGAAACAGATTTTCTGCCAGCGCTCAAACTGATTATGACACTTCACAATAAAAGCTTTCAGGAGCAGTCACACTCCTCCAAATCGGTTTGTTTTTATGTTCACGATGAAAGAGTTTTCCATCTCTGGTCCCTCTTTTTAAAGTCAGATTCAATTTCTTTTAGTTAGTAAATCAAGAGTTTCTTGATATTCACTGTTTCTAATTTTAAAATGTAAATTTTAGAAATAAACACGATACTCGTACACTACAGGACATATCACAATCACCCATTCATGTCACGTTCAGACTAGAGATTAATCCACATGAAATATACAATATCACTACAATCTCATGACTGCATGAGATTTTACTATAAGTGAATAATTTTTTGTATGAAATATATGGATACAGTATTTTATTCCTGTTATTTGCATTATTACTAGCTGTGTATAATATCGTGGCCTTTACGGCATTTCTTTTATCAATCGTACCACATCAACTGAATGATATGTGATACTTTAGTGTATAAATGTATCTCATCTAACACACTATTCCGGTTGTGCTGATGAGCTACTGGAGCTCTGCAGAAGAAAAGCCCTTGAAAATGACATTGGTAATGTGATTTTGGCCGAAACACGTCATAATTACAGTTTAAAGACTTCTAAGAACACGTTAAGTAGTAAAGAAAAGAGATCTTCTCAGATAATAAAATCTATTGCATACTAACAAAGATATTTTATTATTTCTATCATATGATTATCTATGAGTCGTTCTGTTCCAACTGTTGCACTTCTTCTTGTCACTTCATATTTCATATATCACTTCTTTGAACTTTTTCTCACTTGTCGCCTCATGAGGTTAGATTGTCCTCATTGAACTCTCAGCTGATTTCAGTATATCAGACCATAACCCCTTTTACTAACTTTCACCTTAACTTGTCACTTTCCTCACATCTAACCTGTCCTCTAAAGAGCATTTTTTTCTCTTTTCTTTATATGCCAGTTGTATTTACCGCTCATTTTATTCTGTCTACTGTATAGGTTTGTCTACCTTATTTTTTGTTGAATCTACTTATCTTCTTACTCTGCCTTTGTGACGCTGCAACAACCAAGCATCCTGCTGTATCGTGTCATGTCGTATCCTATCACATTATCTATCATCTCATCGTATCCCATTCTATCATATGGACTTGTCTTGTCAAATCACAATCCGTTGGCCGTCCAGTCTTTAATGTCATATCTGACTCTATGTTCATGAGGCTGATAAAATCACCATCCTTTTTAACGATAACAGTCTTTCATCAATGTTAATGATCAACGATTAAAAGTCTTTTGCCTAATATTTTATATTTTACTGAGTTTACTGTTTCTTTATTTGAGAAATCCTTATTCAAGCTCAGCTATTTCTGTCCTGTTTGCTTGTAAGTAGGGTGACCATACATCCTCTTTTACACGGACATGTCTTCTTTTTGGGGGGCTGTCCTGCCTTGTCTGGGAGAGTTTATAATCCTTCAAATGTCAGGGGTATTGCATGGAAGTTTTGAGTTTGTGTCATGTGGACTAACTGAGTTAGAATTGCGCAATACACACTTGACCCGACCCAAAAAAACTCTTAAAATTTACTATGCACGACTCCTTGACTCCGCCCCGTGTAGTAGTGTCCTCTTTTTGGGGATTCAGAATAAAGTCACCCTGCTGTAAGCATCAGTGATGTTTGGACCTGGACCTTTACTTGCCAGGGAGTTAATCTCTGTCACAAGAGAAATATCAGTCAGTACCAATATTTAATGGATCTTAAGGTAGTTATATACAATTTGATTAAATCTCAAAAAAGGGAATAATGACAAACAAAGATACTTTAATTTGCTCACTCATTTTTTATATGCAAAAAATTGTACTTGCAAAACCTCTACAGTCAGCTGAAACATGAGGCTTCAGAGCTTTCTGACATTAAACTAGTGCAATTAGAAACAGATATTAGTGTCTCCTGCAGAGTATGAGGGCTAAATCTTCGTCATGAACAGACATCCATCAATAGGACAAGTATCAGCTGATGTTAATACTCAGCTGCTTTCCTGGTATCCCACAGTTTTTAAAGTACATGGGTCGCACACTGTCACTGGTTCAACAGAAGAATCTGGTTAAACGTATTTCTGACAATGACCAAGAATTAAAGAGTTATGTCTGTGATGCTCCTATTTTCCCAGACAATAGGTTTCCACAGACAGGATGAGGAGAGAGCGCAGCGGCAGGGAAAGGGAGTGGGGGAAAACCCTCTCACTGCACGCAGGAGAGCACGTGCAGCGCACTCTGGGAATGTTTAGATATCTCCTCAAACGGCTCCGCATGGGAAAAAAAAGGAAAAGTCATGCTCAGTGCTTTGACTGCAGCCGGCTGAACCCGAGAGGAGGAGGGGGGGTTGGCCCCGATTTGACATAAGCAAACACACACAGCGCACACACACACACACATATGAACAGAAATATACTGTACACACAGACTTTGATTGCACACCTTCACCATCGCAGAGAAAGTGTGACTTTTCCTCTGTGTACCCCCTCTAGAGTGGGTCCTACAAGACAGTTGTAGCACCTATAAACACACACTCCTCCGCACTTCACCATATTAATTGTTGATGGCCTCTTGGCATCCCTCCAGGTAGGGAAAAGGGGGCAGCGATCGGTTTGTGTGTCTCGCATGCGCGCACACACCGGCATCTGGATATTGAAGCCTTGTCTGTACCAGCAAGAGGAAGAGGAGGGAAAAAAGAGAAAAAAATTACAGCATATATCAGGAATTTTCCAGCTAATGATGTGCGGATGTGGTAGCACTGGAGAGAGAGAGCCACTGACTGTGCTGTCTTTGTTTCGCTCGCCGAGGGCCCCATGCTGCATTCCTGTACACTGTGCATACTTTGGCAACAGTTGTACTGCCCGTTTTTTTTCTGTTTTACTGTATACAGTTTGTGTGCTGCTCTTGCACTTTTCTTTCAGACTCCTGTAGCTCTAGCTCTGCCCCTCCCTCTCCCCCTCATCCCTCCTTTAAACCTCTCCTGTCTCTCCTTCCTTATTTCCTTTCTTGGCTTTGTGAAGGTCCATTGTTGGGACTGTAAATTGTCCTTTTTTTACAGAACAAGAGCAAGAAAGAGGGAAAGTGAGGGAGGAGTTAAATAATGGTGTTTACAACAACTGACTGCTCGAGCTAGAGCTTCGAAAGGGGGCCTCTCTGGAGACACAACATTACAGCTCCAGCTCCACCGTACTCTCAGAGTGCATAGTTTTGTTCATTTTATTATTATAACATCCGCTCTGCTTCTCCCATATGTGGCCTGCATGTACACTCTGCAGCCTTTATCTGTTTTCCTTCCGTAGATTCACAAAGGAAGGCTTTAATTTGTGGTGGATTGCTTTCAGGAATGTAATCAAATTCTAGCTCAGGACTTAAAGCATTAAGCAGGCCAAACATTTACCTGAGAGACTCAACTGCACTGCATGCTTATTCTTCTTTAGTCCGTAATCGCTGAATGGTAAAACCTCCAATCATGCTCTTGTTCATTCAATTAGATCAGTTATTTGGCCTCGAGTGCATCCACAGTACTTATGTGTGTGCAGAAGGTGTGTGTCTGTGGGTGCTGTGCTGCTCCTTCATCCTGGACTTCCTCAGTGAGAGAGAATGTAAATACAGGCCACCAGCCAAGTCCCATCAGCCTCAGTGCCTCTGGCTCTACAGCCTCAAGCGGCCTCAGTCATCCTCATGGCCTCAGGTCGCTGTGAGCATCCTACTTGGAAGTGCACATGGGGAGTGAGGAGAAGACGTCTGTGTCATGGCAGCAGAGGAGGGCGCTGGTGATGACTGTATCATTTGCTGATGTGTTGTAACTTGGGATTTATTATGTAGTTGTATATAGTTGGGCGCATTCAAAGCTCAATAATGTCATCAAATATTTTAGCTTTTCAATTGTCTCAGGTCAACTTTCTGCTGTTCCCATAGCAACAGTATGGCACTTTTACACAACCTCTGTGGGGTTCATTTAAAGCTCCTGTGAGGAACTTTTAGTTTTGGTGAATCTGGCGCCCCCTGTGGACAAAAAGAGAACTTGAGTCCTTTTGCTTCGTCTATTCAGAAATAGTATAGTCTGACCAAGACCTCACCTGTTTCTTCAGTCTGCTGTCAATCATCTGGTCTGAAGTCTACTCACCTCAGCAGTTTCAGGCATAAAAAATGACCATAGCAGCATTTTTAGTCTAGTCGCTGGTGGCCTTTAAGTTAAATTTTGTGATTTTCTATTGCCTTTATTGACAGAAGACAGGACGTTGCACTGAGCAGGAAATGGGAGGAGAGTGTAGGGAGGAACATGTAGGAAAAGAGCCTTACGCCTGGTTCACACAGGAAGCGCCGCGCACCGAGTTTAGGATCGGCGCCCATGTTAACCTATGTGATTGTTCACACAGCGCGCGCGGGGGAGTGCCACGCGCGGAACGGCTCGCGCTCTGGAGCGCGGCCGCTCCACTTCTCTCTACTTTTTGCGCGAGCCAGTTGTAAAGCTGGACAGAGCAGATCGGACCAGACAGGAAGTCGGGAACAGGAGATGTGAGAGAATCCGGTCAATTTTAAAATTAAAATATATTTCAATAAATTAGAAAAAAAGGATTTACAGTGTTGCTTGTCGGGCTATTTTTTCCCAATGAACACGCATGCATGCGCGCGCATACACACACACACACACACAAACACACACATACAGACGGAGGGAGAGCTGCAGAGATTCAGTGATGTTATTGAGACAAAGGAGGGGGACTTTATTACGATAGTCAATAGACTGGAGCTAACAAGGCTACACATACAACGGAGTCAACAGACTCCCCAATTCATTCGTTGTTTACCCCATGTAATAATTTAAAACAATACTTGAAGATGCTACTAATATTTAATTTATGTAATACGTAATACAAACGTAAATAAATATTGATTTACCCATGTTTAAAGCGCTCGTAAGTGTGGAAAACTGAGGGCAGACGGAAACAGTCGAGCACTGCCGGGCTCAGTCAATGTCTGACCGGCGCATCAGAGCGCAGCAGAAAACGCTTTATGTGTGAAGAGCCAAAAGCGCGCAGCGCGTCGGCTTCCTGTGTGAACCAGGCATCAGACTAGATTCACACCTTAGGCATAAACTTCCTTGTGTTTTAACACATTTTAGTTGTTTTCCTACTTTCTTGCAGGACATTTTGCAAAATTGAATCATAACCAATATTACTTTTTCAATTAGCTTGTTTCGCAACATCTTATATAGTCAGTTTATGATGGCAGCTAGCTTCCCTAATGTGTCCGACTGTGAAGGCATGTTTAGAGTGGGTGAAAACCCCTTTGATCAGCTGTGTTTATTGGATAACCTATTTATCTTAATTGTGGTGCGTCACCGCTAGCAATCTTCTTGTCAGAGCATCAAAAATAATAAGCATATGCTTGAAAAGTTTCTAATCTTTCGGCAAGAAATCGCATCAAAATTTTTCCCAAAATGCTTCTTGAACCAGATGATCTGAAACATTTACACTAGCCATGAAAGTGCATAGCTTAAAAGTTAGCAGTAGTTCCTCCTAGTAGTAGTTCAGCATTGTGACAGAAAAAGCACACGCGAGAACAAGTCGTCCCTCTCAGTTTGACTATACCAACTCTTCTGCAGGTTTGAAAGGTTTGAAACTTCTGCAGGTTTTAAAGGTAACATGAAACAATTAAAGTTAAATTCTGGAGGTTTGAATCTTGTATCATTTCAATCCATCCAGGTAAGCTTGCCTTTTGAGTGACCTCCGACCCAGAAAGTACAGATCCCCATGGCTAACACAAAATAAAAATAAGACCAAGATTGAATATACCGGAATTATCCTTTAAACATGAAACACATGCTGCGGATATCTTGCATACATTTGCACACACACACTCACACACACACACACACACACACACACTTAAAAGCACTAGGCAATGGAGCACGTGAATCCAGGCAAAAGCAGGTGCTCACTGTGTCACGTGCAAGTACTCACACATAACACAAACCAAACACCCCCACGCTCACATGCATGCACCCTATTGTCATTCTCCTCGGCTGTGCATGCGGCGCACTGGTGGCACAGTTCCGGATGTTGCAAGTAAGACAGTCCTGGAGGTCCAGCCCAGGAGGTCTGGAGGTCCTCTGAGGCAGAGGAAGCCATTTCCTCCCTGAAGCGGAGCAGGGGGCAGAGAGCAGCAGTGAGAAGGAGGAGGAGTAGGAGGAGGAGGGTGGTGAGGGGGAGGATGCTCTCAGCAGAGAGGAATTCTCAGAATGTTGTCCTTTAATCTGGAGTCAGCCTCACACACACTCTCGTTTTTTTCTCCCTCTGCTTTATCTGACCTCCTCTGGCTTTTCTGTTACCATGCGGAAGGGAAGAGGGGTGTGAGATAGGCAGAGACAGATTGAAAATGCAAGGCAGCTGACCTAGGGGGAAAACTGTGCATTGCATTGCAGAAGTTTGAAAACTGTGCATTGCACAGTTTAGGGGGCGACTTACTTTTCCTGTGCTTGTATCTCTGTTTCCATTCAGCCTGTAGAGAGGAGAGAGAGTGCAGGAGTGTGTAATGAGGGGATATGTGAAGCAAAACAGAGAATGAGAAGGGTGAGAAAGAGAGTCTAAGAAAGAAGGAATGCAAACGTGGTCGGAAGAGAAGGAAAGGAAAGGGCTGAAAAAAAGCTCTGCTGAACAACATTACAATCTGGGAATGTCCTTTACTCTCTTTTTACTGCAGCCTATGAATCAGTCTTATCTCTGAGAAACAGTCAACAGTCAAGTTTACACCATGACTTTGAAGCATGTTCCTTTAGAGGAGTTACATAGAAATGTAATATTGAGTATGACAGAGTTTGGAGTAAACAATAAAAGTAAAATAGACAGTACCCTTACACTTTTGCAGGGGATGATTGGCCATAAAATATCAAATAGTTGCCCAATATTTAAACATCAGATGTTGAAAAAGAAATATGTTGTTTTGTTATAAAAAATATAATCTTATTTCGAATTTGATTCCAGAAACACTTTTTCAAAAGTTGAGACAGGGTTAACTGAACTCTGAAAAGACATGCGATACCAGAAAAGCACCAGGGGGAACACCTCACAACTAATAAGGTTCATTTGCAACCACTTAATAACATAACTGGGTATTTTAAAAAAGGCTCCTCAGAGACACCAGGTTTAACAAAGTCGAGAGGGAAAGAAGTTTGTAACGTTCTGAAAGACTGGATGATTAAATGTGATTTGAATGAAAGAGGAAACTTACAATAAGCGTGATCTCAGATGCTCTTAAAAGGTGACGGACCTACCCTGCTTTTAGCGCACAGTTAAAAATCCAGCATACTTGGTGGTAAGGGAGTGAGTAAGTGACTAAAATATGAATCGCTTACACATTTAGGAGAGCAATTTTAACGCTGAATTTAAACAGGTGAAAGTAAATATTTTTGTGTCACTTTCTCAAAGAGAAAATCATGAAGCAGTGTGAGTTGAGTGTGTATGTGTCACAGACAAAGTAGGGAAGTGAGAAAGTCCTGAAAGGCTGACTAGTGTGTTGTTAGTTTGGGATTGTTTTTCAATATTCATTGACAAAAAAATAAATAAAAAATAACAATACTTTTAATCAGTAAAGCAAACGAAACAAGAGAGACTACTTTTTAATATATACTTAAATTAGTTCTCCAGGGTGCATATAGTCCAGGTCTCATTTAAGTTTGAATATCACCTTAAATCATCTTCCTTCCTGTGTGTCTTTTCGTGCATAAATGTGTGATACGAATGTCTTAATCTGCACTTGTGGGCAGGTTTTCGAATAACTCTGTATTGCACTGCAGCAGATGTACCTTGAGCTCTAGGTCTGTGGTTCTTCCTAGAAGGCTTCACATCTGTGCGTGTATGTGTATGTGCATGTGCATGTGTGGGAGTGCATGTGTGTGTAAGAGGGTGTCTATATAAACTCAATGCAGCAGACTGAAGTCACATGTGCATGAGTTTGCAGCTGCAGGAAGAAGCTTATTGGGCTATTTGTCACTAATGCATTAGTGCACAGTTTGAAATGTGATGTGTTAAGATGATTAGTGGCTGCACAAATGTAGAAAACTCTAAATGAAGAAAGTTGGAGTTAATTCCTACAAGACGGGACAGAAATGCAGCGCTGAATTTTCCAATTTTGCCAGAGAGGGAAAAAAGAGTGACATTTTGTTGCCCTGACCGTATCGGCAGCTGTGCAACTTCCATTCATGATTTTCTCTGAGGTTTCTCTGTTCTAAAAATCTTCAATGACCCAAACAGTCAGCCTGTTCATTCTTGGTGCATGTCTCATTTCTGGTCACATTGCTCAGCTGACGCATCTGAGCCAACTAGCCTCAACTTCCTTTACATTTCCACTTAAGCAGGAAGCAGGAGAGATGTGAAAGTATCACACATCTGCAAGAGCGGCCCCAAGCTCTATTAATAGTGTCATTGAGTTAAGTGGAGAAAATGTGACTGAACTTTTTATTCCTCTTAGTATCAGTTGACTGATCTGTTTAAAGAGTTCCAGCTTGGGGTAAAGTCTGGTCAGTTTGTGGGTTTTCCACTGGCATTCAAGTCTGTGATTTGAAGGAACAGAAACTTTGGGGGGCAGGGCTTGAAGACATCTCACTTGAATTAATAAAATAGGTCCTTGATTTATATTGTTAAAAAAAACGAGTAGCTTTGCACGTACGCAGATGAAGGAGCGGGAAAGATTGTGGATCATATCCCACATAATGTCATTTACTTTGTGAAATGATGTGCATACATGAACTTTGACTTCCTTTTGTGTCATTTTTTCCCCATATCAGCAGTAGTTCCGGGAGTAAGTCTATTCAATTCAGTGCTTTATTAACAAATACCAGCTAAGCTAAGGGTAGTAGCACAAAAGCAAAAAAGTTCCTGTTGAGTTATGGCAGTTTTTTTTTTGGTGCCAAAGTTCAGCAAAGACTCAAATGGAGGAAAAGTTTCTTCATTTATCAAACAACTGATCTCCAGACCCTGGTTGAAATACAGACAACAGCAGGCTGCAGGAACAGATTTGTTCATGGAAGAGAAGTTTGGGGTACTTTTCGTTTTCGTTGAAAAGTACCTTTAGACCTGAAAATGAAACAGTAGAAAAAGTAACCAGAAGCCACTTACATGTACTTTCACATTGAATCCCACAACGCCATGTTCTAGTGAAAGTTTTTATAATGCATTGTGGTGTTGCAAAGCACAAGATCCACAGCGTGTAAACATGGGAATAGGAGCGCCACACACAAACACACACTGTGGTGTTCCGCCCTGACAGCTCAGTCTTACATTATAACAGACTTAGATTCGCTGAATGTCTTTGACTATTAATGTTTTTGACCAATATGATAGTAAAAATGTTCAATAGTTGTTAAGACATTTATAACATATAAACCTTGTTGTAAACCTCATGGAGGAGGTAGAGAAAAAGTTATATACTCTTGGAAACATACATGCTTGTACCAAATTGTGAAGCAAATTTATGGGAATAATTTAGTCAAGAATCAAACATTAAACTGGCTGACGGACCAGCATTAGCCCACCTGTGCACATGCTAAAATACAGTAATGAAAAAGGGATCAAGATGACTGATTAAAATGTAAAACTGAAATAACCTTGGAGGAGTCTGCACCTAAGTGAAGATCTGATTCCATTTTTATTGCTCATTTTTGGCTGTCTAAACCCCATAAAGATCAAAGCTCTCCTGTTTCACTTACAGACTCATGAACAACATCTAAAAGCTCAGTGTATCATTTCCAAGTCCTCCTACACTGAGTCCAGTCCAGTTAATAAAGATATCTAGGTGACAGCACACTCTCTGCTCGCAAACGTTTGCCTCAGACTCTTCAGGTCCTGATAAGCGCTCTACAGTGCCTGTGAGGGGAACTGCAGCCAAAAGCTGTTGGAAAAATCTGGAGTTAAGGAAAGCACCTGGAACCAGTCCACTCTCTCACTAAGGGTCACTGAGTTTTGTCTGGAGGCTTTCCCTACTGTAGCTGTTAACAATGCCGCTGCTTTCCTGCAGGTTATGACTGCACACATGCGCTTACAGCTCCCATTAGAGTTCACAGGGACAAAGTTGGAAACCGTGACTTATGTGGAAAGGTGCAAAATGGCGACTGTTGAAGCTCAGGTGGGGGCAAGGCTGGTAATGCATGACAGGAAATGTAGTTTTAAAAGATTACTTCAGGCAGTGGTAAAAAAAAAAAAAAATAAACTGCACCTATATCCACATAAGCATGCATGAGCATGAGAAAGGAGGAGGAACATTTTGGAGACAATTTACTCAGCAGCAGTCAAACTACATGTTGTAGATCATGTGCTTTAATTGAACCTAAAGTTTTTCTGTTTTTGCATGCGTGTGTTACAGGTGGTTACATTGTGGTACAGAGCCCCTGAGGTGCTGCTCCAGTCCAGTTACGCCACACCAGTGGACCTGTGGAGCGTTGGCTGCATCTTTGCAGAGATGTTCAGAAGACGGTGAGAACTGCACAGAATGCTTTGTCTATGAGCGAGTACAAAATACAGAGGAACTTAAATCAAAAGCCACATATTTAGTGACCAGAGGATCTCCATGAGCAAAGCGACACAGAGTTAATCCAAAACTATAACATATACAGTTATTCATTGTACATAATCTGCTGCATTAATTGAGGACTTTGAGGTTTTGAGTTATTTTTTTATGCTGACTCGCAACATTTTGTGCTGCCACGTGTCTCTATTACATCCTCATTGCCATCTTTGTGTCAGTTTTTCTGCTGTCAACAAAACTGACCACAAGCTGACAGTCTTTTTTTAATCAGACATCCGATCTCGCCTTATTTATGTTTCCTTTTTCTTTTTTTTTATTAGGTGATGCAAGACAGATTATGACAGGTGTTTGACAACATATGTACACACACACACACACACACACACACACACACACACACACACACACACACACACACACACATATATATATATAGTACGAACAGGCAATGGAGACAAAAAAAAGTGACAAGTAAAGCCATTTATGTTTCCAACCCCCAAAAAATCATAGTTTTATGAGCTTTACACCTAACGTGGTTATCTAAATGGTCATATGAGCAGGGATGGCTTCAAATGGTTATAATTTCAATCGCTTATTTTGTTCACTCTGTTAACACTGTAAATCACACTTAACATCGCACCTCACTCACTGGCTTGTGCGGCGTAACGTGCTTCAAAAACGGTTGCACACTCAGTCCTGCATCAGCACTATGTCTATGCTCGAGACAAACTGACCCCTTAAGAACCATCTTAATCTCACTGTGCTTGTGTTGTGTGTAGGAACTATAAGCTGGGAAAATGAAATAAACAAGCCAGTATAACTGTTTGATGTGCGTGTTTAACCTTGTACCACGCACTGGTGTCCCTGCTTTGGCCTTTTTTCCCTCTGCAGAGGTTTTCACAGGTCATGCATCAAATACCTGGCCCCTTTAGTGATGGCTTTAGCACATTAACTATTTAAAGAGCAGATAATAATCAGTGACCTACAGGGATGTAAACATAGCATCCACACACATTCACATGCTTGCATCCTTGTGACCAGGTGTATTTTTAGCTAAAGCCGATTCTTTATTTAGTAACTTGTAGGTTTTTTGTTTTTTTTTAAATGGATGCAAAACATGAAGTTGGATGAGATGTTTTAGGGTTGGTGTTCTTTCCCTGGAGTAATTTTGCCGAAAAAATCCAAAGTAAAGTTAACTTTCAGTGATTTATATAAGTTTGTGTAACAGTAGGTACCAGTTATTTGGGCGTTTCCTGACATTCTCCTCCAATAACACCTGTCAGATGCTTTGTGAACGATCACATTTCCGTTAGCTTATCAAACCATTACAGTAATGACAGGCAGCTTGCTGTGGTTGCAGGGTACATGACAAGATTCTGCGTCTCTGTGTAGGTATTTGTCAGTTTGTGGTCTAACGAACTTTGCACGCTGGAGAGCCAACCTAATAACAGACTATTTCTACACAAAGAAGAAGGGTTGAACCGTCTGCGTTTAGAAGGAAGAGCACATGAGGGCATTTTAAATCATCAGCACATCACATTGATATTACAAATAATTAATGCTCCATGTCGCATATAACTGTCTTGTAAGGATCAGTTAACTGGGTTCAAGCCAGCCTGTTGTCGTGTGCTTCGGTGGAGATAAGAACAGCGTTTCTGAGGTAAGGCAGGGTGCCAAGAGGAGCAGCCTTGCCTGTAATTTATGCTTCCTTCCTTAACCGTCCTCAAACCCCAACATGCACAGCAACCCACGGGGTGATGCAGGGGGAGTATAAAGGTTGTGGTGACACAAGGGTGACGCGGGGTGAAGAGACTGTTGCAGTGTAACCCCCCACCCCCAGTGTGGCTGAATGTCTTTCAGAGAAAGAGTCTGTAAATGTCAGCTCCAGGTCATGTGTTCAAGATGCATTTAGCAGAGTACTATGGTGACACATGGGTATTTATGAAAGTGTAAGATAAGATCTGTACTTTTGACCACATATGCATCTAGATATGATCTTTGTAGAGGTGTGAACTGTAGCTGATTTTGATGGTTTGCGATCCTGCACAGGGCGCAGCATCCATGATTTTTTAAAAAGAAAGTCCAACTCAGTCAGGCTATGGGACGGTTTTTCACTTTGACTCAGTCCATCTGAAATCAGTGCAGAATGAGACAAGTTGTTAGTATTTGTGGATCATGTTTATATGGTTTTCTTTTTTCATTTCCTGAGGAGTTCATGTCGTGATTACCATTATAAAGTCATGTCTGTTTTTTTAAATGCACTGTTGCCAGAGGGGCCAAAGGTCACAGCAATGGTGTGAGGCCTTGTCTTTTTTTCTTCAGAGACTTCTGTTTCTTAAATCATTTGGATTTTTACACAATCTAACCGAATTTTGAAATGGTTGATCATTTTTCTCCCACTGTTTCTCACAGAGTGGTGAACCTCTCCTCTCTTCTAAGAGTCCTCGGCCTCTGTTGAATGCCTTTTTTGAAACCCAGTCATGACACGAACCTTTTGCATATTAACCTGATTAGTTGGAGACGTTCTTGATGTTTACTTTATCTTATTTCCAATTAAATATAGGGTTTAAATATTTACATACCACCACCCTGTTTTTATCACTTCACTCAGCATCAGAATTTGGGATTTTATAGAAGACTGTGAAAACGCTTGGAATACTCGGTGTCTCCTTCACACGGCTTCTTTTGTACTGTTGAAACCAGCTCTAATTGATGAAGAGGTAACCACCTTTTTCCTCCCCTCGGTGCCGGTGTCCATGAGACGTAGTACTGATGGTTTCACTCCAACCTCTCAGGTGCTCTCTGATCAGCGTTCGTTCTCCAATCATTTCTCACTGCTCCTTTTCTGGCTCATTTTACTTTCTGTTTCTTGGGATCACAGCTGAGAAGCCTATTAGTAAGCAAATCAACAGCTATTTTTGTCATATTTTCGTTAGTCAATTTCAACACATGCAGCAAATCACAGGTCTTCTATTAATAGCCACTCTGTTATGAAGATTTGCTGCTTTTGGTTTATCTGCTGTGGTAATAAAATCGCTTTTCCTCGCTGAAAAAAATACAATTTTCAGGTTATTGGTATTAAAACAAGTGACCAAGAAAGCCAGAAGTAAGTAACGCCTAAGTGGAGATAAGTGGAGTGCCGAGGTTAACGGAGTAGTGTTAGTGAAGTGAGGTGTTGTTTTTATAAAGGCTCTGTTTCTGTGTGTCTGTCATGTTTCACCAGCTTTACGTTACTGAGGTGTGCTATTTTGTTCTTCCTATCAATATATTTTTAAATCCAGATTTCTTCTAGGCATTTATGATGTATGACGTCCAGGTCAAAGCCCAGCATGCAAACTTTGGAGAACAGGCAGAACACCTGGTTCAGTTTGGGTCTGATTTCTGTGTAAACAAGTGAGAGAATCAATCCCGAAAAGTATTATCAAGGCATGTTGATCTGATTTTAGAAAATTCAACATTTCAGTCGACTTAACTTGTTCACGTGTGTTTTCAAATCCAGTTTCAGTCTGACTAACGACACAAATAGATTTTATTTAATATAATGTAACAATGGGCTGAATTATCCTTTAAAGCAGACACAATCAGAGGTTTACAGTACCTTCTCTGATAGCGGTAAGCTTTGTCTTTGTGTGTGTGTGTGTGTGTGTGTGTGTGTGTGTGTGTGTGTGTGTGTGTGTGTGTGTGTGTGTGTGTTTTCACAATCTGGCACCTGTCCAACTTCGCCTTGAGGCGGAAGGAGTCCTTTGATGGCCACAAACAGAACATGCTCTCTCTCTCTCTCTCTCTCTCTCTCTCTCTCTCTCTCTCTCTCTCTCTCTCTCTCTCTCTCTCTCTCACTCTCTCTCTCTCTCTCTCTCTCTCTGCAGGTGATTAAGATGGCCTTTTAAAAGGCCACCTGTTAGAGATTAAAGGGCACCTGGGAGAAGCGGTGAATGAAGGCAGGAGAAAGCATGATTGAGGGAAAGTGCAGAACAAGAGAGGACGAGAAAACACTGTTTATTGGTCTGCAACTCTGTTGAATTGGAGATTATAATCGTTGACAGCTCAGGAACAGCGAACCAGACATGCCCACAGGTGGTTTGATCACTTTGAGAGTAGCTTGTATCTAAAGTGAAAGAGGGCATCTGCATGTTTATCTGCAAGGGACAACCCCAGTTCACCCTGTCACCTCATGCTGCAGGTCAAAAAAGTGCAAATCCAACCCCAGAACTTTTTCTCCTCTGACTCACAAAAACTTCAAAGATCTCCCCGAGCACCGACCTCTCAGCTTTCCACTTTCATCGTCTAACCAGCATTTTTTAAAAAAAAAAGAAGAAAAATGTCTTCAGTTTCTACTGTAGCCAGAGTTGTTGGGAACTTGTCGTCAAAGGAATTTGAGCAAATATCATGCAAGTCTGCATCTGCATGACTGGGATGGTGTCGGGGTGAGTCACAGTCAGACTGAATGGGAGAGAGAGAAAGGGAGAGAAAGAGAGAGAGCGCCTGCTTGTTGACATTCCTCCAATCGAAAAGGTTGAACGAGTTGTGTTAATGGTCCGGGACAGGCCCCACATCCGTGTTGACTTTCTCACAGTTTGCAACTCGATTGATAAATCCTCAAACACACACACACACACACACACACACACACGCATGTAGAGTGTGTTCTTTACAGTAACGCACACAGCAAATCCAAACTTGACACACTTTTATGTCTGCACTGTTCAAACTGGCACAGAGTAATGGAGACACACTGAAACACACTTTTTTCCTCTCTCTTTCTCTCTCTCTCTCTCTCTCTCTCTCTGTTTTCCACCCAGACTGATTGACACTCTCACGTGCAAACATGCACACACACATTCCAGAGGTCGTCTCAGTGGAATGGGGGACAGAGTTGGCACTGAGGGAAACGTGACTCAGCTGCCTGTCCCAGCCCTGTCTCAGCCTTTTCCACTCGCACCACTTTATTTGTGTGTGTGTGTGTGTGTGTGTGTGTGTGTGTGTGTGTGTGTGTGTGTGTGAATATACATGTGAACATGCAAATCTCTCCTAAAGCGTGTGTGTGCACATTCATCCAACCTTACTTTCTTTAGTATGTGTACATGAGCGTTTGCACTCCTCTGTTGACTGTGTGCATGCCAGTGGCTGGCTCCATGTGAATCCAGTTATCCCCCTCCAACAAACCAACAAACCACTCCAGGTTTAAAAATGGACCTCTTGGAATTATCAGCTCTACTTGTTTTGGCAGGATGACTTTGCTGTAGGTGAATTTTTTTTCTTCTTCGTCTAATGCAACAGTCAGAACTGGTTTGGTCTGATCTTAAATGGCTTTTAAAAACCTCCGCGCAGTCCTTCACCCCAAAAGACCTGCATGAGTGGCGTGATCCTCGCTCACAGTCAGACGTTTAAAGCAGAGTTTTAGCAGCGCAGGAACACACGGATCAATTTGTTAAGGACAGCAGTTGAGAGTAATCTGAACAAACTCTGTTTGTCAATTCCACTTCCTAACTGAAGCATGTGACAAAAGAGTTTGCTATCTCAGTGAAAATGTGAAAAAATAACCGTGTGAGTAATTTCCCCAGTCTGTGTGTCTGTAGGAAAGTGTGGGTGTTGAGCTATGCAAAGCTTCCTGCAAGTGGGAAAACACAGGGAGCACATGGTGGCTGGCCAGTCTGTTGACTTCAGCTGAGAGCACTTCAACTCTGCTGAGGCCTGGAAACACACCAGCACACCTTTGTGACATTGTCCTGTACGATATTGACATCTGCTGGTGACTGATTATTTGAAACAAGTAGAAATTTTTTTTAAAAAGAGCCTTTGTCTACCTTACTTTTGTTAACTTTGGAAGTAACACATTTAGAGACATATTCTTAGAGCATCGTTGCAGTAAGAAGGAAGTCTTGTAACAGCAACACCTCCTCGTTTCTTTGCAGAGGTGCTTCAGCAGGAAGGACTCATTCTCAGACTCTTTCTCCCTCAGAATAATCCAACTTTTCTTTCACACGGCTCTCCCTCCCACTTTCCACACACAGCAAAAAACAGACACACACACACACACACACATGAGAGGGATAAAAAGCCTTTTTCTGTGCTGTGCGGCGGCCGGCAGCCTTGTGCCGATGATGACTACTGGAATTTGTGCGGGTGCCAGCGCAGGCATGGCCGCCCACGGGCATCCAAAGACGGCCCAAAAGCCACAGGAACCACCAGCAGGCCTGCTGCCGCTCTCCTCCCTCCTTTCATCCCTCCCTCCCTCCCCCTTGCTCCCCTCCTCAGTGGTACTACCAACACTGCTCCACAATCCTGACATGTGATGGAGCTGGGAGAGCGTGGCTTCTTCAAACGCTCACATCAGAGTCACACATTCCTCTTTGGCTCGACCTGAAAAGTTTATATCGTAGGGCTGACTGTCCGCAGTCCTGCTGTGTGGGAATTAGAGTTTAGATCTAAATAAAGTTGTTCAAACGTAAATGTTTCAGTAGCGCTCAAAATATTCTTTTGTTTTTCTCTTTTCCAGACCGCTATTTCGAGGAAACTCAGATGTTGATCAGCTGGGAAAGATATTTGAGTAAGTATCACCTGTTTGCTTTCCTATTACAGCTCCTTAAGCGGTGTAAAATGTGTCGATAAGTTGCTCTGTTGCTTCAGTGAATGGAGAAACGGGACTCTAACCATCTACTCATTCTCTTACAGTGTTGTTGGGGTACCTTCAGCAGAAGACTGGCCCCAAGAAGTGGCCCTTCCACAGAGTGCCTTCACCCCCCGGCCCCCGAAGCCAATAGAGGACTTAGTCCCAGACATGGACGAGCAGGGACGGGCTCTTTTAATGGTGGGTAGTTTGAACCTCCATTCAGACAGCGCCCCGATCATCATCTGTCACCATACAATCTCTTACCTTTTCTTTCTCTGCTTGTTTTCGTAGCAATTCCTCGCCTTCAACCCCTCCAGGAGGATATCAGCCTTCGCAGCATTAAGCCACCCGTATTTTCAAAGCGTGGACAGCCTCAGTAGGAGTGTGTACGCGGCCCAACCAATCCCTAGCAACAAGCCCACCATGGAGGAAAGGAGCGCCTGATCACCATCTTTCACCTTAAATCATCCCATGCAGTGTCTATAAAGAGTATTCCCAACGCCCTGTGGTGGTGGTGTTTTCCATGTCTTGTTGTTTATTAAGCTTCTTTGACACTGATGAACAGATATCAAAGTGAAACAAACCTTATGTCAGCGTTTGGTAGAGGCTGCATGAACCATGTTTAGTTAACCTGCAGCAGCTTTGCACATAGTCTTTCTTGCAAAAAGCTAGCCTCATGTCAAGTTGCATTGTTGGCCTCACTGAACGACAGCTTCCACGCAGTCTTGATTGAATTGAGGTCTGGATTGGCTTTGGAAAAGCCACTCCTCAACATGGCAGCAGATTTTTCCTTCACATTCCTCTGTAATTTTGTCACATTTGTCACACAGGACTGCTCTCAAAGCTGCTACATCTGCTGCTACAGAGTCTACTTTTAACCCTGAATGTGTTCAGATAAATACAACTGAAAAGTCATGAACGATTTTGACTGTTTTTTTCACTTTGTCGGCCTTAAAGCTGGAAAAGTGCCCGTGCAGCAGTCTCTGTAGGCTCAGGCCCCCAGAAAGGGAACTCCATTATTTTACTTGAAGCCTTTTTGCTTTTGATAACTTTAATAACCGGTTAGTGATTACTTTAGAGCAAGTCTGGTGTTTGGCCCTGCAGATACAGATACATAACTGCCTATTAATCCAACTCTTTCAAAAGATACAGGCTGGTTTAGAGATAAAATGTGCGTTACAGTTCGAAAGGGTAAAACTTATCTGTGGATGTGTTTTCCTTGAACCTTACAGATAACTTTGGTTGAATCGGTGTCAAAAAAAGCTTAATCAACTGTGAGTGACCATAAAAACAAACATGAGACGCACCAAACGGGCAAATTATCTTTTTATAGTCAACATTCAAAGCTAGAGGAGCAAAAGAGAGGCTAGAAAAGGTGTCAATAACAAGATACCGATGCTCTCAATCCCCCGGAAAATGCACAAAAGCTCTCCTTCCATGAACTGATGGATTGTAATTGCTGCTTTTAGGTTGTTGAAAGGTAAAGACTGACTGTAAACAATGCAAAGAGACATTGACTGCTAGAATTGAGCAGGAGGCCAGTGACTGGTGTTCAGACCTGCAGGTGCCCTCTTTGCTTAGAGGGGATCGGACCATACTCATGAGGAGCCTGCGTGAACATCATGGACCTTGCCTGCTTTTGTTGCAAACTGTATGTGTGTGTTCGTGCAGCGAGCAGACCCACAGGAGTTGCCCGCTCACAGATACGTGCGCCACATTTAGCGTGTGCACCATCACTGTCAGAAGCACACTCACGTATACACCGTACTGAAACATAATTGGGCATCATAAGCCAGCCACTCACTGCCATGTTGTGTCTTATCATTCCAGTTCTTTGTGTGTTTTATAACTGCCACCTTGAGGTTGTCTTGAGTAACTGCAGACCAGTAGCGGGATTCTAATGGTTTCTGCACTCTTCAAGGGACTTTTGATACCGGGCTGATGTTAGTGCTGAGACAATGATGAAAAAAGCTTTTCTAGAAATCCTTCCTGCCACTCACCCAGTTTTATTTTCACTTCATGTGGGCTTTTATTGTTTTAAATACAGTGATTATTTACTATCCTAATAATACAGTAATGCACAGGCTTGCAACGGGTGGAGAAAGTCCCCCCAGCACTATTCCACATTAATACAACTGGCACAGAACAGTGTTGCCAATATTGTGTATTTAATTTTAATTTTATTGACAAGTCTTATATACTTGTTATCAAGTTGTTACTTGATTTTTATATTTTTAAAGATGCTGGGGAATTCAACATTCCTACAACAATTCCACCGACTCTAGATGATGTTAGAAGATGTGTAAGAAAGTGAGGAATGTAAAAAAAAAAAAAAAAGGATAGGCTTTGGTACTGTACAGTAGAGAGTCCTGAGTTCAAGCTATAATGATAGAATATTTTTGATACGTGCATCGTCAGCCTTTACACACGTTGTAAAAATGGATAGAGGTAGAGTAGTGTGGGTCAGAGGAACGTTGAATGGCAAGAGTAATTTGTCTTTTGGAAATGTTAGGTGGGCTCTGTGGGTGCGTGTTGAATTTAATTTGCTTCGGATTGAGAGTGACTACGATTTTTACAGTATTGCACAAATATTTTGTGTACAATTTTTACGCTTTTATTTTACAATCATGTCCCGTCGTATTTAGTTATAACCAGCACAGAGAGAGCAAGTTATGCAGAGTTGTATTTTTGTATCTAGTAGTTCTTGCAGAACAGTAACATATTTTAACACTGGTTTACGTTTTTTCTTAACAGGTAGTGCTGCTAGCACACACACAGACACACACTCTGACTTTCTCAGGTTCTTTTTACAGACGTCCGAGACTTTCGGACACAGTTTGCACATCTCTGGGCTACTAACTGACCACATCACTACTCCTTCAGGTTTCCTTTCGAGCTGTTCTACGATCATATCAATGATCCCAGTCTACTGTCATTCCTATTTATCAACTTATGTTACTGTAGTCATTACTGTCTAAAGATAACTGCCTGTATTACTTGTTTTTGCCAGCTGCTTTTAATTGTAAGGTGGCAAACACAGTATAGATCATGTGTAATTGTCTGCTTGACTTAGCACTGTGTGAATTTTCCATTTGATAACTAATGACTCATACCTGGTGTCGGTGATGCATTCAATGCAACAAAAGCTCCATACACTCTTAACCTGGGGGGTTTACAGTGAAATAACTTGTGAAGTTTCATTACACTTGATACAATCACTGAACACTTCTGTCATAAACTAACCAAGTTTAAATGCAAATCAATCATGAAAGATAAAAACTGAATTCAACTGTTAAACAAATCCAACTCAAATTACACATCTTGCTATTTCACATTTGTTTTTAGCAAATGGAAATGGATGCTAGAAAAACAAAATCATGGCATTATACTTCTGTATGATTGCTGGCATTGGTGTCCTATTATTGTGTTACACCAATTGAATAAAACGCTTTTTGAGAATGTTTTTTGGACTTATTTCAACCTATTAATACTTGTGAATATTCTGGTAAGCACTTAATGAATATTAGATGCAAAAATACCACTGATGTTGTAGAAAAAGAACAAAAAGCTATAGAAGCAACAGCATTAGACACCACTCTAATACACTGAACACAGACAGAGGTCTATCAACAATGTAGGCTACCAAGAGTAAAATCCTTTTGGTGGTAATAATCTGAATACCTTTTTGTTAGACTCAACAAAACTATAATGCATCCAGCTAGTTTTAAACAATGTCCTGAGAGACTAAAGAGAACACATTCAAAGAGTTGATAGATTTTAATAAGGGGAAAAGAGCCAAAAGAGGCAAGACTTGCTTAAAAGTGTTGGACTTTGAAGTGTTCATGAAATAAGTAGTGCCTCATTGTGATTCAAACCCACAACAGTAAGAAATCAAATTTTTTTGCCATTTTTTTATACTTCTCTTTCATCATCTTACCAATAACGATAGAAAACTACTACGGGAGAGAAAACTAGTTGCTGCTCTGCACTTGTTTTTTTTTTTTTTTGTTTGTTTGTTTGCGCTGTTTCACACTCCACACCAGTTGATGGCGCTGGCGCTAAATACCTGTCTTTACAAGCTGCCAGAAAACAACCCGGAGAACAAGAGCTGTGGGGCTCCATTAACAAAGTCTGATGTGGCTAGGTAAATGATAGCAAGGTAACACTAATGGTTCTCAATAGCGTAGGATATTTCTCCAAATTACTAATTCGTCATGGGAAAAAGAGACAATCGAGTGGTAAGTGATTGTAAATGTGAGAAAGTTGTTTATCTGCACGCTATCGCTTGGTAAGCTAAATAAAAGCTGTACCTAGCGTTAGCTTAGCTGGCTAGGTGATGTATTCCTCCGCGTATGCACTGTAGCCAGGCCTGGACTGTTTACCGCCACTTGTAACATATTTCTGTATTTTGTCTTCTTTTATTCAACTTACAGATTCCATGTTAATGCTGCTTGGGTCACTTTGCAGTATTGAATATATTTAGTCTCTTCTAACTAATTAGGTTTTGCAACTCAGCCTGTATCAGGGAATTGAGTGCTGTGACGCGGTGTTGTTGCGCAGTGTTTTTGTTTCCGTTGAACTATAAACGGCCTTTAAGTTAAAAAAGAAATTACACCTAAACAATTACTCTACTAGTATAATGGTTTCTTATCTGCTGGAAAAGAAACGCTATTTTAAATAACATTTATTGATGTATTTGTCCTGTCTGTCGTTGTCGTTTTAGTATTTGCTTAGTTAATGAGGAGAACAGAATTGCACTCCTGGGTGTAAGGGTGTTATTTAGGGTCTTCTTTGCAGTAATCTTTTGATTTCTAGGATGGCCATGATGATAATGCACAATACTTACACAAAATGTGTTTTCACCTTACATCAATAGCTTCAATAAATGTACACTCACTCTTAACTGCAGTGTCTAATACCCTGGCTTTTGGGAGCGTTTCCATCCACAGATTGAGTAATGTTCAAAAATCTTCCCTCTGTTTGGTGTCCAGGCTTACATTAACCCCATTGCTGCAGCACGAGCCAGAGGACCGGTACAGAACGCCGGACCATCTATACAAGATTATCTAAGCAGACCTCGACCAACATGGTGAGTCAGTGACTGACTTATTGGTGTTTGCTGCCAGCAAGTAACAGCAACCTCAGAGTTGCATTCATCTGATTATGAATACAGAAGTGATGTGTGGACTTTTGAAGCTGACCAACGGCTGATCATATTTTTCAAAAGTTTAAACACTGAGGATGTTGTGTATCCAAAAATTAATGTTAAATTTTTAAATTACGCAATTTTAGTTTTTTATTTATTTATTTAGATGAATTGCCCGTGGCCTTGAAAAATGTTATGTGGTGTGACCATAATTTATCTCAAAATTAGTAAATTTTTTCAACACACTTAATAGTTTTTTACAAATTGTCAGTAATATCAAGTAGATAGAAACAAAGTGTTTGCCTTTCATTTGAGTTTTTGTAAATAATGATCTCACATTTTAGCTCTATAATGTCATGGTCACTAAATTAAATGTAGTTAACTGACAATTTTTTTCTTTAAATTGCATAATACTGATAAAAATGTTTTAAAACTACCTTTCACTTAAGCATATTGTATCAGGTATTAATGTTTTGGTTACAGAAATTAGATATTTTAGTTTGTATTTAATACAATTAATGTCATTATTGGTCACAAGTCACAACACATGATATTTTGACACTTTGAAGTTCAGAAAAATTACAAATAAGACCTGATTTTTGAATGTTGAAGTGACTACATATATGAGAGAGAAACTACATATAGAAAGTATATTTTTGTGCATTTAAACTTTTTTTAACTTAAAAAAAAATACAACCGGGCAGAATATTTAGGCGTCACGTCATTGACCCAATAATAATCTACTCTGCACTATTGTCCAGTGCACAGGAGCATCAAGCTGCTCTTGGTCTGTGGTATTGTATCATACAATTTGTACAGAAATTTGACATGCTCCCTTTAATTGATCTGAAGTGTACTTAAGCATTTCTCCAGTAGAGGACCCTCTCACAACATCACAACTTCGTACATCTCATAAAGAATCCATATGTTCATTGCTGATCCAAGAGACAAAATACAAGGCCTACTGTACAATCTGCAAAGATGAAGCAGTACACTCAAGTCTTAACATACATTTATGCACAGATATATCACTGTGACCGGTTATGAGATATGAAAATGTATTATAACTAGTTCAGAAATCTTCCCTGCACCCTCAGCCAGGTACAGAAATGATTTGGGGCATGATAGCTCAATTCTGTACTGGCAAAGACTGTAGGATGGGTAAGTTTTTTTTTTTTTTTATAACTCATTACTTTTGACTATATTAAGGTTGTTGTTTATATCCATTTCTTGAGGGGTTGAAGATACTGTGCATAGAAAAAACTGCAGCAAACTTGCAGTCAACTGGATCCCCTTTTTGAAACAGGTCCATTAACTGATTTATACTATTTGAAAGATCCAGGGTGCCACAGACCAGTACAGTCTGATCTTGAATTCTGGTACTACACTTCTACTACCTACGTACCTTAAAAATCTTATACCTTAAGAGCTGGTGTAGCTCAGGTGGCAGAGCAGGTGTTCAATGTGCAGAAGCAGAAGTCCCTGTTGCATAGACTGAAGGATCAACTCTTACCCGGGACAGATTATGATGGCAGTCATCCCCCATCATCTCTCCACATTTCCTGTCCCTCCTCACTGTCCTATCAAATAAACATGTCAATACATCACCTCCTTTATGGAAGAAGACTGGAAATCTTTGTACTAGAGGATCTTTATGAAATCATATGCTCTGGTTTGGGTCAAATATGTGCTGACAAACTTAACAACCTCGTCTTCACTGCTGCTGATTTATTGTCTCTCCATCAGGGAGGAGTTAAAGGAGCAGCTGGAGAAGAAGAAGAAGGGCTCTCGAGCCCTGGCTGACTTTGAGGACAAAATGAATGACGTATGTTTTTATCTGTTAGTCTGACATTCTTATCTTCAAATGTGGTTACCTGTTAACTGACTTGATTTCTGTGGCTGTTATGCAAGTTACGCAGTTTTAAGCGCTTTGTTCAGTGGAATCTGTCTTTTTCCCTCTATTTTTCTATTTCTGTACAAAAGTGTCACTGCATTAACAACTGGAGGCTTTTTTCACTGTTGTTTTCAGAAATGGAGGCGAGAACTGGCGAAGAACAGAGAGAAGCTTTTAGGAGGAAGTGAAAAAGACAAAGAAAAGGAGAAAAAGATTGTGGACAAGGAAAAGGAGGAGAAGAAAGAGAAAAAGGAGGTGTGTTGCGACTCAAATCGTAGACATTTAAATGATCTTCCTCTCTCTCTGTCTGGAAATGTTCCTCACTTCTTTTTTTCTATTTGTGTTCAGAAAAAGAAGAAAGAGAAGAAGAAATCCAGTAGGGTGAGGAGAGACCTCCACTGTTTTGATACCCTCACACACACACACACACACACACACACACACACACACACACACACACACAGCCTCTCCAGAGATCGTCTCTTTTTGGGATGTTGGCGATCCATTTCAAATGACAAGTGAATAACCTTAAGTCTAATGAACCCTGCTTTCATTGTGTTTTGGTCAAGCATTCTTCATCTTCCTCCTCCTCATCGAGTTCTGATTCCTCCAGCAGCTCCTCCTCAGAATCTGAAGACGAGGTGAGTCTTTACGCGCTGCATGGTCAAAATATCCATTGAAGAGCTCCTATTGTGAAGCTACAGATCTATCAGACCCTCATCTCGATATATGTGTTTGACACAGCAGGCAGGGTTAACGTTGAGTTTTTTTTTTTTGTTTGTGTTTAGGATGAAAAGAAAAGTGTGAAGAAAAAGCGTAAGCGAAAAAAGTCATCGGTCAGGAGAGCATCAGACAGCTCAGAGGAAGAATCCGACACTGACAGCAAGGTTTTTCTCTTGTTTTATTCTCCTGTAGCAACATTCATTCCTCTGTTTCTTGACACTCTTAATAGTCTGGTTGTGTTTATTGAAAATGTGAAGCCAAAATAAATGGCCTTTTAATTCTCATACATTGATCTTCATGCTACTTTTCTTTCCAAGAAGAAAAAAAAAAGAATCAAGGAAGAAGTGGACAAAGACAAGGTGAATTATTGTATCTGTAATGCTCTTGCAATCTTTGCCTTTTTCCTCCATTAACACCCTTTTAGTGCAGGTATTTTAAACAAACAGACACATTTGTGATGACAGATTTGTGTTCTCCAGGACGACAGGAGCCGTAAAAGAAAAAGGAAGGCTGAGCGAAGCTACAAAGACTCATCATCTGAGTCCTCTGTGGACTCTGAGGGAGAAGAGGTAGTCAGTTCTAACTGCTTTTATTCACTCATACACTGATTACACTGTTAATGATTACACAACCATCCCGCATCTTCCTACTTCCTTTTTTATGCCCTCTTTTTCTTGATGATTCAAACAAAGAATATAATAGAAAACTTTCCTGGACCGTTAGCTGTTCAAAAAGATTCACCCGTATGTTCAACCGAATTCTGCAAAAGCTTTGACCTCAGGTTAACCCTTCGATTGACAAATACTGTCAGTTCAGCTTGGGTCGCCGTTAACGTCACATGAGTCAGACTTCTCTCTGTGCCTGAGAGAATGAAAGAGAAGAGAGAGGCCCAGGCCAAACTCTGAGGCCCAGGCCAAACTCTGCCCCCCTTACTGGTTCTAAAACCAGGTTTGGAGTATCTTTAGGGGAGAAGTGGCCCTTCAAAACAGAGCAGCAAGGTTTAGGAATAAAAATCTTAACTTGGGAAATGGGACAGAACTTGTGTTGTAGTAAAATTCCAGTCTGATACATTTAACATGGAAATAAGCGCACTCTAACTCATGAAAGGATCTACACAAAGGTTTTTTTTCTCTCTTTAGAATGCTTGCAGTGATTAAAATCAGATTACTTTTTTTATTTTAATCAACATAAAATTAAAAGACCTCCTGCCAGTTTCAGATATTAACATGATAATTGGCAAATGTACGAGTTTTTCCCTCCAAGACTGAGGCTGTTTTCCCTGCCTACAGAAGGTAAGATAACAGGAGAAAATAGATGCAGCAAAAGCCAACAGTAACAAAGTGTTGGAACAGAGCAGCAGAGCGTACTATCCATTACTACACAGAACTTTCAAGAGAGGTAAAATTGGCTCAAATATCTGCATCAGATTTGAAACTTAAGTGGTTCTGCTGCAAGCGCTTTTAGAAATAAACGAGTTGTGTAATTATGAAGACAGTTGCAAAAAGTGGGCCTTAAAATCCTTTTGCAAATGAAGACTTTCGTTTTACTTGTTCTCACTTCAACTTTTTATTTCCACAGGCTGAGGCTAAGAAGAAAAGGAGAAGTAGTGAGGAAAAAGAGAAAATTACAGTGAGTGTCATTACTACAGAGTAAAACAAAGAATGTAGAAATGGTGAAAGAGTACAGAAAAGATTTTGATTTTTGCTGTTGTAGTTCAGTCAGGGTGGAAGGTAACACAGCTCTGGAAAATTAAGAGACCTCTGCAAACATGTTCTCTCTGGTTCTCCTGTTTTGGGTTTGTGTTTGTGTAAAAAGACATTATAGAATACAGTAGTTTGATTTGCAGAAAATGGCAAATGGAGACGATCACAGAGATGCAGTAAGTTTCAGAGTTTAAATTTTGTATAAAAATTAAGGTCATATTCATGTCCAAGAGTGCAGAATAGTGATGCTGGAATTCAAGAGTTGAGAAATCAGGATTTGACACTCCCAAGTGAGCACTCAGCAGGATTTCAACTTTGACGTAATTGTTCAAATCAGATCAGCGTGATAACACCAACATGAGATAAAAAACAGAATTTTGTAGCTAAATTTGATACCCCCCTTATAATTGCACATCGAGGACAACAGAAATGATCATTATGACTGCGTTTCTTCAAAGTTTCTCCCAGTGGTCAATAAAGTCTTGTCTATGTAATTTTGAGCTTCTATACAAAAATCCTGAATTCTGCACTCAATGGGGCAAAAAAGTTGAGAGATGTCATAAAGAGAGCATTTGTAATCACTAAAATAAGCTCATACACTCTTACTTCAAAGACAGAAAGACCACAGGATGCTGCCATAGTCAGTTAATATGAAATGACTTTGTGAGGCTACAGATTTCAATAGATATTGGTGGTGAGTGGAGTCCATTTTAGGCAGCGGGCATTTGCAGCCTAATTGTGCAAATCGATTTTTGGTGGCAGCTATGAAAGCCTGCTCACTTTTCTCATCATTGATTGATTGATTTTCAAATGAGTGTGTGATAAATCTTGTGGTAGAACAGACTCTCAACTGAAATATGGTACAAAGACAGAAATTGAATCAACATTTGTAAAAAAAAAAAAAAAAACTTCTGGTGCTTTAACTCTTATGTTTTGTGTTCACAGGACAAATCGAAGAAGAAGAGGAAAAAGAAGCACAAGAAGCACGGCCGAAAAAAGAAAAAGAAGGCAGCGTCACATTCAGACTCTGAGCTCGACTAACGACAGTAGCTGTACAGTTCTCTCATCGTCCTGACAGTTCTCTAGTAGTGCTATTATTGCCTTTGACTTTAAAACTTCTCCCGCCCAGCCTGACACCAACACACTTCCAATGCTGGAGTTCTGTGAGTGAAGAGAAACTGAGGGGGAGGCCTCTGTCCCCCAAAGTGGCAACTACTGGTACATATCCTCTGTTGATTTTTACCACCATACTTTTTGTAGAAGATCGCTCTTTGAGTTAATCTCAGCTTCAGGACCGAAGTGATTTTTTTCTCCCCTGCTTATATCAGAGATCTTAATGTGGCAGGCGCTTCCTTTCACTGTCGGTATGCTGGCCCTCTCGGAGCGACTCTCTGCTTCATACACAACGTTTCACATTTCTAGCGGCGAGATGAGGCTGTTGTGCTAGTGCCTGAGTCATGCATGTAGACCTGATGGATCTGATGTCTCGCCAGCCTCATATTGAAGTTGGAACTATTGGAAATGTGAGCTTCACAGTCGTCATTTATACAAGGGATAACTGTTCAATAAGTTACACTGCTGTGTAAATGTATAAACTATGGGAATTCATTAATAAAGTATTGTTTTAGCCTTTATAGCTGGTACTATAGTTACAGCCTCTGCCGTGACTTTTTTCTCTTTTTTTTTTTTTTTTTTTTTTTTTGGTTTGTACAGATGGAAATCAAACATTTGCACAGCCAAACCACCATCACCCACTGAATTTGCTTTACTGCCAACCACTATGCTTTATTTGAACCATCACACACATCTGCATTATCTTACTTCCTTAAATCTAGACTTGAGGTTGATTTTACTGTTAACCCCTCCCCCTCCAACCAAAAAAAACAAAAAAACAGGGGCAATCAGGCTACTTCTTTAATATCACGTCTTATTTCAGGTTCCCCTTTAGCATTAATTGTCTGATTGCCTGAATATTTCCAACTCAATTATCATCCACTGCTTTGAATAAGAATGAAATTAACATATTTGTGGAGAAGCACTTCTATACAGGTACAGGTTTTATTTATTTTTAAAAATGGGAACAGTACATATTGATAAACATTTACATGTAAATATGTGGAATTGTAGCCGAATGGCTAATTTCCATCCCCAGTCCCATTGGCAGGTTGATGTTAAACATTAAAGCAATAATGTTAAAAGTACATACAACATGACGAAGACAGTAAAACAATGCACTGACAACATACACAGACCAAAAACTAGGTGACCAATCGTAAGGGGACTAGAAACATTAAAAGAGAATTGTAAAGTGCTAATAAAATTGTCATACGCTAAAGGTGTTTAAAGTGCCATTTCCTACAGTACAGTTAGTTAAAGTGATGAGTGCATAAGTGCAAGATTGAATTGAATTGCACAATGCCCATAGCACACAATTACACTAGCAGATGAGTGTCTAAAATTGCACATGGTTTGTATAAATAAATGTACTATGTGTAACCTTTAGTAACAAATTTGCGTAAATGAATGAAAATATGTATACCAGAACAAATTAAGAGTAGTACCCCAAAACAACTGGCCAGTTAGACATGACGAACAATTTTCGACATGATTATGATGGCAGGTCTGGTTTTCCAACAGCCATGACTTGAGGTGTTCAGTAAAAGTGGTGAGGGTATCAGTTCGGCAACAGAAAATATGACATTGTGAAAGCATTCACATCAGTTATAGCAGGATAAATAAAGTGAGCAGTATTTTAGTGGAGCTGTGGGCCAAATTTTTACAATTTTTAATTCACATATTGCCATGCTGCCCTGCTTAAAACATCTTTGCAAGGAATTGAAATGCATGTCAAGTATTTTACAGTAAAGAACTGTATTTTTCTGCTCAAAGTTGCAGTGTGCTTCACAAAAAAAAAAAAAACAATAGAGAAAACAGCAATAACTGAAAAGACCCAAACTACAGGTGCTTCATGGATTTCTGGTATGATAAAGTTTTAGAAGATGGTGAGAAAGATGCAAAAAATTGGTCTTAATAGGTTAAAACATTACATAGAATGATCTACCATAAAATCTGATCGTTTTTATAACTTTGTTGTTCTTCTTTCCCATACAGCAACCTGTTTAATAAAGTTTGATCTCTTCAAAGTTTCTATTTTTGTCCTCTCTGAAAGGGTTCATAGAGGCGCATCATGTGATGAAAACTGTCTTCAGGTATCAAAGGTTGAGTCAAGCTCGTAAAGGACTCCGTGTCTGTATTTGTTGTTTGCAGCAGCCTCTTACAATGATTACCTCCTATAAAATATACAGATGACCAACGACCCACTAACACGCACCGTTTTAATCGAACGGTCACGGGACACAGGGGAGGGACGGGAATGTAAAGTTCACCGTTTGGGTTGACTGGTTTTGTACAGTGGGAGGAGTGTTTATCACTGTCTTATAAAGAGAGGTGAGTCTGTTGATCATATTAAAGGAAGTGTGGGACCTACTGAGACGGTTCAATAAGTTACTCAAGGTAAGAAACACTATCTCTCTATTGAAGACAAAAAATCAGTGCATCTAAACCCTACTATATCATTTTTAACACCTAAAGATGACTATCTGACTAATCCGTGGCATTGATTTGAGTAACGGTCTGTGAACTGGATAAAACGAAACTGAAAGTCCGTCCGCCAAAATGCGCTCACGACGTTGCGTTTTAAAGATGGTCGTGTTACTACATCACTTTGGTTCGTAACTAAAAATCCTTCATTCAAATGTAATCTCCTTTTTCCCCTGCAGATGTTGAGGCTAACTCTGTGTTTCCTTGTGGTGGGTTTTGCGTCCTGCTCCGTAACATGTCCTGATGGAAACGTCTGTCCCAATTTCAACACCTGCTGCAAAACTCCACGTGGATACAGCTGCTGTCCTTATCCCAATGTAAGTCACATGATTTAGTATAATTCACCTGGTGGAAAATAGGAAGCTCCTCCTGATTCTGTGTGTTTTCTCTTCAGGCTGTGTGCTGCTCTGACATGGCCCACTGCTGCCCTTCAGGATACCGCTGTAACCTGGTGACCCAGATGTGTGAGAAATTGGACCAGCCCTGGTTGAACATCCCTATGGTAAAGAGGGAGGCTGTGGAGACACCAAGTGCTCCTCTTCAGCCTTTATCTCCCCTTCAGGAACTTGAAATCCCAGAGCAACAAAAGAGTTCAGTGGTCCACTGTGACAACTATTATACATGTCCTGATGCCACCACCTGCTGCAGGCACCCTAAAGGAGCCTGGTTCTGCTGCCCGTACTCTCCTGTGAGTTGACTCGTAAACTTGTGTAATAAAACACATGACTGTGATGAATTTCCTTGAGTTCATCAGACTCAAGCTTGATTTCAAAACACTCTCTTCCTTTATTTCGCTGCTGTCCCATAACTTTCAGAATGAATGATCCTGTTTGGCACTTTGATTTGCAGGGCAGGTGTTGTCTGGATGGCTACCACTGTTGTCCATATGGCTATGACTGTGACTACACCTACACACACTGTGTGAGAACAGGTCTGAGATACCCTTTCACCCCAAAACAAGCCTCGATCCCAGCTATTCTCACTTCAACCAAGGAGGATGAAAGCAGCTTGAAAGAGGTATGAATGCGGCTGAAAATGTGTCTTTTTGTATATAGTTTAAACGTCTAAATGGTCCATGAAGTCCCTTATGAAATCATGGATTTCCAACAAAGGAAGAAAGTGAGTCATCTGCATTTGTTTCCTGTTTCTTGATTTTTTCACTGATTTGAAGTAGGTGAGGCTTAGCAAGCAAAGGTCCCTGCATACACCAATGAAGATCCAGCACTCTCAATCGCACAGGAACCACAATTGGATATTTGTTTGATAATGTATGAATAATTTTAATTTGTGTAAGGACATCCCTTTGAATACAGAAGTATCCCCAACTCATTGTTTTGCTCTTACAGCCAGCATTTATTTTTAGTCTCCCTGCTTTTATTCATCAGGGATGTGGTTCTTCCCAGGTTTTTCGATCCAAAGTGGTGAACCATGTGAGTCTTGAAAACCACAGAAAAACACATTTAAAATCCTTTAATGAGCTTTTAAGAGAAGAGCTCTGAGTGTGTATCTTCTGTTTTGTCCTAGCCTTTCCAAGATGATATGCTCTGATAATTTACCAACATGTAAAATCCCTCCAAACTCTCTCTTCACTTTGTCCATGAAGGGTTGTATCACTGGGCGTTCCCAGAAGTCCCACTTATACCACATCCTCTCCAACAGAGGGGGCTATAATTTTTATCATAACTAGCTATAACCAGGGGAGTTTTGAGAGAACACATCCTTAACTTCCAACCAAATTCTCTCCAGTTGGGGCTACTTAAACATTTATACCAAGACATCCAAGACCCTTGCCGTTCATCATCTGAGATGGCTGAATTTGTCTACAATTCCCATTTATTTTTTGCATCCAAGGTATAAATGGTTGTACCCACATGTATTCTCTGGTATAAACAGGAAACCGTACCTTTTGAGCCTCATTGATTTCCTACTACCCCTATCCAAAATATTTCAAAATAGATGGCAGCATCATAGCACTATCCCGATTTTTTGTGTGATAGCAAAAAATGTCGGATTTTCAAGTATCTAAACAAACTCCATCTTTTTCTGTATTTAATTCACAAAACTAGAATTCAGTCACATAATAAACTAACCTTATGAGCACTGACTAATTTGTGGAGCCTGCAGCTATAGAAATGATGCTGTGTTAAAATGTTTCCAAACTTAACTGGGCATGTCAGCTACAATCAGTTCTCTTCCAGGTATATCACTATCTCATATCTTATTTGCAAACAGTCTCAGAATAAAACATTGGGACCACACAGGTATTGAGAGTTCAAAATTTGGTCCAGAAACACTTGAAGAGGGCTGCGGCTCTGTCCTGGGTCATGCCAATGTTATGAAATCTTCAAAAATAATTCCTATACTGGAATGGCTTAGAGAGCTCATTATAATCAACTGTGTATTTTTAATGTGTATACTTTCTACAACTTCAAGACCAGTTTGTCACGCCATCTAGTGACCAATTCACATATTAGCATATCAGACATTATATCACTGAACATACTGCTTCCTGCTTTTTATCAGATGCCAATCACATCCCTGATTGATCTCTTTCACAGATGCAGCGCCATCATAGACAGAAAGCTTTGATTTGTCAGCAGAATTTCACAGTGAAGCAGTTTTGCCAGATATTTACCCCAGGAGTTGACGCTGAGTCAAATAGAGCCAAACACAGATGAAATGCTTATTTTGTTATGAGTCATTTGGGTTTCAGAGGAATGATAATGATCAGAAATCAGATATAAGGGCTTTAAAAATATCTAAAAGTGTTATGAGTCATTTGGGTTTCAGAGGAACGATAATGATCAGAAATCAGATCTCAGGGCTATAAAAATATTTAAAAGTGGGGCATTTTACTTTAAAACCTGTTATAAAAGAATTATAACCATGATAAACTTTGAAATGACTGCCTAGGAGTAATGATTATTTTGTGGTTTGACTGTTTGCAGACACCGATGACAGGCCTCACAGAAGCCAGAGTTGGCACCAGTGATGCCAACGTTATTCGGTGTGATTCCAAGTTTTTCTGCGCTTCATCGATGTCCTGCTGCAAAGGACCCACAGGCCAGTGGAGCTGCTGTCCTTACAGCCTGGTATGCATCAAATACTGAATTAAACCATTTAAAAAGATTTGGCCTATCAGTTCTAGTAAGTTTTTGTAACATCAGACCTCCTCATGCTTTAGGGCACGTGTTGTGCGGACGGTCGGCACTGCTGTCGGTACGGACAAACCTGTGATGCCTCCTCCATGTCTTGCAAAGCGGGCTTTTACCAGGTCCCTTCAAGGGAGCAGGAACCAGCCAAATCAGTCTGAGGACATGTTGTCGAAGTGTGAGCGCTGTCACAGATTTTTGAATATTTTGCTAAATAAATAATCATTGCACAAGTAGAGGAATTATCATCAACATTAGATTGGAAAAAATTCCTGCATTATCATGAGTCTTTGCTTTCTGAAAACATTGAGGAAATTCAGTCTTATAATAATTTAAAAGAGACAAATCAAGGCCACTTCATTTCAGCTTTAAATCAAAATCTTTTGTTTGTTTTCTCATATGAAACAGAACTAGTTACAAGTATTTGTAACATTTTTCAATAAAAGAATGAAAAAATAAAATAAAGTGAAGTTGTTTAATGGTTATTACTATGGTAGCTGACCAGTTTATTCATAAATATATGTTATACATAATCTAGCTCAACATAACTGGGATTTGTTCCAGTTGATAAATGTCAAAAACTCCCAACAGGAGCTTTAATACTCATTCCTATTCATGTGTGGCACTGGCATCATAAAGAACTGGTACAGTCCTGATAAAAAGATGATGGCTTCTGAATAAAGTGAGAAACAATCACCAACTTTAGAAACATGACTGAGAGTTGATAAAAAGAACGACCATTATATGACACCAAAGTCATGACATGCCAAATTGTTATTGACTACTGCTGGCAGGTTCCTGCAGCTGTGACGCACTGGTGTGTCATGTTGGCTGGCGTGCAAGTGTACCATGAGCGGGTCTGACCTTTTGCACATGACAGCCACTTCACATGAAGCAGCATCCTTTCTGACATGAGGGGCACTCAAATGTTCGTATTATTGGGGGGAAAAAAAGTTATAATTGCTGTGATGCCATACATTTTGATTTCTGAAGGAGGAAAAGCACCTACTGCTGTCCCATACTAAACTCCAGCAGCAAAATCAGCCATGCATCGTATTATTGAAACATACCATTTTGCCTCTGGGACCTTATTGATAAATAAATAACCCGGTTTGAAATTTTTAAAACACAAATTTTTATGCAAGGCTTTCACTTTGTCCTACTCCCTGCAAGAACTTTACATTTTCAGCTGAAAGTGACTTTTCAAGCAGCTATTAAAGCCCCTGAAACAAATGGTAATAGGGGTTATCTATGTGCTGTATTATGTGATAAATGTAAACAAGTTTCCTGAGGAAATTTCAGGTTTAAAAGTTTCCATCAAGTATTAGAAGTTTTAAAGTAGTATTTACTCTATCCTTGGTTGTCGTAGAGGGTAGAAAGAGGAAATCAAGGCCCATATTGAGAGAGATCCTTAACTTTGAGTGACACATGGACTCGACATGTGCTTTACAGATTCTTGGCTGCCTCTTTGTATTTCCGCCTCTTCTTTTGTTATAAAGATAAACCTTCACTTAACTCTTTCTTTGGTGAAATGATAACAGTGTGATGTCTTTTAAAGTTACAGGATTTCTTACAGATGGATTCACCAGGAGGCTAACCTTTACCAAAGTGCCTGAATCTTGAACACAGTGGTCGAAGGAGGATCAGTCTGGACCAGGAGGCCTGCAGGCTTCATGACTTTACTGCAAAAATCTGGGACAGGAAAGGAAATGTTATTACGAGGTCTTATGAGAGAGCATGGCATGCAGAACTTTACTGTCCCTGCATGTATAAACTTGTGATGCGAACAACTGAAATGTTTTTCTTTTATCGATGGTGAGTCAGACGGAGTTGCATAGCTAGAGGCAAGTACGGATTGAGGAAAAGCAAATACAAAAAGTAACTGTGGTATGGGAGTACAGTCCCTGCTACAGACTCCTAACACTGTTTCTATGCACATATTCACACATTTTGGTGTTTTGAAATATACTTAAATAGTGAATTAATGAAATGGGTAGAACTAGTGATACCTATTGAGATTTCATGTTTGGAAGATGATTTGCCACTTAGTTTCTCAAGTCATTTTTTCAACACTGCCAACTAAAAATAAAGCAGTACAGCTTAAATAATGCAAAAATAAAAATACATATATATTGAAATTTTTGTTTCTCAGATCAAGCTACCATAAAGCAATATTTCAAACTGTCTTTAGTATAAATGTGCCTCAATCTTCCTAATCCCTTAGCTATTTAGTTATTTTTGTTCTTTTTTGATCAATAATAATCTATTCTCCTACTGTTACTTCAGTTTTCATTGTCACTGACTTGAGATTCATTATAAAAGTTCCTAGTTTTATAATGATAGTTATAGTAAAGTATGATGGACGCACTGAATCCAGCATTGAGTGTGGGCTATTACAGGCGTAGTGGTTGCTTAAATGTCAATGAATATGTTAGGATTAGGGACTTAATGCGGTTACATGAAATCCTCCCTGTTGAATGAGCTGTTGGCGAGGATTATACAGTGTGTTGTGGTCCTTACTCTCCCGGTGTGTCATTTCTGACCCATGATGTGTTGATGACTCCCTCCATGGCAGGAAGGAAGAGGGGGGACGCTGCTCCATTTGACTCCACTCCGGATTAGTCCATCCTTATTCAGTTTCTCCCGGCTTATTTACCGTAACTCCCAGGCGAGTTACTAATTCCCTTTGGTTTTAAACGGAGAATATGGCTGTGTTGAGGATACAAGAACAGGTACTGTTTTCTATCTATTAAGATAAACCTTCATTTCCATTAAACTCATTGGTGTCGCTTTTTGAAGATATGTTAAAGCTACTTTGGGTCAGAGTATCTTTGTAACCTTAGTCATCGCGGTGTCAGAACTAAAGCTTAACTTCAACTCATCACCTCAAACAGCTAAATGTGTCCACGATAACCCGAGTCTTTCTCGGAAATGAAACTTTAAATGATATTGGTCCAACGGTTAAGTTAACGATGCCGAGGTTCGCCGACGGTTAAGTCTACTGACATCTGACAGTTAAGCTAACTAGCTAGCGGTTACCAGTCAACAAAAAACCGCTATGAGGTGAAGCCAAATGGTACTTTAGGATGTGTAGTCAAGTACAAATGACTAGTTTCATGTCAAAATCGCGGTTCAATGTCTAATTGTCCGTTTTCTTGGGTGTTTTGAACTGTTGCTGTTGTTGCTTTTTCTCTGGTGGTGATGGACTGGTAAACACAGCTGGATAGCTTCGACGTTAACAGGGTGGCTAACTCCATTACCCCGCTAACTTAAGACGGGGATAGTACAATTATGAACTTGGGAAACGTATTATGGTGATTTGGCTCGCATTCACAGACTGCTTCGCCACCCACGGAGCGTTCAGCTTTGTCAGCTGTCCAGCTCTGCCCCTCGCACATTCTCTCAGGGTTAGTTGTGGGCAGTCACCTGTTGCTGGAAATAAGAAAGGCTGTCAGACTGAAATAGCAGGTGGTGCTGGTCCTAAAGCCTCCAGCTGTGGGCTTGAATTAGAAATCTTTACAAGCTCCAATCTGCTGTTATGAATCCTCCTGGGAGTTTAAGCCATGGCTTTTTGTTGGGCATCAAGATACTAGCTCATAAAAATTTTACTTTTTTGTTGCAAGGTGTAGCCAGTCCCAGTCCCAGGTTTGTATGTTGCATTAAACCTTACAGACCATTTCCAGAATACTGAAGTCCAGACAGTCTTATTATGGATGTCAAAGTTGAAGGAAGTTTAAAGATTATGGAAACATTACAGATAAACAGATCAATCCATCAGGCATGTGATCGGGTTCATTAATGGCATTTTTAAATAGTTCCCTGATGTCTGCACACATTAAGTCAATTAAAAGATAAACAATAATGTCTACAGAGACTGCAAGAAGCTTTTGAAAAGCTGCCTCCAGTCGTAGATGAGATGATGAGCAGGATAAGCACAGTAGGAGTAAGTAAAGTTATTATATTTCACGTGTTCACTTAGATTACCTGTTTAGCTTGAGAACTAGAAATGTCAATGGATGTAAATAAGCAATCAACTCTGGGGAAGTTTAGAGAAGATGGTGGAAACTCTGATTTATGTACCTATAAATGCTTACCTGACTATTCTCAGTCACCGTGGTCTTTTCTACACAATAACACATTTGTCTTATTCTAAATAGCAGACGACCAAATCTGAAACATCTACTTGCTTTTGTTCAATGAAAACTTTCTTATGCCATATAGAATAATTCAATTAAAAGTTGCTTTTGACATTAATAATCTTTTGAAATCTACCCAATTTTATTAGTTTTATAAAATCATTGGAAATAAATCTAAGACATGTTACTGGCTTAGCCAAGCTTGTATATTTGGTCATAAATGCATGGAACAATGGAATTTTACATGACATGACTCTCTCATTTCTTATTTGATTATTGTATTTATCAAACGCAACAACAATAACAACAACCTGGTATCAATTATCATATACTGGCCAGTCTGCTCTAATCATTTGCACTGACATCAGCTGTTAAAAATGGTATTGGATGACCAAAAGAAGAGATTCTGTCAGAGGTAAATTTGATCATGAAGGAATTTGACAGGTTGTTTGTTTTGTTTTGTTTTGTCTTGTTTTTCGCTTAATCACAGCATTTGAAACGTTTCTTCCCATTAACTTGATGGTGGACTAAATTAATTGTGTGGCTGCTAGTCTTTCAAAAATTAGAAGTATGAAGCAACTTTGGCCTTCCTAAGTTGATTTATCGATATAGTCTCTCTGAAGTTATAATGGCAGGCAGGTACTTTGAAAACCTGTGCTGCCTCAGGATTGGCCTGCATGAACGCTGACAGATACTGATCTTAACACAAATGATTTCAGCTGCAATATGAACTTCAGTCAAAGTGGGTCCCTGAGTGTGCAGCTCTGTAGCCTGTCCTGGTCTGACTGCTCTTCCGGGCAGTGAGCAGGCACTCGACAAACGGGAAGAGTGCGTGTGATTAGATTCCCCTCTCTATTCTTCATTGTTCTCCATGGAGCTTGCTGACAGAAAACTGGACAAAGGGACAAAAATAGTTTCAGTCACAGAGCCAAGGTCTGGACCAGAGACGGGAGCGAGTGTAACTTTTGGCTATGACCTCTGTTTGTCCTCTAGAGGGCGTCCTATAGCCTTCAAGCATGCCAAGCATCCTAACAAGGCTGTGGTGAAAGAGAGGATGGTAGAGACATATGAGAGAACATACTCAGAGAGCATACAAGAGAGTACAAAGGCAGGTTTTTGCTAACTTTCGTGAGGTTTTTAGCCAGCGAGTTTCTATGCAACATCTGAATTGTGCTCTAGTGTATCATAATATATACAGTACTGTAGTGTCTTATTCACAGTAAATAACTGCTCATCTTGATACAGCTGCTCCTCTCAGTGGGTGGTATATGTTGGACAGTGAATGATCCTTTTGCTCTAAAAGTTGATGAGTTGAAAAGAGGAAAAATGTGCAGAAATAAGGATGTGAGCGATGTCTGAGGCCATATTTGGGTTGGTTTTCAGGGGTACCCAGTCTGTAGTGATCGATGCAGAAGTGGTCCAAGTAGGGCTGGGCGATATGGGAAAAAGTTTATCACGATATATTTTTTTCATATCAGTAAATATCGATATAAATATAAAAAAATCATTTTTCAATCATAAATGGTCCCTGTTACTCTTCAACGAAATGCAATAGTGCTTATTGGTAGCATGTCTTTTGCAATACAATAAGCTACTGCATCTGTGAGGTCTTTGAGTCTCTTTGTCATTTTGTCGTAAGGCATTGCACTAGAGGAAGCAGACTGAATGGTTGCCTGTTTCGGCTGCACAGGTGCCATGGGCTCCTTGCTCGGCTCAGGGTTTGTAACCTTTAGCATTGCGCGTGCTCTGTTGCGTGGCACTGCTTCAGGTGGTGAAAAAAAGATTTGAGGTATTCCCCGACTTTGCAAGAACATGTACTTGACATAATTTGCAGTGCACATTACTCTGCTTCATGTCCGACCTCAAAAAACCAAAATACCTCCACACCACCAACGTTTTCGTGCCAGTGTTGTCGACGATGTCATCATCTGTTGGGCCTTCATCTGCGTTTCTGCCAGGGGTAGCACTCATTTTCAGTTTCTTTTCTTCTCACTGATAGTGCTGTTGACTTCATGTTTTAAAGTGCTATGGTTGCGTGTAGCTGCAGCCTGCTACTACGCAGTTGTTTGCTACTTGGTTTTAATTCAGCACATGATTGGTTCAACATGAAGCGGACCCAAAGCAACTCCCCTTTTCATTGGCTATTCGTATAGTCTACCAAAACATGGCAGAATGCTGACTATCAAAAAGGATATTGACCATGTTTTAAACCGATATTGAGGGAAAATCATTTTCGATATTGTTATCGTTTTATCGCCCAGACCTAGGTACAAGGAAGGAAAATGGTTAACTGGGCAGCCAAGGCTCTATGTGGTCGACCTAAGTGGTCAGTACCAACGAGAGCGGCAATGTTTGTCAAACTCTTGTAGAAACCGTTTTAATAGAAATGTGTTTGAACACCCAGTGCCTTTAGGGGTCAGGGCTGTTTAGCATCAGAAAGGGGGGGGGGGGCTACACCATAAGAGGCAGGTTGTCATGATTTATGGCTGATGGATTGGTGTATGAAGACGGAGTTCCTGCCAGGAAACAAAGAGAGTGTTCAAGGCCCTGTAATTCTTGAACTAAAGTAAAACACTTGTTTATGGCAACAGTTAAACAAATATTTCACAGCATAGAAATGCTGATATAATCAAATAAAATACAATACATGTAGCACCTTCATCCAAAGAAAGCTATTTGAAGATGTAGGCCTTTGTCAGAGTCTCATCGCATTTCTTCATCCTGCTGATGTTCAGCATGTTTTCACCGTACCTGTGTCTCCAACCAGTCATCTATCCTCAATCTCAAATGTTTCCATTACCAGAAGTGCTTTCTTTTTCACTTAAAGGTCTTCATCGACCACATTTTCCTCACTCTTTTCTCCTTCTGGCTGTCTTACCATGGTGTAAGCAAATTTAGATCAGTTAATCAGAGATGGCTGCTGGGCTAGCTGGCACTAATATGATATGAATCCATATATCAGAGGCTCAATCTAAACAGGTCAAATGTGGAAAGTCAGTCTATGTAAAATAGTTTCTTTTACTCTTCATAGTAATGGTAATCTTTTGCACATGGCGATCATGATGGAGTTGCAATTCTTTGCACAGCCTTGCATTGAAACGTCTGTCACTCTGGATTCACGTGTCATTACAGACTCATCCAGTCAGTGAGAACATCTCATTCACTGTATTGCACGTCCTGGTGGTGGTGAGAGTGTGCATACCATCTATATTATGTAAAGATGGCAAAGCTTTATAACATCTTTCGATCCCGTAAGGCTTTGAATTCTCTGTCTGTGGGACTGAGAGCCTGAGCAGCCCCCCGCCCACACACGCACACACATACACACACACACACCACGTGCTGGCCTTTGTGTTTTATGGACTGGGATTACATTACGCACCGAGCATCCTGTCGCAGGGTCAGAGCAGAGGTCACTGCAAGCTGCATACTTTCACTGCTACATGTGCAATGCCATGCTTGGCCTTTCCTATGGAGTACACCTCAAAGGTTGTACTTGGATTTAATTGCTGCTGACATTGCATCTTCATTCTGTTGTAAATGCGTTGATATCAGGATCATCCTCTGTATGTTACCCTTTTGAGGACTTATGTGTCGCTTGTTTTTAAGACAGCTCACCAAAGTTGTTGCTCTTCTGCTCTACTGTATGTAAACTCGCCTGCTTCACATGCTTGCCTTGTTTGCATATGTTAAAGAGTCCTGCTTGCTTCTCCAAACACATGAATCCACGTCTGCACTGCAGTCACCAGAAACGCTCGAGCCTGTCTGGGAAATGGCACCAAATCTCCTCTGTAAACATCTTAGGGCTACGCTCCTGAGAGCCTCCCCGGTGCTAGCGAGTGGAAAACATTGATTGTTGTTTGTATGCTTCCCTTCCTAAATTTCATTCAGTATTTGAGCCTTTGTGGTGAATCTCTCTTATATCAGCTCACTCACAGAGCAGAAAAACCGTGTTAGGCTGTGTTTCATATTAAGTTTGTAAATGGCAAGGCAATTACTCAAAATTTAGGCCTACATAGAGGCTCCATCCAACCAAATCTCTCTGTTCCTCGTTTGCCCTCCCTGGCTCCGTCCCTCCCTCTGAGTTAATGGGGTTGTGTGGCTTGGCAAGATTGCTCTTTTTAGGATCTGTGTTGAATATGAAGAAGGCAGACACACACTCTCAGACATGCACGTACAGAGTGGTCTTGTTAGCTACCCTCACATTCTCTGGCAAAGGCAGTTTGTTCCAGTTTTATAATGAGGAGATCGGGACTTTTGAAGCCATGCCACGGATACACCAAAGAGGATAGTGTAACACACACACACACACACACACACACACACACACACACACACACACACACACACACACACACACACACACACTCACACTGATCTGGAATCCATTTTCTTTCCTCTGTCTATTCTTTCACATCATAATGGAAAGAGCACGTCTATTTTAGCACCAACTTTATGGAAATGGTGACCTCTCAGGTTTGATTGAGCCAAATCTAAAAACAACACAGTATTGTAAGTGCACATAGGTTCAGTTGAAGTAATTGAGTCTGCACAAAACTTTTACAGCATGAGTCGAAAAACAGAAAAAAAAAAACCTTAAAGTTGTTCTGAATTAAAATAAGAAGAACTTTAATTAACCCAAAGGGGGAAATTCAGTTACAGATTATCTCAGCTCTAAATAAAAGATCATGCCATTTTTCACTTTAGATTGGAGGGCTTTCAATTATCAGTCTCCAATCGTAGCACCATCGACTCATCCTGCTGACTTTGACTGTCAATTGGATCATTTATTTTATTATAGTATACGGATTTGAAGCCGAAAAGCTCTCGGTAATTCCGTGTTTTTTCTCCACTTCCTGAAACCAACATTGCGCAGTAGCGTTGTACACGCTCCACCACTTGCGCAGTAGCATTGTACGCATTCAGCGGGAGAGTCGGAGAGTCGCTGTGATGATGCTCGGCTCAAACAGCGTATCCCCCGGGTGAGCTACGCAATCTTCGTACACCCATAGGCTGTATCAAGTGTCAATCATAGAAAACATGAACCCCCAAATAACTTTTAAAAATGGAGCTTCACAGAAAAAAGAGGACTTGAGCACAAACTAGTTTTACAGTAACTACATGTCAACATCACAAGCAGGGGGGAGAAAAATGTATATTCTGTGTTATAAACTTCTAAAGTTTGTCAACAGCTCCATAGGGATTGCTGGAGGAGGCAAAATTTATGACCTATACTGCAGCCAGTCACCAGAGGGTGCTGTTCTTGCGGTGGCTTCACCAAGCGAGGAGGCAGATGGTGTCAATTCTATATACAGTTTTTGGTAAAAACAGAGCTCTTTTTTTTTAGCTGCATGGCTCTCTACTGTTTTTGAGCAGAAATCAGAAAATAGAAACAACCAACCGTGTTGCTGATGGTCTTGTTTGCTTTTGTTTATATAAAGAAAAGCATCAATATGAGTTTTTGACAGTTTCATTACTGCCAAATAAGATCCACGCTGGAGCTTTAAGCAGGCCTCTTTGTGGATTTGCATTAAACAAAGAGTGAACTGATAAAAACGAGTTATCTAGGTAATATTCTGTCTTTCAGAAGAGTCCACATGAATGTTTGTCCTCTCTTTTATTCACACTCTATGACCAGTCTGCGATCATTCTTAGCCCCTGCTCCTTTCTATCTCAATTCATCTTCAGGTTTCTTCTTCTCATAGCGCTCTACCTGCCTACATTCATCCTCTCCCTCTCCCCCTGCCCCCTCCTCCCATCCCATCCCTTCTCCCCTCCCTTTCCCTTTCACTTTCTCTCTGCCTCTCTCCGTTTGAAAGAGCTGGCTTCAGCAGTCTGCCTGAAAAGAGCGACGCATGCCCACACATACACAGGCTGCTACGGCCCCCCTGTCCACACTAATCACAGGGACTCTGTGTGTGTCTGCGTGTGACGTATGTGTTTATGTGTGTGTGTCCGCTCCTGGCTGCAGCACAGCAGTGAGGATATCTAGCTTCCTGTGTGCTGCTAGGCAGCCCAAGCTCATTCTGCCGCATGCCGCTTACTGCCACCATTACGCAGAGGAATTCCCTGCTGTCTCCACTGCTGCTGCTGCTGCTGCTCACAGAGAGACTGCGAGTGGGTTAAAGGAAGGAGAAAGGAGAGGAGGAGACATGCAGAAAAAGCGACATTGACAGATAGAGGACAGAGCTGGATTTGACTTTGGATGTTTCATGAAGATGAGCCGTGTTTGTTTACGAGGAGACTGCTCGGGTTTTTGGATTCATTGCTGACCTCTGTGTTCCCGGATTACGCACATATGTAAGAGGGAACACTGTGTATTTATGGATGTGTGCGTGTGTGTGTGTGTGTTTGTGAGTGAGAGGATGTGTAAGTGATTGTGTCGGAGTGCGTGAGAGTGTTCGTTCCTGATGCGGTCAGAGCGGGCAAGCCGTGTGTGTATCGTGGTGCTGGAGGAGGTGGAGGAAGATGAGCCCTCTTCTTCACCCCCACCTCCTCGGCCCAAATCATCCCCAGACCGCAGATCCCATCATGCCTCTCGAAAGGCTGCCGCTGCTCAGGAGGACAAGGTGAGACGGTCCTTCTGTTGGGTTGACTGATCTGAGGTTTGCTTCGTGAAACATTGATGACTAGTTTGTTGTTTGTGGAAGTGACAGCATACACCTGAGATTTTAACCCTCTGAATACTGACACTATGTACCACTATTATTACATAAAAATACAGTGTAACTGCTCCAAGTCTAAATTTAGTACCATTACAATCACAAATGTAGTCCTGTCATGTGAGATGACTGCTGGTTTGTATAGATTATCAGCAAAGCCTGGGCCTTTGTAGTCTCCAGCTCTGGCTGTACAAAGGCCAAGCCTACCATTGAAAGATGGTAATAAGTCGTTTCATCCTTTTGAAAGCTCCTCTTTGAAATGGACACTCAGACTGGGGAAAGCCAGAGAAGATGAGCCGGCTCTGATGACAGAGTTCGCCCCCTTATTCCGTGTCTGCCTTCTCCTTTTTCCGACATCGTCCCAGTGATTATTTGTGTTGTAGGCAGGAGACAGGAGTCGGCACGCCTGACGACCCCGCTTATTTTTAGTAGGGGCAAAACCGGAGAGGGGATGGGGAAAACAGAGTGAGAGGAGTAGTTACACATCGTAGTACTCTTGCAAATGAATGGGATGACTTGGGGAAGAAGGTGTACATGTGACAAACTGTGACTTTAAAGTGCTTAAAATATTTGAAACAACTGACTGGTGATCAGCTTGACTCTCTAAATGTGAACCCTCATCAGACCTTACTGTTTCATAATGCAGCAGAATGAAGTGCAGCACTTTGACTCAGGAATCGTCCTTGCAGTTAAGCTAGATTTTTAGACTTATTTCACATCAAAACATGATGAATTAAGCTCAAAGTTTGCTATAAAATCATAAAATGAAGAGTGTATGCAGTGCATCGCAGGCTTCCTTTGAGAAATACACCTCTACTTGATATCCTCGACAACATTTAAGCCATATATAAATAAACAAACTACAAATACACCACCATAATGAGAGAACTTTACTTTGAATTGTGAGCTTAATATAGTGAAACTTCCCCTAACCTTTCTATCTGAATGGACTCAGGGTTGATTGTTTACTCACGTCAGTATCAGACTCTCATGCTCACTCCAAAAGCGAAAACTCATGCACTCTTAATAATGTCAGTAAAACTGCACTCAGAGCTATTGTTTTAATATCAGGGTCTGCTGCTCGGTGTGTATTTTTATATCTCTTGTTCGTTTCCTCCTTCTGGGAAAACTGTCATCTCTTCCTGCACTCCTTGTATAACCCGCTCTAAACAGGTGGTGATAAATAGTTGAAATGCTTTAGCCTTCATGACCAACCATGTCATTTTTTTCCCTATTTCCCACATACCTTGTACATGTGTGTATATGTTCTTATCACAGGGCCTTGCACCATAGGCTCCAGCGTTTACGTAACTCTGTTTGCATGCATGTGTTGATATGATATTTGCTGCAGCTGCTACTGTCATAAACAAAATAGATGGTACGCAGTCGTTTTTGACCTGTAGCTTGTGGAGATCATGGCGCCTGTGTGTGCGACTTTCTTCTCGGTACGGCTCATAACTCTGACTGATAACACAGTTGTCAGCATAGAAAATTACTGCCTTGCAAATCAAGTGTGGTGCTGCTAGTGAGCATCAGCATTTCCTCTTTTTCTCCCGACTCTGTAGCCGTCTCTGTTGAGAGCCATCTTTAACCTGGAACCAGATGAAGTCCGCTCGCTTATATTCAAGAAGGAGGATGTCAACATTCAGGTGAGTCTCACTTTGACTCCTGTTCTGCCTGGTTTTCTCTCATTTTGTATGTTTTGGTATACCTCCGTGTATGTGAGTCTTCTGAGACTGCAGCTTCTCACAGGAACCATGAGGGAAAGCAGCAGTTGGTCGACGTGACGGATTGATCCAGGTTTCTATCGATCGACTGAATGACTTTGAGTAACTGCTGGCAGCTTCTTCATCATATGCTGCTGTCAGCAATGCTGAGACACAAAAACACCACTCCCTCTTTTCCTCTTTGGGCTTCACCTTAACTTGATTTCCCTCCCTCTTTTCAGAACCTACAGTATATCTTCAGTTTAGACATGCACCCTTTGTGTCTCTTTGTTTGTTTCTGTAGCTCTATATTGCTGGGGTCATCACACTCAGTCTTCTCGAGTCAGCAACACTGGCCTAGACCTATTGCAGTCACATGACCTTTGTTTATAGCCTGCACTCTGTTGATTGCTCTCTGCTGCACTGACAGAGAGAGAGAGAGAGAGAGGAGAGAGAGAGAGAGAGGAAGGTTGGAGATGGAGGTAAAGCAGCCAAGAGTTGAAGTGATGGAGCGCAGAGAAAAATACAAGTGATGGACGTTGTTCTCCTTGTGGCCCTGGTCTCATGTTGCCTGTGGTCTGCAACAGTGTGAGGTCTATAGATTTTGTCAGGGCTGTGCCACCCATCATGATACGATGTGTCTTTGTGTGTCAGCCTGAGTGTAAAAAAAAACACACATACTTAAATTTCTCGCTCTGTGTTTCTGGATTTTCCCACCAGGACAATGAAAAGCGAACGCCTCTGCACGCTGCAGCCTACCTGGGGGACGCTGAGATCATTGAACTGCTCATCCTCTCAGGTGAACATTACAGCCAAGTTTTCCCTGCTGTATCCACTCTTCTGTTTGATTCAATCTCCACCCATCCACCTCTTGTACCAGTTCTTCTTGAAAGCTTACTCATCCATCCACACTGGCCGTCAGTTGCAATCCCTGTGTGCATCCATCTCGTTCTGTTTTTCATCTCTGCAACCAAACTGGCTCCTCTTTAATTTGTCACAGTCTATTAAGCCCTTTTTTACATTAAACTGCTCATTCATTAGTAATACCCACACTGCCAAGTCCTCAGTGAATCTATTTTTAAACAAATATTCAAACAAATCTTGTTCCTTGTCGATATTTGATCTATTATACCCTCATGACATGACATATTTTCTACTTTATTTTGATTCAGTCCTGCCATCCTTTCCCAAACTTTTCAAACACGTTGTTCCCTGTTCACTCAGCAGTTTCCATGCCTGCGTGTCTCACTCCTCTGCGGTTGTCACCCTCTTACTCTGATTGGTGATTCATCAATCATCTGATAGCGTCTATATCTGCTTGACTTTCTGTAAGGTCAGCTGAGCACGCAGGGAAGTACAGCCAACCCTGTAGCATTACAAGTGTAGTGTGTTAACTGTTTCTCAATAACGTGAAGAGCGTGCAACAGGTGCAGCTTTCAGGGCTATTTTAACCCCTGAGCTGTGCCAAAATGGATCATGGGAGTTTTATATCTTCTGGACACTGTTGGCTCACAACAACCACAAACCACAAGTTATGACCGGCACCCTTTAGACCCTCAGTTTCACTTTCTTTTACTCCTCACACTACTCCATTCAAGGAGTTCTCCTGTGCCTTTTAAAGCTCCTGTGAGGAGATTTTATCTGTACAAACAGACTGAAATAAGCCCTGATGTCCCTGTATGGCCCAGTAAATCAAATGAAACCTTCAACTTTGTATCATAATATTCATTTACATTTCAGATTTATAGTGCTGAGCCAAGTGTGGTAAAAATAACCATACATTCTGTTTTATAAGAGGAAAAGTTCAAGAGTTAACTTCTGAACTTTTCTGTATATGTTGCTTTCAACATTGCAGAAAGGCAACATATGGCAGATTCGTTTTTCTTAAAGGGATATTACGGCAAAAAATTAAGTTAGGGTCAAACACACCTTAACACAGAGTTAGACACCCCCTGGAGAGATGAATGTTGCCGACTGCTTGCTTCTTTAGTAATACCAACTTTAGTAACGACCGCATGATAGCAATAAGCAGCGGTCTACGTCTCGACTCGTCAGGGCTCCCCTACAAACAAGCGGCTGCTGGAGGAGAGTGGGTGAGTTGTGTTTGGTCTCTTTGCTAAAGAAGTCAAGCAAAGCTAAAAGATGTTTGATGGCTAGTACTATGGCTGGGACCTTATTTGTGTTGTTGATGAAGTTAGGTGCTGTTCTGAGCATTATTTGTGGCTATGGAGTGGCTTTTTGGTTCAGGTTTGCACATGCATACATAGACCGCTGTGTATTGCTATTGTGCGGTCGTTACTGAAGTTGGTTTAATTAGAGAAGCAAACAGTCAGCAACATTCATCTCTCCAGGAGGTGTCTAACGCTGTGTTATGGCGTGTTTGACCCTAACTTAATTTTACACCAGAATATCCCTTTAATGTATTAAACTCTTTCTCACCATGTTTCTCTTTGCTGTGTGTGTGTGTGCGTGCGTGCGTGTGTGTGTCATTGTTGACATACTGGATTTGTGTGACCTCTCTCACTCTCTCTTTCTCCCATCCAAGGAGCCCGAGTTAATGCCAAAGACAACAAGTGGCTGACTCCTCTTCACCGAGCCGTCGCCTCTTGTAGCGAGGTAACACTTTGCATGAGCACGTGTTCGAATGTTTACTGTGTCAACTTCACTGCTCTGTAGTGGCCGAATTGTCCTCTGTAATGAGCAAGAAAATAAGTCTCACAATCACTGCAAATTAACCGATTTTTTTCAGACCTTGGAGGAAGGAGACAAATTCAGTGGGGGATTCCCCTCTGACAATAGCACTGCAACAAAAATGCAGAAGTCTTATATTTCAGAGGATTTACAAGTTACTGCAGCAACACACCAGCCAGATAAGATATCTTGTAGCTACCATGGCAGCATGCGATAGGTATAATTACTGCTGCTGAGAAAATGTTTGTACAATGTGGCCTGAATGCAGTCAGCACAGTGCCGTGTGTCGGTGTTTGATAAGCCTTCAAATCTCTTATTTATTCGACTTGGCCCCGGGCAGCGTGCCCGCATTAACACAGCCCCTTTGCGCAGTTTCTCCCTCTCAGAGCTGTTGTCGGCTTCCTAAGAATAGCAAAGAATTTTATAACCGCCCCCCACACAGCCACCTGCACGTCCCGGCGTGGTCTTTGTAGGAACAGTGTGGGCGCATTAGAAAATAAACAACTACTCCGACTCACTCCTCCTCTTCACATAGGATGCAGTGGCAGTGCTGCTGAAGCACAGCGCAGATGTGAACGCCCGGGACAAAAACTGGCAGACACCGCTCCACGTCGCAGCTAGCAACAAGGCAGTCCGCTGCGCCGAGGCTTTGGTCCCACTGCTTAGCAATGTTAACGTGTCTGACCGGGCGGGACGCACTGCCCTGCACCACGCTGCCTTCAGTGGACATGTAGAGGTCAGTCTCACACACACATATACACAGACACTTATGTGTGCATGCGGGTTTTTAGTTCAACTCCTTTTGTGTGATAGATGGTGAAGCTGCTGCTGTCCAGAGGAGCCAACATCAACTCATTTGACAAAAAGGACCGGAGAGCAATTCACTGGGGAGCCTACATGGGTGAGGCTGTTATTGTGTGTGTGTGTGTGTGTGTGTGTGTGTGTGTGTGTGTGTGTGTGTGTGTGTGTGTGTGTGTGTGTGTGTGTGTGTGTGTGAGGTTCTGATGCAAACACAGTTTCTACCAGACTTAACGTCTAATCAGCGTCTGCCTCATCCTGCATCCTTCAAAAGCTAAATCCTCTCTCCTCCTCTTCCTCCGCTGTATCAGGTCACCTGGAGGTGGTGAAGTTGTTGGTAGCCAGCGGAGCAGAAGTCGACTGTAAAGACAAGAAAGCCTACACACCGCTCCATGCAGCTGCCTCCAGCGGCATGAGCAGCACAGTACACTACCTGCTGGGCCTGGGAATCCATGTAAGTATATTATCAAACAATAATTTACTTACTTGGATTATAATAAGACTTGGTATTGGATCAATATGATGCTAAAGAAAACCCCTTTATGTGTAGACGGTAATGAAGATTTCTCCTCTCCTTACATAGGTCAATGAGGCGAATGCTTATGGCAACACTCCTCTCCATTTAGCCTGTTACAACGGACAGGATGTGGTGGTCAGTGAGCTCTTAGACGCAGGAGCTCATGTCAACCAGGTGTGTGTGTGTGCGCCTCCCCGTATTAACTGGTATGTGAGGTTATCAGATTTTTTATGGTAATGTTTGTTTCCTCGCTTTAGGTGAATGAGAGAGGCTTTTCTGCTCTACACTTTGCCTCCTCATCACGACAGGGGGCGCTGTGCCAGGAGCTGCTGTTGGCCCACGGAGCCCACATCAACATGCGGGTGTGTGCATTTGTAGATACACTCTCATACATTTTTTTTGTTTCAGACCCTCTCTGTTAAGAATTTGAGTACTAGCACTGGATTCATTTTGGCACAAATAAAAAGAAGGTAGACACAAAAACTGACTCAGGAATGAAAGTGACTAATGTAGCTGCTGCAGGAATCTGACAGTGTTTTTAACACTCGGGTAGCAATGATGGAAACTGATATTAGGTCCCAACAGCCCCAAGATGCAACGACATATGGAAGATAACAGGGGAGGGGGGGGCTCCCTGAGGCTGCAATCTGCTCAGGGAATGTGTGTGTGGGTGTTTTTGTGGTCCACAAGGGGGTTGAAGATGGCTCCTGTTCTTTTTAAGCTTCCTAAAATTACAGCTTTACACTTAGATTTGATTCAGCTGCCTACACACTCACTAAATGCACCTCAGTCGTCACTGAGTGCTGAAATATAAGCTAACAAACCGTACTCTTTGTCTCTTTCCACTGTTTCTCCCTCCATCTGTTTAGAGTAAGGACGGTAAAACCCCCCTCCACATGGCAGCTACCCATGGAAGGTTCTCCTGCTCACAGGCACTCATTCAAAATGGTCAGAGCTCAAACAGTATGCTGTCTGTTTGCATGCCCTTGTAGAGATCATGTTAACGTTACACTGTAAATGTAGCACATATGATTAAACACACGTGAAATCTTGAATTGTGTAGGAGCTGAGATTGATTGTGAGGACAAGAGCAGAAACACCGCCCTTCACATCGCCGCCCGCTACGGCCATGAGCTCATCATCACAGCACTCATCAAACATGGAGCCAACACCACCAAGTTAGTGAAGACTGACATTTACCCATCTGTCAGTATAATCTGTGCCTCGATTATGAGACGCCTTACAAAGAAAAGAGCAACCCGCTGTCTGGGAAATGTAAAACTCCAGATAAAAGACTCTTTTTTTTTTTCTCTTTCTTTTATTTTCTGTCTCTTTCACACCCTACCCTCTGTCACCTGTGACGACTTGCCCATCTGCCCGGGATCTTTTCAGGAGAGGCATTCATGGGATGTTCCCTCTGCACCTGGCAGCTCTCAGCGGCTTCTCCGATTGCTGCAGGAAGCTGCTGTCCTCAGGTACACTCACACCGATGCTGTTCTTGCTGTTCGAATCACCTAGTTGACATCCTAATTGTTGCTGATACATGTTTGCGCAGGGTTTGACATAGACACCCCTGACGACTTTGGAAGGACCTGCCTACATGCTGCTGCAGCTGGAGGGTGAGTCATCATCTCTGCCCCTATTGTTTTATTTTTCCACCAATTTTTCTGCTTTTCCTCGTTCTTTATTGAACAGATTGAATCAGCCTTTTGTTGTCTTTGCTTATCTGTCTTTTCAGTAGGCTGTTTTGTTTTGCATGAACAAACAGAAAGCACACTTAACCTTGTTCATGATTGGCAGAACAAAAAGAAAACAATCATTGTTGAAGCTTTTTCTTCCAACAGGAACCTGGAGTGTCTGAACTTGCTGTTAAACATCGGTGCAGACTTCAACAGGAAAGACAACTTTGGAAGGTGTGTGCAATTCTAATGATAATGATAATAACTTTATTTTTATAGCACTTTTAAAAACAGAAGTTTACAAAGTGCTTTGACAAATAGTCATAAAGCACATGGAAAGGACAATTAAAAACAAAAAACTCAGTTAAAACGGAAGTGAAGGCCATTGTCATATGTCTAAAGGAACCCAGACAATACAAGAACCATGCAACATAAAATGAGACCATGAGGACCAACATGAAAACATAAAATAGGTAATAAAAAGAAAATGCAGTAAAAACGGGGGTTGTAAGCGGAAAACAGGATAGTAAATATAAAGGACAATATCAATAATGATAATAAAATAATAATGATAATAATAGTAATGATAAAATAGAGCAACAGAAATGAGCGATGGATAAAACAATAAAAGCCTAAATGATTAATTAAGAAAAAAGTACAAGTTTGACAAAAGCTAAAAAGACAGTAAAGCCAAAATAAGATAGCGGTAAAAAAGATGGAAGATGGCATCACATAAAAGCAAGTCTGCAAAAGTTAATTTTTAAATTTGACTGAAAAGAAGTGACTGTCTCTGCTGTACGCCTAATCTCCTCTGGCAGGTTGTTTCAAAGTCGAGGAGCTCTCATGGAGAAAGCTCTATCACCTTTAGTTTTGAGCCTCGACTTTGGAACAACCAGGAGGCCTTCACTAGAGGATCTGAGGCTGATGCTGAGCTGATGCTCTAGTAAAGCATGGAACAGAAATAAAACAAGGTTTGAAGAAAGTGGTAAACACATTTGAGGATGTATAGAGTGCAGGGTATCTGCATGGTCTTAAAAAGTCTTAAAATGTCTGACGTCCAATAATTTGAATTTAAGCCCTTAAAATGTCTAAAATTCTCTTAAAATCTCATAATATGTCTTAAATATGATTTTGAAAGGTCTGGAACATGTATTGATGTTACTTACAAATGAATAATGTGCCATAGGAACAAAGATTGATTTTAAGTAGTGTAAAATGTTCTGATTTCCCTTCATGTCTTTTTTTGTGTCCAGTATGGATGTTTAATGGGTCTTAAATTGTACTCATTATGGTCTTAAAAAAGTCTTAAATTTGACTTGTTGAAACCTGGAGAGATCCTGAGAGAGGGTAAGTCCTCAAAAAGTCTTTGATTTTGACCCTGCAGGACTCCACTACACTATGCATCAGCCAACTGCAACTACCAGTGTGTGTTTGCCTTGGTGGGCTCCGGGGCAAGCGTCAATGAAAGGGACCAGAGGGGCTGCAGCTCCCTGCACTATGCAGCTGCGGCTGACACTGATGGAAAGTAAGTAAAGCTTGAGTTTAAAGTAAAGTATAAACACGCACCAAAGGAAGAATTTTGAACATTTTTTTTGTGTCAGGTGTGTGGAGTACCTGCTGAGGAACGATGCTGATCCAGGAGTGAGAGACAAACAGGGTTACAGCCCAGTGCACTACGCCTCAGCCTACGGACGCACACTCTGCCTGGAACTGGTGTGTACAGCTGGGTGTACATTAATATATATCTGTGGATAGTTTTCAGAGCTGTAGAGAAAAGTAAATAATACACTAGAGCATGGTATTATGGTATTGTAAACAGTCTTTGTCTGCTTTGCTTTCAGATGGCGAGTGAGACTCCTCTTGATGTGGTAAGAGAAATATTTCCATCATCCACTGTTACACAATGAGTCTGTTCATGTGGCTCCCTCTGTTGGCCAGATGGGAAATACGGTGGTTAGTCATCTGTTGGCCAGATGATGCCTTTCTAAAGATTTTCCATCCGTATGTTGGCTGGATAACAATGGGCAGGTTTATTTGCACAAAAAGTTCTTTAAACTTTAACTCCTGTGGCTGCAGAGCACACTGAAAACCTTGTGGAGTTGTTTACTCTTGTCTTGACAAATATCCTGCACACATTAGGAATGAACTCTCATGTTTAGTCAAGTGTGCTAGCAGCATTTAATGTGAAAACACTTGAATCTGAAATGAGTGATCTTCAAACATGTCTGTGTTTCAGTTAATGGAGACATCAGGAACAGACATGTTGAACGACTCAGAGAGCCAGGCCCCCATCAGTCCACTCCACTTGGCGGTGAGTTCATTGATTTATTACCACAGGGACGGCTGTTTGTCTTAAATACTGTAACACTGCTGTGGTCGAAAACACACAAATGGTGTCTGTTGTGTCCTCAGGCTTACCACGGTCACTGTGGAGCTCTAGAGGTCCTTTTGTCGTCCCTGCTGGAGGTGGATGTTTGCAGCCCGGAGGGTCGCACCCCTCTTAGCCTAGCCTGTTCCAGGGGTCATCAGGAGTGCGTCTCCCTGCTGCTTCACCACGGATCGTCGCCCATGACGCTGGACTACACCAACAAAAAGACAGCCCTACATGCTGCAGGTACACACACGGGCACAAAGTAACATTACAACATACAAAAAAGGACACATTTCTAGATTCTTGATGTTGCAAACACTTTTTTTGAGAATAATCCATTTTTAATTTCCTTTAGGGAACCTTCACGAAAGGATGAATGAAGTTGTATCTAATCTTGTCAGTCACGTTCTTGTAAATTTGTGTTTGTCTGTCTTCTGTAGCTATGAATGGCCACCCAGAGTGCCTGCGCTTGCTCATGAGCAACAACAACCTACACATTAATGTGGACGCACAAGACAGCAACGGACAGTGAGTGTGTGTGTGTTGATGGACACTAGACTGAAGGCTCCCACTGAGATGATCTTGCTGTTGTAGTTTGAGGAGATAACATCAACTGGTTTAACCACAAAATCAAATAAACAGTGTTGAATGTCATGTGATGTTTCCACTCTGTGCACAGGACTCCGCTCATGTTAGCTGTGCTGAATGGACACACAGAGTGTGTGTACTCTCTCCTCAGTCAGGGAGCCAGTGTGGAGAATCAGGACCGCTGGGGGAGAACGGCGCTACATCGAGGGGTGAGACATTCACACACCTGCTGACATCCCCCTGCAATATAAAACGAAATGATCAAATCAGTTATAGAGATGTTTCTGACTTTTCCGACACAGGCTGTGACCGGTCAGGAGGAGTGTGTGGAGGCTCTTCTTCAGCGGGGGGCCAGTGTGTGTGTAGGAGACATCCGCGGCCGCTCCCCTCTTCACCTGGCATCTGCTTGTGGTCGTGTGGGTGCCTTGGGTGCTCTGCTGCAGGCCACAAACACATCACATGCTCAAACACACCTCACTGACAACCAGGGCTACACACCGCTGCACTGGGCCTGCTATAATGGTACTAAAACACACACTACATGACACACTTGTCTGCTCTGTGTGAAGCCGTTACAAAGCAGAGGTTACTTTTTGTCTCCCAGGATATGATGCATGTGTGGAGGTGCTGCTTGATCAGGAGGTGTTCAAGAAGGTTAAGGGAAATTCTTTCAGCCCGCTGCACTGCGCTGTGTAAGACAACATTTATATCAATCACAGTTCATGTTTGTAGCCAGTGGTCTGAGGGTGCATGATAGCATGTGTGCTGTGTTTCAGAATGAACGATAATGAGGGAGTGGCTGAAATGTTAATCGACTCACTGGGAGCAGCTATCGTCAACACCATGGACTCAAAGGGCAGGTGAGAGGTGCTCTCTCCCCATAATTTGATTCTTTTATTTTGAAAGTTCTCAACCATCGGCTGTGATTGGGGTTTTTTTTTTTTTCTTTTCTCAGGACTCCTCTTCACGCCGCAGCTTTTTCCGACCACGTGGAGTGTGTCTCCCTGCTGCTGAGCCACGGAGCTCAGGCAAACATTGTGGACACACACATGCGCAGATCACCTCTGATGATGGCAGCTCTGAACGGGCAAACCAACACTGTGGGTCAGTTCACTCTCTGACACACAGAAAGACTTTCAGCATTTTGGCACCACATCTTTTCATTCATAACTGTCTCTGTTTACTTGTTTTAGAGGTGATGGTGAGCAGCGCCAAAGCGGACTTGACACTGCAGGATGCACAAAGAGACACAGCGTTACACCTGGCTTGCAGCAAGGTAACAGCCAATCACAGAGATAGGAATGAGTTTTATAGGCATTAGGTTATGGCCCCGGTTGTGAAACAGCCTGCCGGAGAGCCTCAGGGCCACAGAGACTGTTGATGTTTTTAAGAAGAGGCTCAAGACTCACCTTTTTAACCAGGATTTTCACTGATTGCCTTTTCATATTTCTCTTATGGCAAATGTTCATTTTAATCGAAGTTCTTAATGTTTCTTTTATGTCATTTTATTCATTATCTCTGTTCTTAGTTCTTTTCTTAACTCTCACCACCGAGGTTTTTACTTCTTTTACCCCTTTCACATGGTAAAGAGCTCTGACTTACTTGTTCGTTTTATATTATTTTCTTGTTTTAGTTTATCAGGTTTTACTCTTTCTTTTTTTATCTTTTTATCTCCAGTGTTTCCCAAAGGTAGCTCTTTCATATAAATAGTTGAATTTGAATTTGAATTAAGTTGTCAGAGATAGGATCTCAAGTTGAGGTAATTTACAATCACTCATTGGTTTTAGAGAGCTGTGAGATTAGCAAAATGCTAATTACACATCAAAAGAATGGACAGACTGTCTGAACTTGGACTGACTCTGTCTGTTGGATGTATAGGTTTGGTCTGGATATTTCTATGTTTTGCACTGCAGTGGACTGGGAGGACATCATCTTGTCTCTTATAGACATGTACCTGTTTTTTGTGGTGTTCATAGCTAACATTGTGCGTTTCTTTAAGGGTCATGAGACGAGTGCCTTGTTGATTCTGGAGAAGGTCAGCGACAGGAACGTCATTAACTGCACCAATGCTTCTCTCCAGACGTATGTAGTATTTCAATACTGCATGCACACTATTCCAGCGTATCAACTTATAAATATAATAATGTAACTCCCTCCATCTTTCTGCAGGCCCTTGCATGTAGCAGCCAGAAAGGGACTGACAGTGGTGGTCCAGGAGTTGCTGGGGAAAGGAGCGAGTGTGTTAGCAGTGGATGAAAACGGTCAGCAGAACTCACACCTCTTACATTCTTCCTGTTGAAATGACTTCCTGTTTTTCACTCTCTTCCTGTTGTTCCCCCCAGGTTACACTCCAGCTCTTGCCTGCGCTCCTAACCGGGACGTGGCCGACTGCCTGGCGCTCATCCTCAACTCCATGATGCCCACCTCCCCGATGGTCACTATAGCAGCTTTACCTGCACTTTCCCTAACTCAGACTGTCATCAACCACCACCCCACTAATAACCACGTCTCTAAGGGTGTGGCCTTTGACACCCCGCCCCCTCTGAGGCCTGACCACGCCTCCTACTGCAGGCCAGAGCGCCCGCTGTCGTCCGTCTCTGTGGACGATGAACTGAATGACTCCGATTCAGAGACATACTGAGGAGGACATGTGACTGCTATTGGACACATTGACATAATACTGGCAGGTCTGCCAGCTACTCAGGAGCCTTAAAAGATCACTGACAAGAACTCTGAAACAGCAACAGGGGAGAAAATGAGCCAGTGTGTGGGTTATTTTTAGACAAGCTTCCTCAAATCTAAATATAACCCTTGTTGTGAGCCAGATGTGTGTTTCGTTCAGGTGCATAATGATTGGGTGGATCCTTAGCTTAATGTGCTCACATATAGAATAAGGAGAAAACACTACATCTCTTTTAGACAGTATCAGGATATTGTCTTTTTTAAACTTTAAGCAACATTTTTCCTTTTAAATTAAGCTCATAATCTTAGCAGTTACTTCCTGGAGTGGTTTTAATCATGTTCACAGGTTTTCCTTCAACTTTTCCTGACAGAGAATCTGGAGAGGAGCTCAGAGGAGATTTTTTTTCTAAGCAGGATTGTCTTGAAATGAAGGGACAATCTTATGGGACCAGGACACTGAATGCTGTTTCCCCCACTTCTTTTTCAGTTTTTACCCTTTCTTCTGAGCTATCATGATGTCTGAAACCCCTCATCCTTCTTAGTGATGCTGCCTCATTGTTTTGACCCATCCTTAATTCTAGGGTAGAAAATGATTGTTGAACACTACAGATTTTTTTAGAGGTGTGGCGAATCCAAGGGAGCGGATTCTGACAGCAGGTGGATGTACAAACCATTGATGGATGACCACCCAAATGAGCAGCCCGAGGAACTTTAAACTTGCAATGCTGTAACTACTCGATGTCTGTGTACTGTACTGGAGATAGGGGAAGGTGGCTAACACTGTGGATATGTGTGTGATTGTGTGTGTGTGCAAGAGATGTGGTGTGAGTGTGTGTGTGGCAGAAAAATGGAAACATGAATAATAATTGCCTTTTTAGGAATTAGCAACTTTCAGAGGATGAACTACTTGGTGCAATGTTTATAAAGATGGAGAAACGAATGAATAAAGGTATTTGTTTTGAATTTATTGCAGAGTGTAAATGAAAGAAAAGAGAGCAGCTTCTTAAAGAATCACTTTGCATTTTATTTCTAGTCCAGGTGATACATCCGTCCGTACAGACAGGCGGTCACCAGTCCAGCAGTCATGTCTGAGTGTTTTAAAGTCACTCTTCCATCTGCAGATTTTCTAAAATGCTCTGGATCCTCCAAAACCATCTTACTTGCCAAAACTGATGGGTACACATGTTTGGTTTCAAACTGTCCCTCCAATATAAAGTCCATTTTAGTCTCAGCTTCTTCTACTATCTGCCCACAGGAGCTCTGGTCCGACCCAGCACAACGGACGAGGGCACACACCTGCAAAAAAAGGAAAACGTTAAAGGTGACAGAAATGTTGTAAAGCAGTTTTATTTGTCCATAAAGCCTTTAGTTTGTACCTGCAGGGCATAGCGTCCATTGACAAGGTGGGTTCCTGCAAATGCTCCTAATGCGTATAACTCTCTACTGCCATTCTGTGGTAATTTCAAGTACTGCAGGTGACAGCAAAAGGTGCCATCACACACATGAACTTTTCCTCTTGTGTCATTTAGGAGCACAAATGTTGATGTGTCGTACATCATAGATGAAGTAAAAGTGGTGAATGATGGAGGGACTGAAGATGCATCAGAGCAGCTCTCGCTGTGGCAGAATCCAGAGTCTGCAACTACAGATGAAATGGACTCAGACTTTAACTCCTCTTCTGTGGCCACCCTCTGCCCTGACCACTCTGGGTCTAAGACTGGCACTCTGGCCACCAGCAGCTTCCCCTCCTCTGGGTCTCCTTTCTGTGCGTGGTGGTAGGTAGCAGAAAAAGGGGTGTAGATGCCACTCCCTGTCATTATGAGTGGATCACTTCGAATGTTGGCTGCTAGCAGGGTGACATTGGCGCCTAAGCTCACTGCTCGCTGGAACTGGATTGTGTCAAGAAGGGGGAGTTGGTTCATCCAGGCTGTGGGGTAGATCAGCTGACGCACACCCTGAAAAGTGTTAAAAGTGAGGTACACGTCAGGAAAGGGAAGAAAAAGGGAGAAAGACAAAACCAAAAAAACAGCAGTGTTGTTTTTTTTACCTTTTCCAGAAGAGTAACTGTCGGCTCCTTGAAGAGGATGTCAAAGCATATCAGGAGGCCAAATTTTCCAGCAAAAGGAGTATCAAATGTGATGATCTCAGGCTGCGGTGGAGTGTCAAATGCTCGCTCAAAGTAGAGGTTGTACTTATGGTAGCGTGCCACCAGCAGGCCATCAGAGCTGAAAGAAGGAGAATGAATGTAGCAGTTTGTTTAAACTGGGAGCTTGTGCAATTTCCCTCTTTACAGATCTCAGATCACCTGAAAACCACATTAGTGTTGAACTGCCAGCGTCCATCGGATGGACAGGAGGAGGTGGGATCTGTAGACAGGGGGCAGGGCTGTCGGTCAGGCATATTAGCCACAATGTAGATGTTATGCCGACGAGCCATACAGCTCAACCGCCGGAGAACCTGTAAAACAACCATTCTGAAATGTAATTCATAATAACAGACCAGTGTTGGCTGCTCGTGGGTATCTTTAAATCAAGATAGACATCATACATGAGGTATATCTGTGCACCTCAGTGTTGACGTGTTTCTCCGGCTCTGTGCAGGGGTTCCAGCTCTCCTGCTGGGGGTCAGGAATTGTTTCAAGATAACCTACGATCGATGTGCGGGTGAAGTTAAACCCATGTAGACCATCTTCTGGAAACACCAGGATCTGGGCACCCTGATAAAGACAAGAGAAGACAGGACTGAATAAACATGCCAGGATTCTGAATGCACAGTCATTTGCTGTCATATAAGGTACGACCCTTTTATTGACATATATATACACAGGGCCTTCTGATTGAAGGTATGTGAGACAGAATCTATTAGTACTGCAGTTGTTCTCTTCGTAGTTTTACGTATAAATGATAGCAAACTCAGTCATACAACTCATCCTGAACATCACTGGTACCACTTGGGTACACTATAGAGACAAACCAATAAATCGTGTGCATAAATTAGATTTTGATCGGCCCTCACAAAGCTGATATTAACATTATCTGTCCATTGATCTAGCATGTCAACTCTGAAATAGTCACCAGCTAGTTTTTAATATAAATCTTGATGTATAGAATAATGCAGGTCATTAACAATGTTAATATTTGTCTTGTGTTTTTTAATTATTTCAGATAGCTGGATAGCAATCTAAAAGTCCAATGTAATTATATTTTACTGAGCCAAATATTTTTCACTTAGTCTTCATTTATTTCACAATACATCTACTAAAATTCAGCATTTTTCTCATTTGATAGTACTATTATGTCCAACAAAAAAAGGTAATGTGATATTGGTATTATTTATCTGCTATCCATGTTAAAAAAACTTCCAATTCATGTGTTAGGGTTGTTACAGTGCTTTTTTTATCCTGCTTATCAGACATACTTGTTATTCTTCATTCTCTAGTGTCAGAGCTGGGGCAGCTCTTTCATAGTTTAGTTTTTAGTAAACTTCCTGTGTTAAAAATTAACTACATCAAATGTTTTTTTCAAGGGGGCAAACGTGGGGACACGTGGTGTGCCAGATCTGATAAGGTGTAATTATTTAACTTTTGGGCCGCCTATCCTATTTTCAAGAATGCGTCCAAACTGTACATTTATGGCAGACTCAGAGCTCGCGGGTCTACATGTTTGACCCGTGCTGTCTTTACCTGCTGGGCGGCGCGTGCAGCCTGCTCCTCGTATATGTCCAGGTTCCTCTGGAGGTGCTCCAGGGCGGCGTGGCGGGACAGGGGGACGTAGGGCTCCGGGTTCAGGACTACTCTGTGCTCATACACTGCAGCCACATACCAAGGGTCCGCGCCGGGCTCCATTTCGACGACAGCCGTAATTAAAGAAAAACAGACAAAAATAACATTGAAGCGGAACATCGTTGAATTCCCTACATATGACTTAAAATGTGGTCCGAAATACGAGGAGTTACATCACAGGACCTGAGGGGTCTGAAGTCCTCCTTGCGGAGTGGGAAAACAGAGCAACCAGAGCAGGGTAATCTTCAACTTTAGAGCTGATAAGAAGCTCAGATCTAGACTCTTTAGTAACATATTGAGTCCACATGTGCGTCAAAAGTCAGTGAAATGCTGCATATTTTCTGTTGTTTGGATCTGCTGGGCTATGGCGGAGGGATATGTGCCAGGGCGGCGGTAACGTGGCAACTGGACGTCAACAATGCTTTGATGTTGACTAAAACCACAGGAAATTACACAATTTTAACCCGGAAACGCCATAAAATCTCAAATTTTTACCTGATTAATGCAGTCAAAGTTATTTTTAACATATTTTTTTTACCTACCTTGAGGTATATTTGAGATTAATGTTTGACAGAAATGTAGAGTTCTTCAACACAGAGGTGTACTGCATTTCTTTGAGGATAAAACTGCTCTTGTTTCCTGAATTAACAAGAATTATATCTCAGAATTAACTAAAACATTTTCGGGGGAAAAAAGTTCTTTTTATATATAGTTAACCAAAACAATCATGTTAGAATTAAAAGATTAAATCTAATTAAAAAAAAAAACATTCTTCCCAGTTTTTCTGTGTTCAGAGATTGGTGTCTTAGCTTTAAAGGAATATTCAGTATAAAAATAATATCCTTTTTTCTCTAAAATAATGACATAAAGCAGCCTTTTTTGTTTTCATGATCTGGACACAGCACACACCATGTAAAATTTTAGCACACGGGTGTCTAAATTCAGGTGAAAACTGCAAACATATCTAGGGACAAAATAAAATGTAAAAAAAAAAAAATTCAAAGAAACAAGAGATATTTAGGATTGATACCACTGAAACACAGAGGAAAACCAAATGATCGTAAAGATTTATTTTGATTTCTTTAACAAAATAATCAAACAATTCATTTCCAATTCACTGTAGTGTGTGATCAGCACAGCTGATTTGTTACACTAGATAAAACTTTTTTACGACTGTGTACATTATTTTTTTTAATCAGATACAATATTTCATCACACCTTTTCAATAGCATTTCATTCGTGGTCCAGGTGATACATCCGTCCGTACAGACAGGCGGTCACCAGTCCAGCAGTCATGTCTGAGTGTTTTAAAGTCACTCTTCCATCTGCAGATTTGTCAAAATGCTTTACTTCCTCTATAACCATTTCACTCGCCAAAACTGATGGGTACACATATCTGGTTCCAAACTTCCCCTCCATCACAAAGTCCATTTTGGTCTCAGCTTCTTCTACTATCTGCCCACAGGAGCTCTGGTCCGACCCTGCACAACGGATGAGTGCACACACCTGCAGAAGGAAGGATACAGGTGAGACATGTTGTAAAGGACAGTGTCTATATCCATAAACCCTTTAGTTCATACCTGCAGGGATAGGTCTCCATCCAAAGTGTGCAGCCCAGCAAACGCACCAAATGCATACAGCTCCTCACTGTCCCCCTGTGAAATTCGCTTGTACTGCAGGTGACAGCAAAAGGAGCCATTGCACACCTTCACCCTACCCTCTTTTTCATTTAGGAGGACAAATGTGAACGGGTCACCAGTCACGAATGATGTGAATGTGGCTGATGATGAAGGGACTGAAGATCCATCAGAGCAGCTGTCACTGTGACAGAAACCAGAGTCTGTAACAGGGGATGACAAAGACTCGGACTGCAATTTCTCCTCCTCTGTGGCCACCCTCTGCCCCGACCACTCTGGGTCTAAGACCGGCACCCTGGCCACCAGCAGCTTGCCCTCCTCTGGGTCTCCCCTCTTTGAGTGATGGTAGATGGATGAAAAAGGTGTGTAGATACCACTCCCAGCCATGTTCTTATTATCATGGCGGAGGTTGGCTGCTAGCAGGGTGACATTGGTGATTCGGCTTAATGATCGATGGTACTGGACAGAGTCAAGCAGGGGGAGGGTGTTTAACCAAGCTGTAGGGAAGATCAGCTGACGAACACCCTGAAAGCAGCGGGAAGAGAGTCTGCTTTTAAAAAAGAGATCCGACACAGGGACATAGAGCTAAGTACACAATTGTGAGTGTTTTTACCTTTTCCACCAGTGCTATAGTGGGCTTGTAAAATAGGATGTCAAAGCATATCAGCAGGCCAAATTTTCCAGCAAAAGGAGTATCAAATGTGATGATCTCAGGCTGTGGTGGAGTGTCAAAGGACTCCTCATGGAAAAGGTTGTATTTATGGTAGCGTGCCACCAGCAGGCCATCAGACCTAGAAGATAATGAAATTAAGAATTCATGTGTTGATGCATTTGCTGGAGTTTAGCCAGATGTCTCCATTTTAAGATCTCAACTTCACCTAAAGGCAATATTGGTGTTGAACTGCCAGCGTCCATCGGATGGACAGGAGGAGGTGGGATCTGTAGACAGGGGGCAGGGCTGCCGGTCAGGCATATTAGCTACAATGTAGATGTTATTCCGACGAGCCATACAGCTCAACCGCTGGAGAACCTGTAAAACAACCATTCTGAAATGTAATCCATAATAACAGACCAGTGTTGGCTGTTCATGAGTATCTTTAAATCAAGATAGACATCAAACATGATGTATATCTGTGCACCTCAGTGTTGTTGTGTTTCTCTGGCTCTGTGCAGGGGTTCCAGCTCTCCTGCTGGGGGTCAGGAATTGTTTCAAGATAACCTACGATGGATGTGCGGGTGAAGTTAAATCCATGTAGACCATCTTCTGGAAACACCAGGATCTGGGCCCCCTGATAAAGACAAGAGAAGACAGGACTGAATAAACATGCCAGGATACTGAATGCACAGTCATTTGCTGTCATATAAGGTATGACCCTTTTATTGAATAATACACTTACTGGTTACGCAATAGAAAAAACCTGGCACATGGTGGCTCATTGATTTTTAGTAGAGCAATAAGTAACCCTTTTTATGAGTTGCTACCAAACATTTGTAACTTTCCAACAAATCATACCTGCTGAGCGGCTCGTGCAGCCTGCACTTCGTAGATATCCAAGTTTTTCTGCATGTGTTGAAGGGCAGCCTGCCGCGACACCGTGACACGAGGGTCTGGGTTGGTGATTAAATTGTGCTCATACACAGCAGCGATGTATGAGGACTCCATTGCTGGCTGTGTTTGACCAACAGCCACTGTCAAATAGATACCGACTATGACACTGAAAAGTTTCATTGCGTCTCTCCACAAAGACAGAAATGAAGTCAATAAGATCAATTCGGTCTATTATAGCTCTTGAGGGGTCAGGAGTCCAACTCGAGTCTACAGTAATGAGGAGTGAGTCAGTTTTTTTTTCTGTTTGTTTGTTTTTTATTTTTTATTTTTGGATGGTTTGTAGAGTCGCTTGGGACACCCATTTTGCGAAATGTTGACTGAACAAATACACAGAGAATTATAGTTGTAACTTCTACATACACCGTGCACATGGAGAAAAAGGTTGTACTTTTAACAACTACAGCAACTTACCAGGCCAATTTCAGATTACCCTAAAGCACCTGTGTACAATCACTGATAGTCTGATTGGTGTGAAAGGCCAATATGTCCCAGTGGCCTTTGAGCTGGACCAGCTGCTCCAATCAGAAAAACAATTGACTTAACTCTATGTGTTCAAGATAACTCTCTGGTAGACCCAGGGATGCTGAGGAACTTTGAACCATTTCTCCTTTGTTTTTGTCTCTATCTTATGGCTTTTTAGCAGGGGTCTGGGTCTTCTCCAGGTTTTCTGCCTTCTTAGTGAGAAGGTTTCTTCTGTGCTACTTTCACTATCTAAATGCTGAAAGGTGCTCTGCTTATGGTACATTAAGATAAGACTGAGACTTATTATATAAGATGAGAATTAATCTTATGCTACAGTGATATTGGCATGACATAGTACTGATTTATAACTCCACTTGCATACAGATATGTGAATAAGGATGACAGCTGCATAAAAATAACATTTAATTCAGTCAAGTAATATGAATATTTTACATAAATTTCCCACTTTACTCTTATTTTTCTAAATTATAATTGTGCAGTTACTTAGAATGTGATTTACTAAACAATTTTGTATCAGCACACCTATTCCAGCTAACAACAAGCCTCCAAAATAGGCAATAAAACGTACAGAGACCAGGCTGTGAACCAATTCCAGTGAAAAACAGCTTGAAGGAAAACCAGGAAAACTCAGCAGGATTGATGTTTTTCAGCTCTGATACAAGAATCCATCACTGCTTTTATCAAAATTCAGTCAGATCAGCATGAATAAAACCATGAAATCAGGCGGCATCCCTAAAAAGACTTTTTTTTCCCTTCACACAATACTGTTAATAAATCAAACACGATTAAAAGGTCTTTCTTTCTTTCTTTTAGTAACTCCTGTTGTGGTTTCAACCAACAAAGGAGTCTTTTTTACCCCTTACACACCTGAGAACTATGACGAGTTTTTCTTTTCACCTGAGCTGACCCACAGTGCTGACATAATAATGACTGTTTAAAAGCATACTCAGCACTAAACATAAAGCGCCCTCTAGTGGCTGTAACAAACCACGGGAATAAATCAGTTTGTATTTAAGAACTTTGTTTTACAGCCTCATCAGTCTTAATATTTTACAAATCTTGTGTTTTTCTGAATTCTTCTTTTCTTCTTCTCTGCACATATGATATGGTATCCAATACAAATAATTTAAAATGCTATGAGGAGACAGGCTGTAAGTGTGTGCAAAGGGTTCAAGAACTTTCATCTTTCGAAAACACAACTTAAGACATGGTTTAAAATAAAATGTCACAATTTATTTGCATGTTCAAAATGTGGTGCAGCCTCCGTGTCAACATGGCTGCTCCCCTTCCAGAGTTTCTTCTTTCCTTTTCAGTCACCAGCTGGATAACTGCTGCGTTAGGAGGCCACTCTTACACTTGTTAAACTATAATGAAAAGACAAAAATATTAAAATACAATATCCTTTAACAGATATCCACCAAAGTATGTAGAGACCAATCTTTAGGAAGTGATCACATTCTGAAAGAAAAGAGCAGAGGATGCAGTCAGTGTACCTTCATGCACTGAAACTCTTGTCCATGTTCACCATCTTTGCTGCTGTTCTCATCTTATCTTCTTCTTTCGGCTGCTTATCATCTTTACTCTCATCCTTGCGAGTGTCTATTGTATAGAGATAAATATAAGGAGATGAAAGATGAAGAAAATGCAGGTCAATAGAGCAGCACATAAAGACAACAGTTTAATGAAACAAACACATTCATCAAACTTTACTTACCTTACTTATAGTTGGTCGTCATCTTTGGCCTACTCTGGAGTCATTTTAGGCGTTTGACTCTTTGAAGTTACCTGAAACAAACATGAATTTCAGCCCTTCAGTTAAAATTGTGTTGTTTTTTTTCTTAAAAGCCGAACCTGTTAAGTATCTATAGAGTTATTTACCTTCAAATTCCCAGAAACACACAGTAGATCCATCATTCATCTTTTCTTCGTCGCTCTCTTCATGGGCTTGTCTCTCGTATGTTTGGTCCTCCTACGTCTTCTGTCTCGTGCTCGGCTCTTCTGGGGGTTTCTTCTCAATGGATGTCCTTTCCCTAAAAAAAACAAAAAGAAAATGGGTCCTACACTGACTTTGTTTCATGTTAACAATGACTCTGGAGGAACCAAACTCACCTTTAGACTCACTTACCCACTAAGTGAATAAATCAAGTAAAGAGGTCACGCGAAAGGACATGATACAACACAACACATCACAACACAAACACACACACACACACACACGACACACCACACAGAAGAAAACAACCCATCACAATACGAGGTAACAGAGCACATAACGACACATAACATCAAACATGACGACACAACACATTAAAAAACAAGACATCACAACATAAACACATGCATGACAACACAACCCATGAAACAAAACAACACATCACAAGACACTATACTAAAACTGCGCCACTACACAAAACATCTCAACACATAACATCAAAATAAATAACCACACAACACAACCAAGGACTCTTGAAGTTCTGCCCAATGAGTCCGAGGTGAAGTCGTTTTTTTCTGCCTTTAATTGAAGCTTTTTTGTTTTTTTAGGAGCCAGTGCGGGAGGAGGAGCTGGAGCGGAGTGAGGGATTCGTTGTTATTGACTTTATAGCAGAGCAGGATGATGGAGGCTTTTATTGGAGGAGGAGAGGAGATGCTGCTGAGGAGCTGGAGACTAACTAATATTGAATTACCGAACAACCTTATTTGGTTTTTTTTTGGAGCCAGTGCGAGAGGAAGAGCTGGAGAGGAGCAGGGGTTTCGTTGTTATTGACTTTATAGCAGAGCAGGATGATAGAGGCTTTTATTGGAGGAGGAGAGGAGATGCTGCTGAGGAACTGGAGGCTAACTAATCTTAACTCAACTAACTTATCTTAACTTAAACTTAACTTACTCTAACTTAACTTATAACTAAACAACTTAACTTATTCTAACTTAACTTATCATAACTAAACAACTTAACTTATTCTAACTTAACTTATCTTAACTAAACAACTTAACTTATTCTAACTTAACTTATAACTAAACAACTTAACTTATTCTAACTTAACTTATCATAACTAAACAACTTAACTAACTCTAACTTAACTTATCTAACTTAGCAAACAACTAAAATGATCTTTTACTGTGCTACAGCTTAATAACTAAATTAAACTACGGCACAACATGACCCCCAAAAGGACTCTTGCTTGGACGGTTGTTTTTCATCCGTCCAGCAGGCCTCTTGTGAGTCATGTTAGACCGCTGGAACCTGATCTCATGAGGCGCCGAAGATTCTTCTTCCACCTGGGCTCAGGACCGGTGGAGATGCGCTTGGTGGATGAAGGGGTCGCAGGTTCCTCCTGAGTGGTCCTCAGTGGGGCCATCCACCGTCTCTTCCGTCTGGAGAGCTCCTCTGGGTCCTCAGGCTCAGAGACAGGAGGAGGGACTGGAGGAGAGACAGGAGGAGAGAACGTGGGAGAAAAACAGGGAGCGAATGTACGAGAGAAAGAGGGAGAGACAGGAGGAGAGGGAGAGGAAGGAGAGAAAGAGGGAGTGACAGGAGGAGAGGGAGAGAAAGAGGGAGAGAAAGAGGGAACGCTAGAACCTGGTTTCATGAGGCGCCGAAGATTCTCCTTCCACCTGGGCTCAGGACCGGTGGAGATGAGCTTGGTGGAGGAGAAATGTGGAGGGCCGTCCATCGGTGGGACCTTCCTCAGTAACAGCCTAGTGGACTCATCCTGGTTCTGGACGAGGCTATACTGCTCCACTGGGACCTGAGACAGAAAAACGGACAAATTATAAAATCTGAAGTCTGCAGAAGTGATTTTTCCAGGGGAAGGTTTCACATCTTTGAAATAAATTAATGAATATAATTCAGTTAAAGAAATTTTAAATTAAAAAAGACGAATTCATAAACACATTTCTGTAATTAAAATCATTCAGACTATAAAAGTTTTGTATGTTGTTTTGAAGGCATGCTAATGGCCTATCTATGTTGTCAGTGTAGTTTCCTACTTACCAAGCGAGGCTTGGAACTGGACATGGGTGTTGCCGCGACCCTCCTCAAGATCAGCCTGGGACAGGACCAGTCAGAGCTGTGCACAAGGACCGAGGTCCATGTGAAGCATCGGCTGGTCTGAAGACAGAAACAATGCAGACATTTAAATTAAACAAGCTGTAACATTTGACTGTGTGGTCAAGGTCATGAAGGAAGCATCTGTAACATCAGTATCATCAAGAAGAGACAGTCAATACATTTTATTTTGAATTTAGTCTTTAATCAGCAGGTTAATTGTGCAACAGAAATAGATTAACATCAATGCAACACCCTCCATTAAGAATTTATATTTTTGGTATGTCTATTTCAGTCATTTTGTTTTATTGGGAAAAAGACTTTTTCAGGATTAAATAAGAAAATCCTCTGTTTTCAGTTTTATAAAAAACTGACTTCCACAAAAGGACACTGTTTCGATTACACTTGGTGAATTTTTCCCATAATTGAAATTTTTAATATTGTGGAAAAAAAAATCACACTTGATCCATGAAAACATGAAAACATATTTCAGTGGAACATTATCGAACTCTTTCATTTTAAAGGCTGTACGTAAGACATTTCTTTGAACTTAAATTCAGTCTGTTTTTGTAACTTTTTAAATAGGTTCAAATATAATTCATAGGATTTTTTTGGTTACTCAGGCCTATTAGAGCACTTATAAATAGGTCTAACTATTATGCCTTTTTAGTTTATTTTGTTGAATTTTATGATGACTGACAATTCTTTAAAGTTATGAAGGTGTCCCTTATTTTAACACTACATTTCACTGCTTTAATGCGCCTCTTTCGCTGTAATAAGAGTGAAAATAGCTTGTGTTTATAGTTTTCACCTGATAGCATTGGTTAGTATAAAAGAAACTGTCAAATAAGTTTCAGACTGACGGCTTTAAATAGCCCAGAAGACATAAAAAATCTGTTACGGAGATTTCTCACAATAACATGAGCTTTTCTGCTCTTAAGCACATAGAGTCTTTTACATGGTGGGCAGGACTTTCATACGATGTCAATGCATCACTTTTATGAAAACCATCCGAACGTCTCGACAGTAATACACACACAAAAAACGCATATTTTCACTTATTTTCAGTTAATTTTGATCATGCCTGTCACATTAAAGTCATAAACACTGTAAATATCCATGCACACATTTAATCCTTGTTGATGCATCGCTTAACCATCACCAAAGTCTCGACAGTAACACAAGTTTGTATGATAATATTGTCATGAAATCTTCCGGTCTCCATATCGTAGATGTTGTCCTCTTTGTTCAGGTGTTGGTCAGAGATGTTTGTCGTAGATGTTGTCCTCTTTGTTCAGGTGTTTGTCGGAGATGTTGTCCTCTTTGTTCAGGTGTTGGTCAGAGGTGTTTGTCGGAATCCTTAGTCGTCTGGTGAGATTTTATTTTCGATGAAGCCGTCAAAAGTTGTAGGTTTGTAAGCCACAAGTTTTTCGTGCTGTTCTCTTCAGATTTGATCTTCAGAAATGACCACTCTCTTTGGCTTGTAATGCTTCACAGTTTTGACATCGTCACAGGTTACCGTGGAGATTTAAAATGCGGTTTACTTTAGAAAACACTTATACTGGAAGATTATATCTAAAAGTTTAATATTAACTTTAATTTACTTTAATCTCAATGGAATATGAATATCTCGAAGTAAAGTGGAGGTTATTTTTCGTCAAATAGTTTAAGAGTTTAAAAAGCATTTAAAAAAAAAACTTCCTTATTTCAGTACAAAACGACCCCTTTTTGAAAACTATAGCTTAGTAGGCCTATGTGTCATAGGTAACCCGACAAAACCGGAAACTTTATGTTTCATTATAATTTCCACTGAAGCCTTTACTTCAATTAAATTCAGTCGATTTTCTTTAGAAGGCTACTAAAAATAGTCTATATATACTCCTATCATATCAATATTTTAGAGCAGTAACTACATCTGTAAAGCACTTTGTCGCCCTGTTTTAAAAAACACTTAAAGTTGATCATTGTTATTTGACAAAGCCCATTATAAGGCATCAAAAAGGCCATAAAGATATAGAATTTTGAACTTTAAAAAAATAAAAATATCATATCAGCTCTGAGCCAAAATACCTTTTCACTTGAGTAAAAAGAGGACTATTTTCCTGTGATGGTACTTAATACTAATTCACACATAGATTGAAGTCATCACATGCTTTTATTAACTTGAAAAATCTTTCTAAATTGGCATAAATAATAAAAGATGTTTGGCTGAAAAAGAGATTTGACAGAATATGAAATATAAGCTAATCTAAAAATACTTCAACAGGAACAAGAGGGTGACAAGATACATCCTTGTTTCACACAGCCCATGACTTTGACATATTTAGATTCTGAGGTAGAAAAAAAGAGATAAAAAATAACGAATGCATCTCTGTTTTTGGGTTTGAATGCAGGCGAAAGGACTGTGTTAGTTATTTGGTATTAGCTACTACTTTTACAGCTGTGGTTCATAATCTGATGACAGCTCTGGATGGTAATTTACGGAGCAGATTTTTACGAATCATCCAGCAAATCTGATATCTGCAAAACGAATTATTCATTATTGTAAAGTGAAGCCCGATTTCCATAAAATCAGACTCTTATCAATTTTGCATTATTTTGGTTGCAACCCTATGTCCAGCTTTGAAAATAAAAATTGAAAAGTGCAGTTTTTGTGTCGCTGGGTGTTCCGTTTAATTTGGATGCAGTAGAAGAATAATGCTCAATATTGTATTTGCCAGATGAAAACAACAACTGGAAATAGAAGTAGTGACATTCCCAAAGACACGTTTGTGACCTGATACTCATCCATCCGTATGGCGGGGGGAGGGTATTGAGACCATAGACTGTGTATAGAATGGACTTAGAATGGATTAATAGGTCATAAATCCCACCCCCTCCAGCAAGGGCTTATGGGGCTGTGGACAAACTTTATACATTTATTACACAAAACATACATCCCATAAATTGAATTGAAATAGTTAAATCAGAAATACATATTTGTTTGAGGGTTGGGGGAGTCGAGTTTACCTAAGACGGATGAAACTTTTACTTTGAAATGCTCAACAGGAAGCGTTAGTATTTTGCCCGGAAATAATTATACAGATTTCCGCAGTCAACATTGGAAGGGCGCGGGTATTCATCTTAGCAGTAAGTCAGCTGTTTTTGCAGCGATAAGTGAGCCGTATCTACACGGAGTCCTTTATTTTTATTGATTGTTTCATATTTTCCAGATTGGTTTGCTCGTTTTTCCGTGCTCACGAAGACGTTTCTGAGCATTAGCGTCAGCAGCGACCCTCCTCTGCCATGCCGCCGGAGCCTGGACGCCGTCTAAGGGGAGAACTGGATGAAAAACTCGATCGGTCGCTGAAGGAGTGCGATAGCTGTCGGCTCCTCTCCGGCGGAGGTCTGATGGCAGCCGGAGCTTATGTTTACAGTGCAGCCAGGGCAAGGATGCGGCCCGGCTGTGCGGTGTCCATGGGCACGATGGCTCAGATAACGTTTGCTTTTCGTAAGTAACTGTAACCTATAGCACTGTGGCGCAGTTTCCATCTGAAGCCAATGTGATGAATGCGCATCTGTTTCTGTCTTTCAGTTTTGGCTTCGATGGGGTTTGTTTTCCTCGTGGACCCGGTGGGAAGGATGCAGGGAAGTGAGAAGAAGAGCTGAACGGATAAACCTGAGGGGGGCATGAATGTGTGTCTGAAAAGCCTCAATCATGGACTGCAGGATGACACCGAGCCGAAAAGGATGTCCTTGAGTGTGCAGGAAAAGTGTTTGTGCAGATTGTGCTGAGAAAAATCAGTGCAGACTTTAGTTGGCACAATGTCCTGCAGACTGTTAATTTATAGAACAATAAAAATGACAGAGATTCATTTATTTTATCAAGAAAACAAATGCACTTCTCTCATGCTTAAGAAAGTACGCGAACAAACATCTGTTATGTCTAGATGCCGTGTTACATCCTCTAGATTACAGAAGCCCTGAGTGGACATGTGGTCATAAAGAATCATGTAGGCCAGAGGTGTCAAACTCAGCCACAGCAAGGGCCATAATCTGGATTTAGCTTTAACCTGAGGGCCAAAGAGGGTCAACATCTCACCAAAACTGTCAACCTCCTTTTCAAAAAATATGTTACAAAAACAGAAATGATTATAAATCATTTGGAAATTCAAAAAAGAAAAATAGATACGTTTAAAGGCAATCTGAGATAGAAAAAATATTTTATTTTTATTCTGTTTTTAATTACTAGTTCAAAAGATCAGAGCATGATATTATAAATAGAAAAATAATGCTTTTAAAGAGCAAATACACGAGGAGAATGTTGAAATCAGGTTTAAAAGGTCAAAATGTGACCTTAAATTTAAAATTGGAATCTACAGTATAGAAATGACACAAGTCCAAATACTGAGTTGAACAAAATCAAAGCATGAAATAAAAAATCCTATCATTTTTGACTTGTAATCTTGAAATGCAAAATTGAAAACATGAAATAAAGCACCAAATATTTTTCCCCTACATTCTTGACTATTTATCAAATCTTCCTTACTCTTTAATTTCCCAGATTTTCATGGCGTAGGACATTTTAAATGGTGGAGGAAATCTGCAGACTTCATACTGGTGGGCCAATAATGATACAAATATGATATGATTTTGTGGGCCAGATATAATTGTTCCACAGGCCAGATTTGGCCCCCGGGCCTTGAGTTTGACACCTGTGATGTAGGCTATAATGATCAGGTGGTTATCCAGCTAAGAAATCCTTCACTAAATAAAGACAAACAAGTTGACACAAAATATGTGTATCTCATAAATTTTAATATTGTCACTGTCTTCACTATCACCGTAAAGATTCCAGCATTCAGCAAGGCAGAAGCCTAGATTGCAGGACAGCACCTTGCTCCACTTCTCCATCAGAGGGTGCTTTTTGACAGCAGGAACTTTCTCCAGGACATCTCTGCACCTTCACCCAGGAACCAGGGTCCTCTGGGGTGAAAGCACTACCCCTTACAAAGCCTCTTAGGGAGTTTTAATTTACATAAAAATAACAGGTGGTTAATTAACATGTAAAATACTGGTAACGCAGACGCACTCATAGAGGAGGGAAGAGAAATTCTGGTTAATATCCTACATAACCCAATGTTATTGCAACAGTAAAACTATGTACACATGACTTTTCAATTCAATGACAGACCTGATATATCATCAGACAGCTTTCACATCTGTGTCGAGTCACTTTCATTATTTACCAAGGACTAAGGAGAGATGGAGACTACAGTCTTTGCCACAGCAGAGGAGAAATGTGCTGGACTTCTTCTCATGTTGGATTGATTGAATATGATCAGGTTTTCTTTAAGGTACCTATTGCTGAAAAAATTAAATGACTCAGAGATATAACCAATTGGAATAAAATATTTAACACATTTGGGTACTGTTGAATTTTATTAACTTGGATTTCCTGTGGTAAAATGTAATTTTATTAAATTCAAATCTGAGCTCATGTAATTTAAACAGTTACAAAGATGTCAAAGGTTATGAAAATTGTGGGTGAATTAGGCCTTAGCTTCATCTCTCCTCTACATGCTTCACCGTGCCCTTTCTCATCTGGAGGAACCTGATGTTTATGTGAGAATCTCGTTCTTCGACTTTTCAAGTGCGTTCAACACCATCCAACCCACTATACTCAAAGACAAGCTCACAGAGATTGGAGTGGATCCCTCCTGTGTTTCCTGGATCACAGATTACCTGACAGGAAGGCCACAGTTTGTCAGGCTGGGGAACTGTGTTTCTGGGACAATAATGAGCAGTACAGGAACTCCACAGGGGACAGTGCCAGCGACGTTCTTGTTCACTCTATATATGTCAGACTTCAAATACAGCATTGAGTCCTGCCACATCCAGAAATATTGAGATGACATGCTATTGTGGCATGTATCAGAAATGGACAAGAAGCTGAATACAGAGATCTGATAAGAGCCTTCAGTGACTGGAGTCACAAAAACTGCCTCCTCCTCAACACCTCAAAGACAAAGAAGATGGTCATAGACTTCCATAGATCCAAACCCCCTCTTCAGCCAGTGAACACCTGTGGAGTGGACATCGAAGTGGTGACATCATATAAATACCTAGGTGTACATCAGGATAATAAGTTGGACTGGTCTAAGAATATAGACTTCATCTACAGAAAGGGGCAGAGCCGCCTCTTTTGCCTGAGAAGACTCCGATCAATAGACATCTGTAGTAAGACGCTGCAGATGTTTTATCAGTCTGTGGTGGCAAGTGTTCTGTTCTACGCTGCAGTCTGCTGGGGAGGAAGCATCAAACACAAAGATGCAAGACGTCTTAACAAACTGGTTGGCTCTGTGGTTGGACTCAAGCTGGATTTATTGGAGGATGTGGTGGAGAGATCTACACTGAGGAAGGTGGAGTCTATTCTAAAGAACATGGATCACACACTTCACAACACCTTGATGGACCAAAGGGCCAATGGTGGTGGACGGCTCCTCTCTCTTCGCTGCAGGACAGAAAGATTCAGAAGATCTTTTGTACCAACAGCCATCAGACTTTATAACTCTTCTGTAAATAGTGGATGACTTTTGGAGACATGACAAATGAGATGACAGACAATTAAATTTTGCTTCAGGGATCAATAAAGTTCCTCTTATTCTTATATGAATGGTTAATCAATTTGTATACTGTATATTACCCATTTGCAGGAATACTGATATGGCCTCTATATGTTTTCAGAGGAGAGGAAATGTTGATGACTGCTGACAGTAAGTTTACGCTAAAAATGATTTAACCAAAATACTGTATTAGTCTGCAGGTGACATACTTTAAGTTTAGGTTTTAGCCTTGAGCTATAGATGATAACTAGAGATGAACAATGCTATCTGCATCAATAGATATAAAACTAAATAGTTTAAAAAAAGAATAGCTTTATCATTTCTGTTTGAATTTAATGTCCTGAATTAAGTCAGTTTCTAAAAAAGACTGTCACAATAAGAGTAACAGATCAATTCTATTACAGGAGAAACACTGGGTTCTTATATATATCAGTATCTGTATCAGCCATAGACTGTATATATAGTTTATACAGTCTATGGTATCAACCAACATGAGTTTGTATCTGACATTGTGCAACCCTTGTCCTAACCTAAGCTTATCATGTATTAAATACTTAAACACCGCCTGAAATGCTGGATTTCACTTCATATCTGCCGAGCTGCAGTGCAGACCTGCCTCATCACGAAGTGTCTTTGCTAATATCAATACTGGACCAGGAGTGTTGGACTCTCAGCAGGTGGTAGGCTGAGTATTTTAAGGTAGATATGAGTGCTTGGAAACAGTCCTGGGAACCTTTCGTGCAGCAAATACACACTGAAGACAACATTGGTACTGTTGGTCAGTTAGTCTGAGTTACCTTTTATTAGTGTTATACTGATCCGAGCACAATCGCTCACAAGGAAGAGTTTGATAAGCATGATGCAAAAAAACACCCTAAAGTCATTTTCAGTCACGTAAAATGATCATGACATTCTGATTGATTTCTTTTTTAGGTTAAAGAAAAATATGAAAATAGAGTTGACAGTACATTTAGGCACACTATTAACACATACTGTACACAGATATGCACAATTTTCATTATCATAGATTCATAAATACTGGGGTTAAAAAAAAAAGAGACAAGCCTTCCTGTTTGGAGAGGTGTGCACAAAGTTAAAAATGACACCTGCTCCACTATGGGGACCAAATATCCACCTCAGAGTGGCAGGCTCTGGCACATGTCCTCCTGCTCGACCAATCAGAGTCCACTAAAGCTGCTCAGTACAAAGCAATGGAAGCAGACAAAGAAAGTCCATTCGATGATTGCGGTAGAATGGAGCTCCATCCAGCCCTCCCACAGTTGCTACGGTAAGTGCTCATACGCAGTGATTCCAATGGTCACAGGGCAAGGCTCTCCTGTGAGCCTATTGGACAGGAGAAAGAGGGAGGCGGTCCCTCCAGATGTCAGTTTATCATGATGAAGATATGTTCACACTCAACAGGACAGGCTTGAATGCATAAAAATGCCACTTATGAGTTCAAACGAAGCAGTTTTATGAGGCCGCCTCTGAGCTAGCTATAGCCCGATGAGCTAATCATTAGACAGTGAGACCCCCTGCCACGCCCCCAGCTGATCGCCACAACTCGGATTCTGATGGAGTGGGTGGGAAAAGTGGAAAAAATCCCCCACACGCCAAAGAAATAAAAACCCAGACTTATAAAACAAGTCTGTAAAATAAACATTGTACTTTTACAACAACGGAATGTTAAGTTGTTGGGATAAGAAGATATTTCTCAGGGAACCTCTGTTTTGTTTTCACTATTAAAACTATATGGATTATTTCTTTCAGTATACAATGATTCAAAATGCACATGCATTGAAGAAACAAAATATTGCACAAAATTAAACACATCTTCTCTGAATAAAGTGATTAGGGATATATCTCCGTATCTCTATCTTGATTTCCTTGTAACGTTCAGTCGTGTGAGGGAGCGCCACCTTTAGCGTGCGTCTCTTGGTCAGTTTCTCCTGTATGTAGTTTTTAAGGCTGGTTCACTCGCTCACACTGGCACAGTTTTCTGACTGAAGAGCATCTTCATGCTAAAACAGACACATACACACTCACACACACTCCCATTCACACACACCTCTACACAAGCCAAACACAGGCCAGACCAGAGAGTACATTCTTTGATTGGTGCGCTGAGTGACTCACGACTGTGCCGTTCTCTTCCCTCGCATGATTAAAGATATGGAGCACAGTAATGTTCAGGGCACCCCAACACCCAGCCAGTGCACACACTTACACACACTTATACACACACACACAGGCGCGCGCACACACGCACAAGTATGGAACAGCATGAGCTTTGGTCTTCCCGTGTTTTGACAGTAGCATTAAAGGGGGTGTGGCTTATTCTTTGAGGATTAGAGGCAAAAAAATATGCAGACAATAAAGTGTCAAATCATTCTTTCGACCCACTTTTTGTTCAGTCACATTTAAAAAAAACAGCGCCTTTTAACCCAGTGCTATTGACATATTTGGTTACTATGACAACAGAATCGTTTGCGTGTTAGCAAGTGTGCAGCTTTCGCAGATCAGATGTCTATAGCTTGAGGGTTAGCTTGACTACAGCTGACCGGCCACGTCACTCGGACGATGCGCTGCGTCAGTTTAAACACAGAAGCGGGAAGGTAAGGCAAAGTGTGGGTCTCTGCTGTCTGCTTCTGCAGTTAAAAAACAATACAGTATTTGTGGTCTGCTCTCTGGACCATGAGAAAGCAGCATCAACTGGCCCAGGATAAAGCTAAACATAACTAAAACACAAAAAAAAGAAGATAAATGTTGAACTAAGACATGACTGTGATGATCAGTCTCGGTGCAAATACAGGATTTGTGTTTGCGCATGAGGAGGGCCGTGTGTGTGCTGCTCATCCTTCAGTTTCAGCTGGATGACTGGAGTGTTTTCACTAAAAAGAGTGTGTGAAGGAACTGGAGGGGCAGAAATTAGGCAAACACACCGTAACATTCACATCAAGTCCCCCACCTTTACCCCCGGCTCTTAAGTCCAAGTGTGTGTGTCAAGTCGGCTGATGTCCCGATGCCTCTGTGCTCTCCTGTCACCTCTTCAGAGAAGACGATTTGACTTTCTGGCTAAATCTGTGGATGCGTGGCGAGCGGGAGTGTAGTTTGACAAAGAGCTCAGGGAACTTGTACTGGGGGAACATTGTCTCCAAGAAGCCCTCCAGGAAAACGTAGACCAGCCGACGGTTCATGGGTTGGTACTGAAACATGTCGAAGACTCGGAGGATGCCTTTTCTGGTGGTGTCTGCTCCGATGATGTGCTTCAACTCATCTACAACAGAAAGACAACACAGAGGGGAGATCAGAAAGAGACCCTTGTGCATCACTGTGATTTAAATTCCCTTTTAACTTCAGCTGCTTTAATTCACTGTGGATTCACTCATGCACATTCGGCTCCGGTTAATCTGCCAGAATGAGAGTCACCTTTTTTACTGTCTTTCTGAAGCTTAAGCTCATCCAGGTTTCTCTTCATTGTTTTTGATTTAAGGAACTGATGTTAGTCTGCAGCTTTTGCTGTTCAGCAAACTTGTTTATTATTGCTGCTACACAAGGGGACGTCCAGACTTTTGACACAGACAGGGCAGTGCACTTCACTTATAACGGACTGTGCTTTTGTTTAATTCTAGTAATAACTCAACAGAGATGATCATTTTGGAGTCACTTTTGTCTAATCCTATATAATCAGGGCACGTATTTCATTTAAATTATTTTATTATTCTATATTCAATGCATGTTAGATGGTTTTGTAATGAGTAATGGGGATATTTCTGAATTGATTTTGTAGCATATTGATTAGTACTGTATTGATATTGGATGAAATTGTGACTCGAAAACTGGAAATTATTTTGAATTTTGAGGTTCTTGAAAAGGCACAACTGACGAAAAAGCATAAAACTTTCTAGTGAAATTAAGACCTAAAACTAAGAAAAATAAAAATAAATCAATTTTTTATTTTCAAAAACAAAAGAAGAGGAGAGATAAATTGATAAAAGGCCAGAAATTTCAATACAATTACTATATGAAAGCTTCTATGAGGAACTTAGAGGTGGGGCTGATTTTGGCGCCCCCCAGTGGACAAAGTAGGAGTCTTTATTCGTGTCCTGCACATGCAAAAGTCATGTTTTCTTTACAGCCAGGCAGCTAATACATCACTTTACTGTGAATCTTTGCTTTGGAAAATGTCAACAAAGGGCTCCAAACACATGTGGTAAGAGGTCTTTGAGATCCTCCTGAGTATATTATAAACTTTGAAACCCAAAGTCGGTATCTGTGCAGACTCCTTGCTCAGGGGGGGTCCAACAACCTACTCCCACTCCACACTCAAGAGGTTTGGACCGCACCCAGTGCGGCAGACCCTCCACCCAACCATGCAGACAGAGTGGGAGTGTGTAGGAGGAAGGTGTATGAACATTTTCAGAAGGGTCTCCGTGTCGCTGCTGTTGCAGATATAACTTCTTCTGTATCATATTTTTTTCCACAGTTGGAACATGCTGCCCCTCTGAGGTCAGGAAAACAAAACTCTGACAACACCAACAAATTTGTGGTTTCCCACTCTAACCTCTCTAAGCCTCACAAAGGCTAAACCTGAACTTGTGTTTCAAACAGTCAGATCCACATGACGTGAAGAGGGTTAAAGGATGGTCAAAGTAGGTGATGTCATCATAAACAGGCCCAGCCAACAATAGGATGAAGAAGGGGGGGTGTTTTCACCTGGCATGATGCCGAGCAGGCTGGTCTTGGCAGCTACTCTGGTTCTCATCCGGATGTTCTTGTCCCGGCGGGGTGGTGACTCAGCCAGAATACCATTAGGCCAGTAGGAGTCCCTTTATAGAAACACAATCACACAGAGTTACTCATAATTCTTCTGATTGATCAAAGCTGTGAGATCGAAAAAACAAGACCGTGATAGGATACCTGAACTTCTTGACGTAGTCTGCAACCTGCTCAGGTGAGGTCAAGTAGTCCACATGATCCACAATTTTCCTTCAGGGTCAAAGAGAAAAAAGTATCAGCCTGGAGGTTATTTACTGGTTCTTGTTTTTGTGTACATTTGGTGATGTGAACATGTGTTTATTGTGCATGCACTTCAAATATTAGCTCACATTCTGTCCTATTTTCCTGTTTGAACGGTTTCTACAGAGGGGGTTGTGGACTGTTTTAACCTGTTTGTCTGAAATTTTGTTTTTTGGTCTGTGTTTGACAAACAAACGTCCTCTTTTCAAAACAGCTTTCTCTATTATCACTTATTTACAAGGTCTGGATAATCATCACTCTGCACCACAAGCTCCATATCACTGTTGATATCACTCCATATCTGTGGTTTCTGTCTCCGAGGTCTGTGAACTAGACTCTCTGAAGATCTGGTGTCTCTGACCTGTTGATGGTGTCTCCATAAGTGGCTCTAATGAGCTGCTGCAACAGGTTCTTAATGTTCCTACGCAGCCACTGGTTCTTCTCCTTCAGGTCAAACACCTCGTCCATTAGTAGCAGCATAACCCTCAGAGGGATGTTATCATCCACCTTAGAGGAAAAAAAACACATTTTTATGGAGTTTTAAATGAATAAACCAAGAAAGAGAGCAAAAGGGATGAAACAGATGGCAAGACGACGACAGGCGCCCTGACTCACATTATCATCCAGCTGAGCAGAGACTCGACAGTGTTCGGGGTCGATTTCTGTCTTGGGAAGGAGTGGAGGCACCTGGAAAAAAGAAAAGGACATTTCTATGTCAGAGATGTTTGAACAGTTTTCTTCAAAGTTATAATTTTCACGGCAACTGACATCATTACAGCAATGCAGCACAGTGACAGCAAACAGTAGAGATGATGAAGAGGGGAGTATGTGTCAGCCGCCAAGGACTGAAAACTGGCTCTAGAAGCTGTTTGAGAGCCGACAGAGCCAGTTCCTGCTGAGCCAAAGGATCTGGGTCACGAAATAAGCCTGATTTTCCATCACTATGAATATTTATTCTGAGGTTGTTTACCTGATAGAGAAGAAGGATTTGAACCCTGATCTTACACGGTAAGATGGATCATAGACAACTTGAGCAGGATCATTTAGTCTTGATCTTTAAATTTCCTTGAGGGAACCTTCCCAAAAAGATAAAGTTATATCTAATCTAATCTAAAGACTTGTCAATTTGTGGATCTCAGTCAGTATAATGTGTTGAGACTAAATCTATTGCCGGAGTTGGATCATGTTGCAGCAGGAGGGGGGCTCGGGCATCAGACTTTCAACAGGTCTTGATGTTAATGTCAACTTCCATTGATTTTTTCACAGGTTTTCCGTGAAACTCCTATGACTACATTTCTGAAGCACTGACAGCACCAACTCTTCAACTTGATACGGTGCGCTTACGTCTGTCATTTTCAGTGTTTTATTGACAACTTGGTTGGAGGCTTCACCGACTCCGAGCTGTCAACTGGCACCGATACGAGCTCTGAGCTGGAGGAGGCAGCGGTTTAGCGCTGACAGCTGAATGTTAACTTTTTATGTGAGACCTCAAATTGGATGCTTTTCCTCATTTCACACGGATCTTTTTGGTGCAGATTTAACACACTGCCTCCTCTGGATCAGCTGGTTCTCCTTTTTTGTTGGACTGAAAACTGAAAGATCCCAGAAGGGCGAAGTATCAAACAGACAGATGCTCTTTAAAAAGAAACAAAGTAGTAGCTTGTTTTAATGTGGTCACCTTAAGTATGGACTGTTTAAAATCCTGTCCCAATCTTTCGGACATGCGGCCCATGTTGTCGGAGACCTTGGTCATGCCCTCAGCCAGACTGTCAGGAAGTGCCTTCACCGCATTGGACATGTTTCTCATGGAGCTCCTCAGAGGATTTACAAATGTGTCAATCTGATGGGAGGAATAAAGGATGAAATGTACCTTTAAAATGATTTACAACAGCCACAGTCTGACACTGACAGACGCACAAGGGGATGCAATGAACAAAAGGAAGTCCGTAGCTACCTTTCGTGCAAACTCTCCCTTGCCCTTGCTGTAGGCCTTGTTTTCAAGGAAGTCGTAGACGTAAGGAATCAGAGTTGGACAGGCCTTCACCATCTCTGGGTTAAGCAGCAGCTGCAACACAAACCAGGAGTTTTGGTACTCTCAGAGTGACACAGGACTGCAAAGGTTTTCAAAATGACATTCAACTCCTACCTGTAAGTAAGCATTGAGGTCTTTTTTCCTCTTTTCCAAGAAATCTCTGTCCATGTTGTTAAATGTCTTCTTCCCTGGCAGCTTGAGGATTGACGCCAGATTCTCAAACTAAAACAGAACGTAAACACACGAACCACAGAAAATGACCGTCAAGTTTATGAGTTTCTTCTTTTTGACTATTATGGCAGAAAAGGAGAAGAATTAAACCCTTAATTATGACTTACACACACCTGCTCTGTGATCCTCATATGGAAGTCATGAAAGTCGGAGTAGCGGCGATATGTCTTCCAGCAGTCCTCGCTGCCGTCCTGGCTGCGTCTGAACACGGTGATGGCGTACAGTGCGTAGGTCTTACCATGGTCATTGCAAACCCCTGCAGCACCCCAAAAGCCGGGGAGAGAAGTATCAGCTACCCCGCCCCGCAATATATCCAAAATGGGAACGGAAGATGAGGAGGGGTGGGTGAACGGCAGGGGAGAAAAGGAAAAGGAGAAAAAGAATGTGTGGAACGGAAGAAAAGAAAGCAAAGGAAACAAGTGCAGAGAGCGCAAGGAGACGGGAGGGGGTCGTGACAGAATAGCAGGAAAAAGCAAGGGAGGGAGAAAAGGAAAAGAAACAAAGTGAAGGTGATGGAATGAGAGAAATAAAGAATACTGGAAAAGTATGAAAAGTCACAGCAGAAGTAATGAATGGAGCTAGGAGAGAGAAAAAACATGCAAGGGAGGGCGAACGAAGGCTAAAAGATACCAAATAAAGTCAACAAAAGCACTCAGTCTTCTCACAGAGTCCCATTTCAGGTTTAAATCAGTCTAGATTAAACGTGTATGTGTGTGTGTGTGTGTACCTGTGTCGGAGATGAAGGCATGTAGGTGCATAGTTTCATCATGGCAGGAGTTGGACAAGTCGTCCAAGGACTGAAAGTACAGGACACAAACCAGCATATGACGGTGCACTTTCTTAAGAATAACCGCTGCGCGTACAACATTCCTGCACATTTTTTTACGTCTAGTACCAGGAAGAGGAAAATTCTTACCAAGTTTATGCTTCCTGTAGGAGAGCCGTTGAAGGATTCTCCGTCACCGTCATCAGAGCCTCTGTAGCTCGGCTCTTTCAGCATGTCCAGCTCTGCCAGCATGCGCACGTAGAGAGGACTCTGCTTGAAGGAAGGGTAGAAGCGCTCATCGCGGAGCATCATGTCATAGACCTGAGGGAAAAGTGAGTCGATAAGTTGTTCATATTTAGAAAACAGGCAGTGGAAAGCACATATAATCCAAACCATTATAACAAAAACTATGCAGCTATCTGACAGAAAATTTCTCAAGAGCATTGGCGTTATTCCTAATAGTTACTCTGTAAAGAGGATGGAGTACCTTTCTCTGAATTTCATCAAATATCTCTGGGGTGGGGTCGTCTTTCTGCAGCTTCTCCCACAGTTTCGTAACAGACGCCTCGTCCACCTGCACCCTGGGAGATGCCTGTCGGGTGGAAAAAAGACAGATGCAGGTAGATTTACATTCAAATTACATGAATGTAACAGTGTTTTAAAGGCCTATGTCAATAAATTTTTTTTTTTTCAGCGTCAGTACCCACTACCACCACTACTTACTGTTGCTATGGTTACTTATGCTGCCTTGCCTCATTTTTTGACATTAGAAGCAACTTCAGACCTGGAATAATACTCCCTCTATCGTGTCCCAGAAGTTAAACTATTTTCAACTGAGAGCGTCTTGAGCTCAAACAGCTGCCAGTAAGGATGTTTTTGTGTGTGTAATTCAACGAGAAGGACCGACATGTTCATTAACTTCCATAAGATAACGACTCGATATAATAATTAGACATCAACCGCCTACCTTCTCAGAGAGGTACTGTTCAAACACGCCCAGTGCAGCAGCCTTCAACAGCCCCTTGGTGGCGCTGGGCTGCTTCTTGCCATCTTTCTGCCAGCCCAGCATGGCCTCCAGCTGCTGCTGCGCCGTCACCCTGTAGCCCTCCACAGTGAGCCAGAAGAAGAGCTCCGCCTGGGCCCCCGCTGCCTGCATGAAGTCTGGGTGGACAGATAGACAAGACTTAGTCCGAATGGGGTCTGCGTACTGCAGCACTTTGAACCGACATACAAATACATGAGCGATAAGAGGAGCGTGAAGCTTGTGGGGACTGGTTGACCTGCAGAATAAATGTAAATGTAGCTGTTGGCACTCTCATGTTTTCTAAATCTATGCTGATGCAACTCGGTTTGCTCCTATTATGTACACAGCAACACACACACAAACACACACCCACACACATGCACAAACAGCAAACAGACACATTAACTTTATCATAATCTGATCTGTAACATGGAATAACCTTGAATAATCTCTGAGGAGGTCAGGTGGGATTTAACAGGAGTGTGACTGAGACAGGTTGTGGTCGAGTAAGTGATGGATTATACAGACCAGTCACAGGTGTGTTCAGGGTTAAGGCCTTCAGATGGGCTACAGTCAGAAGAACTCAGGTATGTGGGTCTACATATGCGTGATGTTGCATTTTCCTTTAATTACCCATGAAGAACTGCAGGGCGATGTTGTGGACGAGGATGTGATCCAGCGGGATAACACACAGCTTTCCAAAGTTGGCGGCCAGCTTTAAGGCGTCCACTTCCTGCATGACACAGGAGGGATAGTAAGTCAAGTTAGCCACAGAGAGTGGAAATGTTTTACTGGTTCCCTCACTGTAAATACTATACAGTAGGGATGGACAATAAATTATCGCTCACGACATAAAGTCAGAAAAATCCTACATGATAAATATTTGCCATCTCGTGATAGATACAACAAACGCAAGTTGATGACGTGAGTGTGAACGACGGACTCGCAGCCAAAGCCCACACAGAGCGGAATAACAAATAAATATGGCCGAAGGTGATGAAGAAGACGTTTTTGAGCAGCTTGTTGCTAAACGAGGCTCCACATGAGGGTTTTCCTTCAAGATGAGTGCAGTCAGGTATGCCTGACATTGGACAGTGGATCTGCTGCTGTTCACTCTGTGCAATAAAAGTTTTCAACAAAATGTTTTTACATCTGAGACTTGTTTGATGTCATTAGTTTTCTCCATAACCGACCACTCAAATTTGTGGTCAGGTATCTTATTTGACAACTCCAACTGGAATATTGCTGTCCCGAAAATATAATGCTCTCTACCTGGACAGCTTTCTGTACAGTTTATACCCAAGTACACCTCTATACAGTAAGACTGTTTCTCACCTTGCCAGAGTGTAGTCTCTGGATCCTGGTCTCACACACCTTCTTCACAAACAGTAGACTGTTAATCTGGTTCTTGATCACGTTGATATCTAATAGACAGACACACAAGGTCATCAAATGAGGGGGGCAAAACAGCACATATGCACCCTCTAGGTTTAAGCACAGAGGTGTTTGTAAATAAGAAGAAAAGTTGTTGCCCACCATCTCCTGCAGTGTCCAAGGAGCGGAGGTACTGCAGCTCCTCCAGCACCTTGTCTTTGACGGCCTCCAGCTCTGCAGGCTTGTCTGTTAGCTTCAGGATGTTCATGAAGGCTTCGTAGTTACAGCTGGTGTCCCGGATCTACGGATCAATGATGATCCGTTGCACCACTACTACATGTACATGATGTTACATTTTTCTTTTCAACAGCTTCTACACTCACCGGCCACTTTATTAGGTACACCTGTCCAACTGCTCGTTAACACTTAATTTCTAATCAGCCAATCACATGGCGGCAACTTAGTGCATTTAGGCATGTAGACATGGTCAAGACAATCTCCTGCAGTTCAAACCGAGCATCAGTATGGGGAAGAAAGGTGATTTGAGTGACTTTGAACGTGGCATGGTTGTTGGTGCCAGAAGGGCTGGTCTGAGTATTTCAGAAACTGCTGATCTACTGGGATTTTCACGCACAACCATCTCTAGGGTTTACAGAGAATGGTCCGAAAAAGAAAAAATAGCCAGTGAGCGGCAGTTCTGTGGGCGGAAATGCCTTGTTGATGCCAGAGGTCAGAGGAGAATGGCCAGACTGGTTCGAGCTGATAGAAAGGCAACAGTGACTCAAATAACCACCCGTTACAACCAAGGTAGGCAGAAGAGCATCTCTGAACGCACAGTACGTCGAACTTTGAGGCAGATGGGCTACAGCAGCAGAAGACCACGCCGGGTGCCACTCCTTTCAGCTAAGAACAGGAAACTGAGGCTACAATTTGCACAAGCTCATCGAAATTGGACAATAGAAGATTGGAAAAACGTTGCCTGGTCTGATGAGTCTCGATTTCTGCTGCGACATTCGGATGGTAGGGTCAGAATTTGGCGTCAACAACATGAAAGCATGGATCCATCCTGCCTTGTATCAACGGTTCAGGCTGGTGGTGGTGGTGTCATGGTGTGGGGAATATTTTCTTGGCACTCTTTGGGCCCCTTGGTACCAATTGAGCATCGTTGCAACGCCACAGCCTACCTGAGTATTGTTGCTGACCATGTCCATCCCTTAATGACCACAATGTACCCAACTTCTGATGGCTACTTTCAGCAAGATAATGCGCCATGTCATGAAGCTGGAATCATCTCAGACTGGTTTCTTGAACATGACAATGAGTTCACTGTACTCAAATGGCCTCCACAGTCACCAGATCTCAATCCAATAGAGCATCTTTGGGATGTGGTGGAACGGGAGATTCGCATCATGGATGTGCAGCCGACAAATCTGCGGCAACTGTGTGATGCCATCATGTCAATATGGATCAAGCTCTCTGAGGAATGCTTCCAGCACCTTGTTGAATCTATGCCACGAAGAATTGAGGCAGTTCTGAAGGCAAAAGGGGGTCCAACCCGTTACTAGCATGGTGTACCTAATAAAGTGGCCGGTGAGTGTATATCACACACACAGAAATGTTCAGCCAGCAGCTAATTAACAGGCGGTAATTAAGGAAGTAAGTGTCAGCTCTCACCATCCAGATGACAAACTGGTTGATGTAGTCCGGGTCGCTCAGCTGGTTGATCAGAGGAAGCAGCACTCCACGTGCCAGCACCTCCTAAAACAACATCACAGGTGCAGTCATAACATTTGGGTCACATGGTCTGGCACGGCGGTGTACCTCGAACCAGTAGCATTGTGTTGTAAGAAAATAATACTCAAGTCTGAATAGCAGCCAAAGAGGCATTTGGCTGGTGGCTTAACCATGACAAACACAGGCGGTGTGACATAATGTTTGCTCGCACATGGGATTCAGTCAGACTGACAAAGTGACACCGACTGTGATCCTTTGACAGGCTAAGTGAGCGTTCAGTTTAGTGTTTGTTTGTCTTCTTTATGAACTCACCCTCAGGAAGTATCTCATGTTCTTGTTATGGAAATCTCCAGGAGGTAGTAACAGATACAGGAGCAGCTCGCACAAGTCCCGAAGGAAACCTGACAATCACAAGAGCAGTATGTTTAGTTTTCTGCATGTTTGTGTGAACGAGCTCTTCGTGGCGGTGTGATCTGTAAGGTCAGACACGTCGCACCGGCGTGTTTACCTTCTTCATCTTTGTGTGAAGTGCACACCACGTCTCGACAGATCTTCCTCTCCATCTCCACCTCGGCCTCGAAGAAGGAGTCCACCAGCTCCTCTGTGATGTCCCCTGTGCAGACATCACTCATTTTCATTTTCAACATTTTTACTTCGCATGATAATTCAAAGCTCTGCTAGCTGACAGTTTTTCCACCACATAATTACAATCAAAATCTTATTGTGTCGCTCATCAAGACAGCTTCATAATCAGTGTTGTGGCAATCGTGGATTTCTCGACTCACTTTGCTTGTCTTCTCTGTCTGCGAGGCGATCTTGGGCTTTTCTGAAGACACGTAAATGGGTGGCAAAGTCGTCCACCAGGCGGGTGGTGAAGTAAGGCTGCCAGTCCACCTCTTTGGACCTTGAAAAAAAGATTATACACCCAAAAGAGGTTAAACAATCTAATATGTGAGTAAAACTAAAAATAAATATGGCTGATATCTGATATTGTCACAGCTTTAGCACTAATGCAGAATATGTCCATGTGACAACGAGTTTTGTACCGTGTAGAAAACTGAACGAGGGCATTCTGCAGCGTCTGTCTGATCTCCAGTAAGAAAGACTCATCCTCGCTCAGAGTGTAGTACCAGTACTGGATGTAGTCTCTTAGAGCAAACTGGATCACCTGCAGAGACAAAGATATAGAGGAGGAGGAGGAGAGGAGGAAAACAGAGAAGAGTTGGGAGTGAGGAGGTGCTACCTGCTTGTTTGTTGGGGTCAAAGTTTTCGCTTGAAGCTTAATTATTGGCAGAGGACTTCAGCTAGCAGTTGAAACTGGCAAAATAACAGAGTACAGCATTTCAAATTCAAAAATCTTGGTTTCTTCACTCCTTTTGGGTGTTTTTTTTTTTTATAGTGTGTAAGAGAGAGGCTGCTAACTATAGCTCAGGAGCTCACAAAAATCTGTCTTTCAGTTTCAGTGTTTCTGCAGGTTGCAACAAGTCAAATTTAAGACTTTTTAAAGACCATAATGAATGCAATTTAAGATCCATACTGGCAAAAAAGAACAAAAGACATGAAGGGAAATCAGAACATTTTGAACTGACTTCAAATCAATCTTTATTTGTCAGTAACATTAATACATTTTAAGACCTTTTAAATTTGTATTTAAGACATTTTATGAGGTTTTAAGAGAATTTTAGACATTTTAAGGCCTTGGATTCAAATTACTGGATTTTAGACATTTTAAGACTTTTTTAAGACCCAGCAGAAACCCTGGGTTTAGAGATAAAGTTTCAAATAACAGTGATATGATTTTAAGTACTGAGTCAGTATTAGTTCTGATCCTGCTGACATTGAGCACATGTGGTTAAAATCTCACGAGTATCTTTGAGGTAAAACACAAGACTCTTCACGCTGTGACACGGGAGTTTGATGCTGACATCAAAGACAGGGAAGTGCAGCCAAAGGTTTGTTTAAACAACTTAACCAGATTCCACTGACTAATGAAAAGCAACGACTGGACTCGAATGTCGCACAGGATTGAAGTTTGACGCAGGAAAATAAACGTTTTTGAAACACATTTGAGTCTGTTGACTGTCAGCGTGAAACAATGGGGGGTAAGAATAAGTCATGTACTTTAGTTTCACTCTGTTACTCACAGTAACAACTCAGATAAGTAGCATCATTACATCAATTTATTGTACTTTCATGCTACTGTTACAGTCATCTGATACCATCAGCTGAACAGGCAGGAGGGCTTTTATCACTAACTGTTGAACATCAAGAGTAAGAGAAGTGTGTTTTTTAAAGCGGTGCAGGTTAACATGTTGTCACATTCAGCTGTGCAAGATCTCAAGGTTTCCTATGTGGCTGAAATGATTAGTGTGCATTCCTGCAGGGGGGGGGAGGACAGACGGAGAGCAGCACAGCAGAGCAGTCAGTGTCATCTGACTGTCACAATCTGCTGTGTCTGCAGCTAACTCTGCCGGCCACGCTGCTTTACTCAGGCCAGCGTGCTTAAAGCTTGTTTTCTTCTCCAAGTGCTGTAACCACAGGACCAGGGTGGAAAGAAAAAAGACACTGGCCAATCGGACAAAAGCCACTAAGCTCTCCAGCTCTTTGTGCTTTTTGACAGTCAGACAAAACAGTAATTTGGAGGATGTGTTCGGGTGTGCATTTTGCTGAAAGAAGACTAAAAATATGACATTTCAACGTATCTTTTGTTTGAGGCACATGAGCTGCGTTACTGCAACACTGTCAGAGGGTTTCAGTTCTACTTTCCGTTCGGACACAGCTCATCTCTCAAGATGAATTAGATTTTCTAGAGCGATCAAATTTTTAGAGGCCAAAGACGTGCATTATCTGCTTGATTTAGAGTACATTTAAAGCATTCACAGTGATCCACAATGACAAACATGGATCAAAAACAATAGTTTATCTTATTTGAAATTAAAGAAGTCAAAAAAGGTCTTTCTCAAGGGTTTAAAAATACTAACAAGCGTGCGGTACACTTTATTTTAAATTCAAAAGAAGAGCCTTCTCTCTCATCCTTAAAAGAAGGCAGAACTGAAATGTTATGAAGTGAAGAAGGAAAGCTGCGATTACATGAAGCTATAACTTCGTTCATTTTACCACGTTTTCAGTTTAATATAACTTGATTTTGTTGTATGCATCCGCTAACCGCCAGCCTATTTTAGACAAACCGTTGACACTAACCACAAGGAACCGTCGTCCAGTGACCGTGAGACACGCAGGACTCAGGGGATCGGTCAGTGTTTGACAGCGATGACTACTTTATGCCTTGCGGCCATGAAGCTGCTGACCTGGACCAGCTGACAGGTCAGACTGTTACTTAACTGGGCCTGCGTCCAAAAGGCCTGCCGTGTTAGTATTTGTCAGCCAGTAATAATCCTGTTATCTTTTAGATGCTTCTCTGCTTAGCCAGTTCATGTGCGCTTGGCTTTTTGTGACCGATTACTCAGCAGTGCCAGCACATACCTGAGCTGATACCACCTCTACAAAGAACAAGAAATAAACCAAAACAGAGTGACTCTAAATAGAGAACATGATGTCCTTTATTTATCTCTAGTTATGAAACCTGATAATTCAGTGTTTCCCTATCTACTCTGGCAGATTTGCCTGCAAACCCCTGATGAATTCACCATGGTCGCCAAATACTCAGTGAACTGCATACTGTACATGTCTCAAACACTCGGACACGCACCTGCTGTAGTGGTTCATCTATGAAACTGGAGCCCGTTAATCTCCTGTCAATCTTTATTGGCTTCAACTCCAGCTTCATCTCATCCAACGTCTGAGGGTTAGGGAGAGAAACAGACAGACGAGAGTGACATCAGACCAATCAAATTAAAGAAAGTTTTGGGAGTAAACTACACCTTCAAAAGTTTTCTAACTTCTCTGCCAAGATATGGATTTCAGCATGCTTTTACCTTGAGTATACCAATTTGCGTGGGTGGTAGGTACGAGTGCTCGCACTTTTCCAGGTGTTTCTCGGAGTTGATCTTCCCGTAGAGCAGTGTGACCGCAAAGCCCCTGGAAAACAGAAGTGAGAGTGAGAGGACAGCTAAAACCTGATCCGTGCCCAAAGCTGCGGTTAACGTGGGAGAGCGCTTGTGCAAAAGTAGCATGATGATTCAGAGGTCTTCCTGCTCACCCTCCAATAAAGCAGAAGATATAAAAGGCCAGGTAGAATATGGCAAAGGGTCCAAAGGTGACGAGGAACAGCACGACTCCAAGACCCCCCCATCCCCAGATGGACAGACTGGCCTGAAACACAAATAAACACAGATGGTATTAGGATGAAACACGTCCTCCTGACTGATGGAGACATTTTAAAAGATACCGGATCTAATCGAACATGCGGTCTATGCACCAAAAAACATCCTGTTTCTTCTTAAGTGCTGTTGTTTCTTGATTTCCCCTCCCAGATTAATTACTAATCCTCTGCTTAAAACAGTTCAGGCTCCTCAGCTCGCTCACTGTGATCAAATAAATGAACAGCACTCTGATACAAACTTGAAAAGATTAGACAACAATACTGTACAATGACGTCACCCTGAAGAAACACATCTCTGACCTTTGGATGTCGGCACAGGAAACGATTATTTAAATACTCACTCACACCGTGGTCGTGTGTTGCATTGTTAGAAAGTATCAGGGATAGACTGCGTGTGTGTGTGCATACTTCTGTGACACATCCTATGGTTTTCCTGTTATTGTCAGTTCAGGAAACAACGCTCTCATTTCTAGCTAAAAACTCTGTCCCAGTTTTCTAAATGAGCTGGCCTACTGGCTTTATTTTCTAGTCCCAGCTATGCTATGCTACCATAACGCAAAAGATGGCATGACTACAGACTGCCTAGAACGTCCAAAAGCAGAGCTGCCATTGGCCTCTAACTATGTGAGTCCTGGGGAGCAGGGCCAGAGAGGGAGACCTGGAGCTGCTTTGGCTTTGTAGACAGTAGGACTGAAGCTCAAACGGGTCAGCTCACTGCAGGCTGAGGGATTTCAAAGCTGGAAGTGGCCTCGATAATGACTAATCAAATCAAATTGAAAAAAGGACAAAATGCTCTTCTTGGTCAAACTCAACCAAAAAAAAAAAAACAGGAAAATTGTTTATTTTTTAAAAAGAGGTCGGTGCTACAGCATTGTTGGACTCTTGTAATCCTCAAATAAGTAAAGATGAAGCTGACTTGGTATCATCCAGGCTGTCCACCTTGCAGGCACATGCCGTGTAAGACTAGTCTGGACTTGCCAGACCCATCAGCCAGCTCATACTCATTTTCCTTGGGTGTGTAAGTCTGCATTCTGAATGTTTTCCTGTGGCGTCAGATTTACCAAACCAATCATAGACGTTTCTTTAAGATGAGCCAGGACACAAGACCACTGGAGGGTTTGTTGAATCCACCATGGCTGCTAATTTAAACAAACCAAGTGATGCATTTTTATCACAATATTGTGTGGTAGGGCTGGGCGATAAACCGAAAATTTACTGATACCGAAATTTAGGACAATAATCCTGAAGTAGACAAAGTTAATGTGGGCCGGGGTGAGCAGCTTGTGGATAAGTTATCGTCCATTTATTGTTATCGAGATGAACTGCTCAATATATCGTCATATTGATTGTAGGCCATATCGCCCAGCCCTATTGTGTGGTTCTCTCACTCATTGAAAGACAGATAAATTCAACACTGACTCCCATCCACCCCTAAAAAAAGGAGAATTTCCTCTGCTGGTAAAGAAGCAGTAGAATTATCCCGATCAACACTTGCAGAGCAGAAATAACACCCTTACTTTGTTTGAACTCTTATAAAAATAGCGCCACCAATACGGCCGAATGAAACCAGGCCACACACACCTCAGCAGAGCACTGTGATGGATCAGAGTCATGTGATAATGTGAATGAAAAATGCAGTTATCCACATAAAGGTGGATTAATGTGGAAAACACTGTGTCACACTCTGGGCGCGGGGTCATCAGATAGAGTCCTTGACAGACTTCATGATGATCAGCAGTGATGATCTTCTGCTGCCCTACATTCATACCAGAGTTCTTTAGATAATCAGCTCCCTCTGATGCTGCCAGATAGGGACAGAGTGAGCTTCCTCAGGACACTGAGACATTGTTCTCTCTGCCGGGGACAAGCCCATGACACACATAAGATCTGCTACTGTGTTCAGCGCACAGAAGATTATAAAATTAAGTTCACATATAAATCAGTGAAAATACATTTGCAAGATCTGCAATGTGCAAACAGCGGCTCTGTGACTTCAATTTACAAGTCTGTTATTTGAGCAGCTTCTGAGCGAGCTCATGTCTGTGCCTCTGCACTCATGTTCTTGCAGCTGTTCTGGCCTTTCTAAGGAAGCAGCAACCTTCAGTCTCAAGAAGTAGTGCTAATACTGAAGTGCAAAAAGCTGCAGTTCCTTGAGTGTCCACTTGAGGCTGCCCCCCGAAAGCCCCTGAAGCCACATACACACCCATTCAAAAAGGCCTGCCTTTACAGCAAAAATAAACATGTTCACAGCTTTGAACGGAAGCATAAAATCTATGAAGTTTAGCAACTGTGTTAACTAGTGCCCGACCGATATGGATTTTTTGGGGCCGATGCCGATACCGATTGTTAGGGGGGAAAAAAATCTGATTACCGATTAATCAGCCGATTTTTAATTTTTTTTTTTAAATTATAAAAATATACTGTAGATATCTACAGTATACAATATACTGTAGATATACTGTAGGCTACTGCTCTTCACACCGACAGGAAGACCGACTGATCAAACTATACAAGCGTTTTCAACTAGATCCGTCACTCTGCTGTGCTGTGAGGTAGTTAGTGGATGAAGATTGTCATGAGGTCCCTGCGCCATCTACACGATTAGTCGGGGAACTTTTCAAATGGCGAAACAATTTGAAGTGAAACCGAATCCTATTCTTCGCATTTTATTTCTGAAAATATTGGCAAGTTTTGGCCAATTACCGATTAGTCTCAAATGGGTGAAAATTGGCCGATTTAATCGGCTCGCCGATAAATTGGTCGGGCCCTAGTGTTAACTCTGGCATATTTACTTGGAGGCTTTTTGCTGATATGATGATCAATGTGCCTTGTCCTGATCAAATAAATAAAATAACTGACCACACCAGGTAAGGAGCGGGCAGACTGTAACGGTAAAAACCTGATGCCTGAGGCTGTCAATAAGGACTTGTTGACCCTGAGTTTATTTACTTCAACTTAACCAAACAACAAAACAGCCTGTTGAGACAGGGCAGAAAAACAGGTTTTACAAAATATTGTTACTTTTAAGAAAAAAACAGAATTTGAATGAGACTCATGGCAGACATTAGGGTCATTTTTAAACCTGGTTTAATCCAGTAAGGCCATCACCAGACTTTCAAATTGAATCATTTGCACCTTAGCAAGAGTTTTTTTTTTTTTTTACTAAAGCCAGCAAGTCATTTTCACTCATTACAATCAGATCTTAAGACGCACCCATGTTAAGTTTCTCTCTAGATGTTGAGTTCAGGCTCATCTATGAATCTGTATCTAATTGAGTATTCCCAGTGCCAGTGAACACACCATTGTCCGTGCTGCAGAATGTGTCCAAACTGGCTTTACTACCTCGTCTCCACCAAGTCACAACTGGCAGAAACAAAGTCACTAATAACAGGGTAAAGACTTTGGGAAGTGACTAAAGCTGGTCAAAGAAAAGAAAGACCTATTATTACATTTAGACAGGAGTGGTGGAAACACAAAGGAGCGTTTCTTTTAGAGCGTCCGGTAACAATCCACAAACTTTGACTATCTCACAGGAGCTGCTGTATCCTGAACTGGGAAACTATCTATGACAGCTATGACACAGTTATCCGCCTCAGCGACTGTCACCATTCACAAGAAAACTCAATGAAACTTAAAGATAACAATATCCATGCAGACTGTTTGGACTGTAGTAACACAGCTGCTCTGTTTACCCGTCACCCACACAGTGTACAGACGCCGGCACTGTTAGAGAAGTTCAGGAGCTCCCAGCAGCTCACTGCAGTCATTACTAGTACTTACATGATCTCCACCAGGCCCAAGATACAGGCTGGCAATGCGGATGACTCTGAGCTAACCTGAAGCACAAATCCCAATCAAACTTCTACAGCTGGGCTGGACAGTATCTTGAAATGGTGACAAAACTGCTCCTGATATGATCGCTCTCATTGTACACGATCATATTCTTACAGGTAGGTATAAGGTGAGTAACATTACTGTCCAGAGAGCTACACAGATACTTAAATGTAACAGAGATTTGACTTTGACTTCACTCAGACATGCGGTTTGGTGTCAACACTGAGAAAAAAAACTAACATATAGTCTTCTCTCTAAATCAAACGTGAGCACCTAAGTTTTGCAACAAGCTCACAGCAGAACACTCTTCAGGTTATTATGTGTGCTGGCAGAAGTAAAGAACCATATATAGTAGATAAATGCAAAAAAGTGTGTAATATATATATATATATATATATATATATATATATATATATATATATATATATAAACCAGATCTACATATAAGAAACACAAACAATTTTATGAACTGACTGTCAAGAATGCAAAATAACCTTTACTCACCATTCCTATGCCTGCTTTCAACATGTTGCTCCTGATTTCACTTGGCACCAAAGCTAACAGCTCGCTTGAGCTTCATGCAAATGCACCAAGACCGTTTGAAAGCATGGCTGATGAGGTCTCCATCCATCTACTAACAGTAAAGCCTTGACAGCTCATCTACAAATGTCCTTTTAAATTCTGTGCAATACATTTGAACTCTTTCGTGTTTACCGCAAGTGCTCACAGAGTCATTACAAGAAAACTGCAATATGCTGTGCTGCTGTTCAAGGAAGTAAACACAACAGTGACTGACAATGGCCTGCTGCAGTGATGCTTTGGTTAAAAGGTTATAAAGTCTCATTGTGAAAATCCCCTGGGGGGCATTATCAACACAGGTTCGTTGTTTTTCTGCAAAAACTGGTTCAAGACCGAATGTTCTAGTTTGTTGTCAACAGCAGAAGCTACCTAACAGTCGCCTCAGGGTCTACAATGTTTACTGTAGCTTTGCAACACCATCACCTCCTCTATCTCTATCTCTCTCGGTAGTTATTGTGGTCCCACTTTTAGGGTGTTTTCAACATAATCACCCAGATCTGATATCCTTGTTGAACTTGTTTGAACTGGACAAGCACTGAGTTAGTAATTTGTAAAACATCTGCACTCACCTAAAAAAGACTAAACAAGCTAGATTTCTCTTCCGACAGCTGGACGGTAAAAAATTGAACATTGATTCCTTGATAAAAGTTACAAAACAATCATTGTGGAGTTAAAATCCCTGTCTGGTGATTGAAGTTATTTTTAAAAAGTAGCCGTGCGTAAACATGTTAAGGGTTCCAGTTTGGACATTAGGTTTTTCTATGGCGTAGATATCATCTCAGCCTATCCTCCCACATGTTTTCATTACTGGAAAAATACTTGAATATAGTTTAAACAGGTAACATAAGCACAGTTTGACGTCAGTAGTTGTAGTGAGCAGCAGTGAACATGGAAGCTATCAGTAGGTCTGTGTTACGAGGTGCTGAGGCTGTGGAGGCTTGGCTCTGGAGGAGAGATGATAACTGACACTCTTGAGTCATTACAGCTTACACAGGGCTTTAAACATGAACCATCTGTTCCAGTGATTAACACCCGCAGCCCGTCAGGAACACACACATCTAAACATCCAGGCAATTCCTGGCACAGCCCACGCCAAACAGTCACAAATAATAGCGTGTGTATGTGTGTAACAATACTTTAGTCTCTAGACCAGATGTAAGCAGACATCTATGGACTAAGGAAATGCAAGATAAAATACGAAAAAGACATGATAAAAATGATAAACCGTACAAACATCAAGGCCACAAATAACCACACCATATTATTCTCACACTTTTTGGCTTCAGGCAAATTCAGACACACAAACACACACAACCTCTTATCAGTGACTTAGAGATGATCATTTCCCAGATGCTGTACAACTACACACATCCTGCACCGTAAATGCACGCACATACACTCACCGGCCACTTTATTAGGTACACCATGCTAGTAACGGGTTGGACCCCCTTTTGCCTTCAGAACTGCCTCAATTCTTCGTGGCATAGATTCAACAAGGTGCTGGAAGCATTCCTCAGAGAGCTTGGTCCATATTGACATGATGGCATCACACAGTTGCCGCAGATTTGTCGGCTGCACATCCATGATGCGAATCTCCCGTTCCACCACATCCCAAAGATGCTCTATTGGATTGAGATCTGGTGACTGTGGAGGCCATTTGAGTACAGTGAACTCATTGTCATGTTCAAGAAACCAGTCTGAGATGATTCCAGCTTTATGACATGGCGCATTATCCTGCTGAAAGTAGCCATCAGAAGTTGGGTACATTGTGGTCATACAGGGATGGACATGGTCAGCAACAATACTCAGGTAGGCCGTGGCGTTGCAACGATGCTCAATTGGTACCAAGGGGCCCAAAGAGTGCCAAGAAAATATTCCCCACACCATGACACCACCACCACCAGCCTGAACCGTTGATACAAGGCAGGATGGATCCATGCTTTCATGTTGTTGACGCCAAATTCTGACCCTACCATCTGAATGTCGCAGCAGAAATCGAGACTCATCAGACCAGGCAACGTTTTTCCAATCTTCTATTGTCCAATTTCGATGAGCTTGTGCAAATTGTAGCCTCAGTTTCCTGTTCTTAGCTGAAAGGAGTGGCACCCGGCGTGGTCTTCTGCTGCTGTAGCCCATCTGCCTCAAAGTTTGACGTACTGTGCGTTCAGAGATGCTCTTCTGCCTACCTTGGTTGTAACGGGTGGTTATTTGAGTCACTGTTGCCTTTCTATCAGCTCGAACCAGTCTGGCCATTCTCCTCTGACCTCTGGCATCAACAAGGCATTTCCGCCCACAGAACTGCCGCTCACTGGATATTTTTTCTTTTTCGAACCATTCTCTGTAAACCCTAGAGATGGTTGTGCGTGAAAATCCCAGTAGATCAGCAGTTTCTGAAATACTCAGACCAGCCCTTCTGGCACCAACAACCATGCCACGTTCAAAGTCACTCAAATCACCTTTCTTCCCCATACTGATGCTCGGTTTGAACTGCAGGAGATTGTCTTGACCATGTCTACATGCCTAAATGCACTAAGTTGCCGCCATGTGATTGGCTGATTAGAAATTAAGTGTTAACGAGCAGTTGGACAGGTGTACCTAATAAAGTGGCCGGTGAGTGTACATAGAGGTAGAAATGCTAAAAAAAAAAAAAAAGAAATGCTATTGCTATTTTTGTGACCAGTGCACGGATTCACAAGCCGAGGCGTTAATAAGTGTGGCCTCTGGGCGTGAGGGTAACTCAGCCCTCCTGTGGGAGATCCACGGTTAATGCCAGAGGGAGAGAAAGTGAGTGGGACTGACTGATCATGGAGGTCTAATCCAGCATGACCACCAAAACAGACAGAATATTAGCCTCAGGAAGAGTGTGTAAGTGAAACTGATTTAATAACCGCACCAGTAATTCTGATTTATTCAGAGAGGACAAGAGAGGAAGATGTATTTAAAAAGAGGGCCATAAAAAATTACATTAAGATGATAAGGAGACTGAAAGGGCCAGACTAGGACTGTCACAATCCAAGACTTTCACCTCATTATGATCATAAAATAGCCATAAAATATCAAGATAATCTTAATCTACAATCTTGTGATATTTGTAGAAACTTGAGAATAAAACGACACAACTTTTGAACTTTCCAGCTCGTCATTTGTTGCAGGGCATTTCTTTGAGACGCTGACAAGTTGAATACAAACGTTAAGACAAAGCAAGAGCAAAGTAACTGTTTTAGATCAAGTAGAGAAGCATAAATGGAGAATTGATGCAAAACAATGGTTGCAGCAGGTCTGTCGATGTCATAGTAAACAATGACGGGGGTGGCTACCCGGTGCCCCTGTGCGCATGCGTGTGCATCACCGTACATTTCTAAGACTGCCACAAGACTAGGACTCAAAGAGTATTTCTGTACTATTATTAATCATCCAAGTGACATAGCTCTCTGAAATTTACTGTCCAAAAGGAAAATGTATGTTTGGATGAGTGGCAGGTGTTAAATTTGGACCCTGATTCACTGTGAGTAATTAGGTGAAATGATGACAGCGTTCAGATTGAGAAGACTTCTCCAGTCTTCACTCTTCACCTCTGTTTGCTGTCTCATGTTTCCATTGCTGCGATTATCTGGGGAAGTGTCCTTGTGCATGTTTAAGTGATAGTAGCGTGTAACAGTCATTGTTATGAAAGACTTCCTCCACTTCTGCATGTCCTACCCAGCACACACTATCTCCAGTGCTAAGAGTGTGTCTGAGACAGTCAATCTCCCACTGCAAGGTGATGTGTGAAAGGCCTGAACTGTCAGGGCCTGGGAGAGCCTGAAACAATCCAGAAAGTGAAGGCCTTCAAGAGAGTGATCAATCATCAAAATAACAAACTAGATTATCAAATAAAACTGTGCTGGCCTATTCTTTTTCTTGAAAAGACTCAATTCAATGAAAGCAAGTCACATTGCTTGGGGCGGTCACTCGTCCTTGCATTTCTCTTGTTGCGTTTGCATCTGGTAATCGGTTGTAGCGTGTTATTGCCTTTGGGAAATAATGACATTGTGCTCAAATGTTCAACTACAAATCTAACTGTAAAAATTTGCTCTTCTTCAAAGTTTGGCTGCATCCTCACCCGCGTGTCTGACCTTCTCTGTCATTTGAAGGTGGTTCGGCTGACACATCACTGACAGCTCACAAACAAACATCAACGTGGGGCTCAGAGCAGAGCAGATCGCACTTGACAATTCAAAACTTCAACATCTACACTTAAGAAACTTTAGGGGAGGCAACCCAAAATTATACACCCAATAACAGGCAAATTGTCATGTTATAAAGACAGTATAAAATATAATCTGAAACTCCTGGTTTGGCTGCTTAAACACTGAAAACATGATCCACCAGCAGAGCACTTTCCCAAGCAAACATCAAGCATACAAGTTAGAGTTTAAAAGGGGAAGTGTGTGAGAGTATGTTTGCACAATAAAGTTTGAGTTAGCCCCTGTTTACAGTCGCTGCACAGAGGTGATAAAAACGTCAGAGTGGGGGCACATTCTCTGATAATGCTTGACTATGCTGTTATCTTTAGTTCTTCCATACTGTGTGAATCCTGTATGAGTGATCGCATTTGTGCAAAATAGCACCAGACATAATGAAGCTGTAAAGCATTCATTTAATGCATGCAGTATTGTAAAGTACAAGTTAAATGGACAAACATCACTTGTGCAGAACACTGACTTGGAGGATAGCTCTTGGGTAATGGCGCTCATGTTGTCTGTACAGCTCTATCAACTCATACAATCCAGGCAGAGGAGCGCTGTTCCTCTCCGCCAGTTTGCAGTGGAAGAACACCTCACTAAGATACTTAATGTTGTCATCCATCCAGCTGTATCAGATTCATCCCACAAACACACTCTGTGGCCAAGGTGAAGCTCCAATTAGCCGTCGACTCCTTGGCTCTCTGACTGAGCACTGATTTGTTCCCTGTTTTCTGTCCAAGTTGGTGTGGCCAGCTCCCTGTCGTGCATTAACTCCACTTTTACCCTGTATGAGGAAGGTGGAGTCAGACTCCTTTGGTACAAATTTAGCCTCTTACTATTTTTTTCCCTCTCTGATCAATTAAACAATCCAAACAGGGGTTCACCAACATATCTGAGCCACTAATGCTGAATGACTTTGGGCATTTCTGCTTGATACAGATGGGATAAACACAGGGTTCCTACACAGTTGGAATTTCCATACTTTTCCATACCCTGATCTTTAGAATCATTTCTGGAAATACCCTCTTTTCTATTTTAGAACTGTGGTAATAGTCTGACATAAATATTTTTCCATACTTTATTTTTCATTTTCTATACTTTTTAAGACCTGGAAACTGATCAAATTTATTTCCATACTTGTGTTGGAACCCTGTATACATGCTATTGTAAGGAAATAAGAAAAAGCAGAAACAGCTGGACACGCTGTATGTTTTGCTTCCACACAAAGTGCACACTAGTGTAGATAACATACCAACTAGTGGAACCAAAGGGCACCAAAGCCCCTGTGAAAGTGTACATCTGTGGCCCCCCAAAGATTAGGAAACTGTTAGTAAAAACAACAGTAGGTTGGAGCAGCTAGACTGGAAGCCTCGTCACTGGACATTCGGATTTTTGGCTCTTAATGAAAACCTTATGTACCAGGAGTGTTGTGGAGGGACTGATTTCTGCCATGTGAGTCACCCAGGAACCCAGCAAACAAACAGAGATCACTGGGCGAGCAGCATCCCTCCAACCAGACCGCATAACCAACCTTAAGGCAGCTATGAGAAGACAAACCCCGTTTTAGGAAACAGTCTGTGTCTATAGGCCAAACTTTTCCTCACTCAGAAGCTGTTGCACTTTACAGTCAATACTTCTGTGTGATGTAGCCACAGTGTGGATATATCAGGGTACAAAACAGAGGTCTGTACTGAGCATCACTCTCAAAATGTGTCAGCTTGTTAGGCACAACAGCTTTTACTGACTTAAAGGTCCCATATTACACAGAATTCCCCTTAGAATGGTTTGCTAACAATAATATGTATCTCCAGCCTGTCTACAAACCTCCCAAAATAAGAAAATTCCATCCTCTCCCTCACCTTTCAGACAATGTCTGCTCAAACAGGTAGATTGAAACTATCGCCTTCCATGAGGTCATGGACAGTGATAACTCCTTCCCTCCATGTTGGTGACCCTGCCCAAGATGTTTGTTCTGCCCCCAGGAAATTTCCACTCAAACACGATTTTTCTCCCTTGCAAACGCTGGTTCAAAATGGCGAAGGTACGAGCAAGGTTGCTCTGTTGTTGGCTGCATGAAGCAGCACAGGAGTCTGTTTCCATACACTGCAAGAACATAGTCACCAGAGATAACTATACTTATAATATTAGGCAGCTAATGTTACATATAGGTCTGAAGGAGGCGCAGACAGGCGCTGCACACAGAAACAGCGTGTTCTCAGTAGAGCTCACTAGAGACTGGGTTTTTAGACAACAAACTTCAAATTGACTGTTCTGGGACCTCTGAGACCTATGTGAACCTGCTGAAAAGGAGTATAATATGGGACCTTTAAGGAAAGGGAGAGAGGGGTACTAGATGACAAGCAGACCTGATGTGACATAGCCCTGGCCTATATGTCCATCAAGCTTTAATTAAGACGACCTAATGAGATTAAGACACAGTTGAAAAGCACTGAGATAACTTTGGGTGCCCGAGGGCGAACACACAAGGCACTCACAACAAACTAACCCAGTGTATTCGTAAGCTCAATGGGTAAGCCATTTACTTAACAGAAGGGAAGCAAAGTCGGACAGGAAGAGTCTTGACCATTCTCCCGGATGTGAAAAAGAAGAGTGATTATTTACCCTGTAAAAATACATGTACAACAAAATAGGACATGAGTCCAAATCCTTGCAGTCAACAAATAACCTATATAAAATGACACGGATGTGGACAGACCCAAAAGGTTACTGGTTACTGTGGTTACTAGTTAAACAGACTGAAGGAAGTGGTTTACCATTAGAGTTAACAGCTTTATATGTAGATCCTGGGTCACACATACATCCATAAAATTGATGTTTGAGAATCATCCAAACTAATTCAATGAGACTATGTTGTTATATTTCAGATACATAGGTGTTTATCTAAATAGACTTTAGGTGTAAATGAGTCATTTTCCGGCTGATATTCTCTTGACATATTTTTCCTCGGTCACATTTTTTTGGGTTACAATTCAAAGTAAAGTTGTTGAATAACACTGTACTTGTTCATGAGTTTGTATGAATGCAAGTGGTCCTTAAATAATCTGACATTATCTAATAATCATCTTGGGCCGCTAAATTAGATCAAAATCAAATTGTTGAAGACTTTCAACAAATGTCTTAAATAAGATGCCACATCATGTAAACCTTGTGATTTAATAACATCCCAAAAGCCCTACAATATTGACTGTATTAAACCTGCTAGTCAATTCCTACAACTATTAGCATGCATTTTAACTCGCTTCACTACTTAAATCCATAATACAGACAAAGATGGCACTACTTTGCTGCTTTAAAGCCAAACCCCATTACAGCACGGTGCAATGCCAGCTCATAATTTACTTCAGACTGAAGGCTAGCAGGGGGCAACATTTAACAAAGAGCTACTACACTTCAATTCAACACCTGACTGCACATTACACAGAAGTCAGTACTCTGTGTCAGCCATGCAGAATAGTGCAGGGGAGGCTAAAGCCTTATTACCGAAGCTAAACCTGTACTTAAACTGCTGGAGAGGTGCCTAGATGTGGTCAGGTCACCTGCCTCTCAGGTGAGGTGGACAGTGCAGTTCAACAGATGTAATGACCAGTAGTTTTGCCATTTATCTAAATGAAGTTAGGCAACCAGCATTGAGAAACTGCATCATGTGAGAGCTGTAGAAAAACTACAATGTCACCACAAGTTGCAGTAAAAAAAGAATGCTTATCAGATTGAGTGATCACATAGCAAAGGCTTAATCTCTACAACTACTGATGAGCAACAATGGACCGAAGGCGCCCTATGAATATTTTAATAGGAGCCTTTATTAGGCCAGTTGTTAGTGTCTGTGGGAAGTCTGGGAATGAAAGCCTTCACAAACATATCCATAAACAGCTGTTTTTGCATGTGTCAGACTTTCCCTGAAGTAGAAGAAATAAAGGAAGGAAACGCCTGAACATCCATCTCACACCTGCAGGGAGCTGCGAGTGTTTGTTTGCAAAAATACGAGTTAACCTGAGCAGACAGGTGCCAAACAGAAGCGCACAACTGTGCTTTTCATCATCCTTCCTGATCCCACAAAGGTTACTTTGTGTCACAGTTAACATCAGTAGGTTTAGCAGCGTTAGCAGCTGACGCCCAGCTCACCTGTGTTTCTTCTTCTTCTTGTGTGGAAATTCGTTGTTGGAGGATGTTACCCATAATCTAAACGCATAATAACGACATTGCCCGCGTTGAGCTAATTCCAGGACGGCGGTTATGGTTGGGAATATCTTCGGCTCAGCGAATTAACTCGGCGTTACCTGTGTAATCCCATGCTGAATGCCACTTTTAGCAGTCAGGCTTTCTGGAGCCGTCCGGTCTCTGTCAGGCTGCTGCTGTGTGTTTACCTGCGGGGCTAGGGCTCGGGCGCTAGCTGCTACAAGCTAACTAGCTGTGTCTGTCACTGGAAAACAAACTACTGTCACCGTACACACGTCTCTTTCCCCGGTGTGAGCTTACCTCTGCAAACATCGTCTCAAAGGCTGAGCGTGCGGCGGCTTTGGCTAACCCCACCACATCCTATCATGCGAGGAGGAGGTTGTTTTCTCGGTTAAAAACGGTCGTATTTCCAATCTCCGTACTCTCCTCGGAGCGTCGCCATGTTTGCGAGGTTTGTGTCTCGGGTGCCCCGTTTCTGGACGTCGCGACGTGATTGGCCGGGGAGTGATGACGCAGAAACACACCCGTGACTGATTGACGGACACAAATGCAACGATTATCACGGTTGACTGATCCAAATAGATGAATATTTTAACACATTTTCATTTAATATATCATACTCATATATGCCACGGTGAAATATTCAAACAGTCTATTTTACGGGGAAAATTCTCTCTCCAAAATCCAGCCCGTCACCCAGGTAAAGGTGTTATTAGGGTGGAAAACAACTAATCACATTTTCTCTCTTTACTGTATTTGAGTAGCTTTTTTGTGTAATTGTACTTTCTTGTATTTTCATAACCATTAGACCTATTTTTTCTTGAGTGAAAACTATTGTACTTTTATATACGTTAGTTTTAAAGTTTAAAAAGTGCTAAAAATACAAGCTTTCCATCTGTATGACAGCCAGATGATTGAATGATGTCTATTCTCACAGTGTACTCCTTTCATCTAGTCTGAATATCATGTTGCTCTTAATTTAAGCCATACTGTAAATTTAAACATTAATCTTAATTTACATTTTAATTGAATAAACATTTTTTAACATTTTAAGCCCTTTTTTGTAACACGTTATAACAAATAAGAATATTTTGGTGCTGTTTCCATCCTTGGGTGTCATCGAGGTGTATTATGTTGGTTGTATGGATATTTCACCTTTCCTCAAGTGTTAAAGAAAAGAGATATTCCACCAAATGTAGATTCCCTGCACTCTGCTTTGTAGAAATGTGACCTTACTTTTTAAGGAACATTACAATCATTTTTTTTAAGGAATGATTTGAGCCTCAATATATTCTCTTCAAGACCTCAGAACTCAAGATAAAAATAAAACCAAATGAAATAGTTTTATTAATACATGAAAGTGTACACAAAATACTTCATAATATACTTATTTCCTGGCCAATCCATTTTTGCACAGTTGTTTTGTTGTTTGAGTTGTATGTTTAACTAAGTGACAAAGAAGAATCAAATGTATTGACAGTCATCAGACAATACCCGATAAAAACATGGCATGTCATTATTAAACTCTACCTATGATACTACCCTTACTCATGACTGCAATTCATAACAAACAAAAGCATTAAATTATCCTTATCAGCAAAAGTCTAGCAGTAACTTTTGGTGTCCCCTTGCCACCAGCAATTTAAAGGAAATATGTATTTATTCGAAGACTGCACTACAAATAAGACAGTGTAGTTTGATCACACTGATGATACATTATTCATTGCCCCAGTGGCACCTTCATTAACTTGGTCTCTACCTTACACTCCTGGCAATGAGAGAGCAGTGAGGTGAGGAAGGGGACAAAGAGTCCGAGACAAAGAGCCCTAGAGTGACTGAAAATGATTGTCAGCTTCACTGATCTCTGTTTTTCTGGCTTGGTCTACCTTTCTCCAGGTGGAAAGAAGTTCAGCTTTGTCATGCAGCAAGCAAGTATGAAGCAAAAGAAAGTCTTTGGCCCCTAACTGTCTGAAAGAGCAGAGCCAGCTCAGCAGGCTGCCCCTTTTTCTAAAGCACAGGTGCAAACAAAAGAGACCTCCTCTGGGTGCTCAAGTTTCCTGCATCCTTTTACTTCTGTCACTTTGTCACTTTCCCTTTTTGACTGTCACACACTTCAGAAACACACCACCAGTTATGACAGTGGACTTTATACCCACAGTTTATGAGCTACATGACTGTTATAGCCAGACATGTGACAAGTGGATCCTTTGGGACATGCATCAAGGTTATGTTAGAGTGACTTTCCATATGTACAGGATAAAAAACAACCTTGAGTCTACTCAGTACAACTGAGGTGACAGTTTACACTCCATATGATTGGATAAGTTTTACCCTATTTCTTATATAAGGAGTACCTCTATGTGACCATAGTATTTTAAAATGAATTAGATAAAGTCCACCTGAAATTTCTAAACAGATTACACCACTATATTATACTATACTATACTATACTAACCCTCACATACTTTCCGGGTCAAATTTGACCCGTTTTGACTTTTAACAGCTGTAAAAAATACCCTAAACATCATTTTTTAAGCCTGAAACTTGATGACTTTACAAATACATGAAATTAATTTTAAAAAATTTGTGTGTATTTTTGTTTATGTGCTACAAATTTTTCCCCTCTAAGGCTGTTACGGGTCAAATTTGACCCGTATCTATATTTAGATGGATTTTAGATCTAGCAGTGTGGGACAAGTGACAAACAGTAACAACAGTGTTCAATATAAGGTTTGTTGTTCAAAAAGATATATTCAAATCATTATGAAACTATCATTACCTTGACAGAAACACACACACACACACACACACACACACACACACACACACGCACAGACATACAGTCACACAGACACACTTAGACAGAGGTCAAAATGACCTAACTTGTCAAGAGAACTTTCTGTGACAGAAAGCTGCTCTTTGAACTCTTTGAAGGGGCAATTTTGACCCGGAACATACTGTGAGGGTACAGGATTTGAACAGTATGTGAAGGCTAATGGCTTTTCAAAAGTGAGTCCTTATACCTGCAGTGCTGTTTTACTGCCACCAGAGGTCACTGTCAGTCCTTTACAGACTCCAGCGAGGCTGAGCTGATGGTCTGAGGGGAAATATACAAGGAATGTCTCAATTTAATGACGCTCCGCATGCCAATCATACTTTGAAAGAAAGACAACAACCCGAAGGCAAAGGAAAATAAGGTCCTCACATAAAAAACTTCAAGTCATGTGAGGTCCATCATCTGATAAAGCAATTATATCTGAGGCAGTCAGGCAGTCATGTGTGAGTAAAGAAGTTTTAAAATCAGGCAAATAATTAGAGAAAGTTAATGCATATAATTAAAAAAAAAGCAATCCAGATAAAATATGAAGAGTTAACTGTGAACAGAAAAAGTGTGTATCTTATTCCTCTCTGCATTGTCCACTTGTTTAAAGCCTTTTATGGCCGAGCTGTTTGTTGGTTTTGGTGTGAAATACTTAATAAAATTATAAATTTATATAAATATTAGACAGCAAGCCTAATATCACCTCTTTGAATTTGATGGATGATGATGGAACATATGAGTCGGCTTAAAACCAAAATGTATTTGGCTTTTAGAGCTTCTGTGGGACAAGAATGTGTGGATTTTAGCGCCCCCTGTGGACTTAACAGCAACTCTCATCTCTTTGCTGAGTCTTCTCTCAACACTTGCAAATAGTGCATGCAAAAAATTCTCACTGTTTGCTTTGAGCTGTCAAATGCATCACAGTACATCTTCATTATGACAACAGAAAAGTGCTACTTATGCAGCATGCTGTGAAACACTTTGTCAAACACCTACCCCCCAGCTACAGTTTCAGGCTTTAAAAAGCTGTATTGTAATAACCAGTCTTGTTGCGTGTGGTTCTGTTTCATTTTGTAGCCAACATAAAAGTTTCTGTTATAATTTCCGTCTGTTGCATAACCTGCTCAAATCTCCTCAGGACCTTTTAAGACGTCATAGATTCATTTAGAGACATTACACAGTCCTTTGCTCTGCTTAGTAAGCCAATAGGTGACCTGAGGCTCGGTGTTCATGGTGGTTCGGCCTGGAGGTGGAGGACCTGTATGTCAAAGGTCAGGGGTCAAGAGGTGGAATGTGATGGCCAATTGTAATTAAATGTAGAGGGAAATGTAGTTTTGTATGAACACAGACATGTCATTAAGAAGGACAACTTTTATCATACTTAGTCAAATGCGCTTTGCAGTATGAGAATCTTACAAACCAATTAAGCTTAAAATTCTGTTTGAATACAACTATCAGCCATCTGTATGCCCTGTCACTGAATTAAATGTGAAAAAGGGTCCTCCTTATACCCTTACCACAGATACAACATAATATAGTGTTCTCTGAATGCTTTTTTCAATCTATATGATGTGATAAGGTACCCTTCAGGTAAATTAGCTTCATTACACAACACATCTTTAGTTGACATGCAAGGTTTGAGAACCAAGTTTAGTACTCACAGTATTTGTGCCTAAATATGATTAAATGAAGCCAACACTTTAAATATCAGAGGTTTGATAAAGTGTTTCAGCCCTGGAACTTCCAGACTACCAGTTGTCCAGGGTTGCCAAAATAAAAACTTTTACCTGGACTTGTTTTTTAGATGTTTGTTTGTTTTTGACAGGCTACAATGGTTCTGTTGTCCATTGAGCTAAAGATCACAGGGGATAGACAGAAAAGTTAAGAGCTGAAATAATAATTTTCAAAATCCAGTTGGAGACAGATCTTCATTAAACACACCTTTATTATGCACTGGTGCCCTATGGCATACAGGAGAAGCCTTTTTATTCACTCCTGCCCCTTAAACAGCCCGACTACGGCACTGTGAGTGCTTGTAGTCATCATTTAGCAGAAAATGACTATTTGGGAGAACAAGGGTTTGGATTATACTGCTGAAGTTAGGTAAAAGTAAATTCAGGCTGACTGTTTTCTCTCAGTGTTGAACATTTCTTAAGGACACTCCATATCGATTTTATACTTTTGGATCTGATCACTCTTTGGAGGTTTTCATTTGACAGCAGCAGCAGCAGAGGAGACATGTTCATTTGTCAGTTGTTAATTATGTGGCACAATGTGTGTTTTGAGTCGCATGTTTTAGCTGGCAGGGTGACAGGAACTAGATTTAGGGTGACACTGGCTAAATGTTTGCAGATGAGGGCTCCCAAAATCTAATCACCACGGTAACAAGGGTCACCAGGGTAGGCCAAGAAGCCTGGGGCACTGTGGGTAGTAATGGGGCAAGATGTTTACCTCAGAATCAACCATTTGTGGTCATACGAGTGTGTGTGTGAGGTTTAGTGTGTGTGTGTGCTCTCAATTGTCCCCTGACGCCTTGCCCGAGGGGAAAGTGTGTTTGGCCGCTGCTCCTCCAAACTCCACTTAACACAACCTTCTACCCCCTGACCTCGAAATAATCCACACAGCCACAGAGCTGGAGGAGGAGGAGCAGAGGAGCACAGGAGACGCTTCCTGATACACAAAGATCATTCTGGGGATGAGAGTTTGTCCCCGTGGTCTGATATGAACCGCGGTCACACATGCACATTACAAGCTGGATGGGTTATTCTCCATGTGGGGAAGATATTTTCAGGGAAAAACATCAGGGATGACAGTGCACTAAGACAAAATAACAAGTCAAGCAGCTGACTCTGCAAATGCATCCCAGTGCAGCCTTGAGGCAAACCACTATGTGTGTAAAAAGTGACAGAAATAACAAGAAAAAGATAAAGTTATAAATAAATGCATGGATTTATGGTATGTATGCGGCACTGTTTTTTAGGCTGAAAAGTATATGTAGCCTAAAGGTTCCTGAGGTCAGAACATTTTGTACACGACTTTAATACACATAGGCATCTTAGTAAGAAACTTGGCAAACAAAAGTAATTGTTGAAAATCTATTTAGAAATGAAAAGATTAGAAACCAATACTTTAATATGTATATGGTATACAGTTGCTGTTATTTGCTTTTCATGCAGAGTGAACTAGATGCACTCCACACAGACAGAAACCTACAGTTTGGCAAACTGAAGCTAACACACAAGTACCAAACAGCTGCAGTTCTTTAAGTGTCCACTTGGGACTGGCTGCAAAGGTCAAGGAATCTCCATTCACACCCATGTTAAAAAAAAGTACAGTTTGGCAGCAGAATGGTAGATGTTTACATAGCTCATCAAATAGCTAATTTCTCCTTTGACACAAACTGTATCAGTGGTTACAGTGTCATTTAGCAGACACTTTCATCCAAAGCAAACATACATTGAGTCACACACCAGTGGAGGACATACACTGGGAGCAAGGAGCGATAAGTGTCTCGCCAAAGGACGCAACGGACAGACTAAGGGGTAGGGGAAAATCAAACCACCAACCTTCCAGTTGTTGGACGACCGCCTTACCTCCCAAGCTACTGCTGCCAGTGGTGGGTTTTTATTTGTAAATCACCCATTTTGAAGATATAAAGGTTAACTGTAATGCATAGATTTGCAGGGGCATGGTTAAGTTAAATATCAGGCAGGTGCAATGCAAGGTCACAGCAGGTTTCAGCTTCACTTTCTGGTCTATTGCCAGGCTGACTGGAAGTTACTAAGATCATGTTTGATACAGTCTAGTTCCAAACAAAAATAAAAAAAACCTTCAAATATGCGACCTTCATACATTCATTCTTGCATTTTGTGACTTAAGCCTGTGGACACTTTTAAACTCTGCAGACCAGGTTCCCAACTAAAGAAAAGAGAGATCCCAGAAGAACATCAGCCCAGATATAGAGGCTGTCTGGGCTTCTTCGAGGTTCAATTCCCGGGTCTAAAGCTGCTAACGGGGCTATGAAATCATTTCTATCAACCGTCTCAAGGTTTTTGTGAGATGGCATTGAATGAAAGAAAATCAGAAGCAAACAGAGTAAATTAAAAAAAAATGGTCAACACATTGATCCCCTTGAGTCCAGACAAAATGCTACTAAATTTGAGAGATAGACATACTGTTTTAACTCTGTAATCCGTTTTATAAAACATGTATATTTTACGAAAAATGCCACAATCTGCCCTGATTCCTGTTCTGCCTCACCAGTTTGTTACTCATGGTAAAGTTCTGGATGAGGTCAGCACAAGGAGCTCTTACTGTGTTAATCACCCACATTATGTGTTAAACTGAGTGGTTTTATTGTTTGTTCACTCTATTCTCATAAAACCAGTTCTAAAAAACTTCTATTTTCCCTCTCCCTCAGCCTGTTGGGTTTATACAGTAAAATAATACAGCCATGAAGAGATAAGAAAGATCTATTTTCACTTCTCAAAAGAGTTCAAATAAACCTGCTTTTCATCCATTTAGGAAATTCCACAAAAGCGATCTGGGGATACTGCGGGCAGGAATACCGCAGGTCTTCAGGGAACACCACAGGAGAATATTTCCCGGAATTTTTGGGGGCCTGTGCAGCCACAGCAGCAGCTCGTTTTTGAGCCCGCTGTACGCTGCTCGTTTTTGAGATAACGCAGGTAGCAGAGCTTTTTGTCTCCTTGACTGTTCCTCTCTTGAGGAGCAGAAATAAAAACAAGAAACGAAGTAAAGAAGACGAGGGAGGGAGGGCAGGGAAGGGAGCGTATAGGAGAGGGGAGAAAGGTGCATTTTTCAAATGGTGAATAATTTGTCTGCCCTGACATGATGCTGCGCAGGACCACTTCCTGTGTCTCAGGTTTCAGTGTGTGAGTGTACATGTGGAGCTGGGGGGAGGGTCCACTTCCTGCACCAACTTTTGAATTCTGGAGGCCTTACTTTGGTGGAAAACTTGGGAGGACGAAACAGAGGTATTGAAACAAAAAAAGGAGAGATTATTTATGGGTTCAGTTTGTAAAATTACCTGTAACATAATAAAAGGGAACAGATGAGAGGCAGTGCAAACTTGTTATAAATGACCGATGAAAGTAAAAGGAACTCTTTGCTGATCTTGACCCGTTCATGTATGATAAGTGCTGCTGATAAGAAAAAAAGTGTTTTTCTGTATTTTGAATATTTAACATTTTACTCAAAGTGAATTTTTGGCATGAAAATTTAAAATAAGACTGTTTCACAGCGGAGAGCAGGCTGTTCATTACCTCATTTGATACACTGAGGTAACAGGCATTAAAAAGGGACACCCTACAACTGCTTAATATGCATAGACTGT